CTCTTTGAGATAAACGCTATAACAAGAAGATAAAAATAAGAGTAATTCTTTTCTTTTTTTACCCTGAACCAGTTGAAATGCACTTCTTGAATTTATTATATGATAAAAAAAGAAAACCTTCACCTTAACACGTTTTAGTACAAACTTACAAGAAACGGGATAAAATTGACGAATAAAATGAAATATTGAAATATTATGAAAAGTTGAGAAATTTTAATATAAAGAAGAAAACAAAGAAGTATGTTTCCTCATATTTTGTAATAAGCACATTAATTTATTCTTCTTGACAATTCTATTTTTTTCTCTCAAAATTAATTTTAAATAATTCAATATTTTGCTAAAACAGATTCACAACAGACGCAGGGGCGTATACAGGAATTTTTGCAAAGGGCCGGGGTGTGGGGAAGCCTGGTCTGACACCCCCCTAAAATCTTAGGCTTCACTGGTCCCGGGGGGAAACCCCCTGTATACACCTCTGACAACACTAACCTTTCACGCCTGTATCTGAGTAAATCAAAAGTTGAACTATTTAAATTAACTATTTAAATTTTATCTTATAATTTTAATTTTTGGTGTGTGAACACAGTTAACAAAGGAAATAAGTTTTTGCTGATGTCGTATAGACCTTTGGTATTTCAAATTATAAATTCTGTTAGAAAAATATACAAGATATAAGGATCAGAACATTTGACTTTGTGGCAAAAACTCCCTAAACTGAACTAAGGTTGGCCTAAAACTAAAAGAATTTATCATTTATATCCTTATTATTTTTCACCTCTGAGACAACTGATGAAAAATAAACTTTTTGCCAAACAATTATTGATTTTCGCTTGACTTAAACTCTATTCTTTAAGTCCCTATCTCCTTGGAACCTGATCGTTTAAAAGGTCTACGAGTCCGAAATCAAGATGTAAAAATAAAGAGAATCATCAAATTTTACCTTGTGGTGAGTGTTAAGTTCTGTTCGTTGAAATATTTAAATCAATATGTATAAAACTTAACTTAATATGATAAATTATTATCTTAAATATTTTGATCCTGTTTTTCTATTTATTATTGTTGCTAAGTTAAATAAATCAAAATGTAGGAAAAAAGCTACAAAAATTGCTGTTTTGTAATCTTTTATTTTTTTTTAAAACAATTACAGGTGTAATAAATACAGCAATCCCCATATTTGTTAACCTGAACATACCTAGATATATTACCTTGTACACTGCTTTGCATTGATAGTTTACAAGCTAGTCCTTGTTGACATCTATAGCTGACGAGATCGTGTCCATTGGTTTGGCATTGATAGTTTACAAGCTAGTGTCCGTGTTCACATTGATAGCTGATGAGATCGTGTCCATTGGTTTTACATTAATAGTTTACAAGCTTGTGTTCGTTTTGACATTGATAGCTGACGAGATCGTGCCCATTGGTTTGGCATTGATAGTTTAAAAGCTAGTGTCCGTGTTGACATTGATAGCTGACGAGATCGCGTCCATTGGTTTGGCATTGATAGTTTACAAGCTAGTGTCCGTGTTGACATCTATAGCTGAAGAGATCGTGTCCATTGGTTTGGCATTGATAGTTTACAAGCTAGTGCCCGTGTTGACATCTGTAGCTGAAGAGATCGTGTCCATTGGTTTGGCATTGATAGTTTACAAGCTAGTGTCCGTGTTGACATCTATAGCTGAAGAGATCGTGTCCATTGGTTTGGCATTGATAGTTTAAAAGCCAGTGCCCGTGTTAACATATATAGCTGAAGAGATCGTGTCCATTGGTTTGGCACTGATAGTTTACAAGTTAGTGTCCGTGTTGACATTGATAGCTGACGAGATCGTGTCCATTGGTTTGGCATTGATAGTTTACAAGCTGGTGTCCGTGTTGACATTGATAGCTGATGAGATCGTATCAATTGGTTTGACACTGATAGTTTACAAGCTAGTGTTCGTGTTGACATCTATAGCTGAAGAGATCGTGTCCATTGGTTTGGCATTGATAGTTTACAAGCTAGTGCCCGTGTTGATGAGATCGTATCAATTGGTTTGACACTGATAGTTTACAAGCTAGTGTTCGTGTTGACATCTATAGCTGAAGAGATCGTGTCCATTGGTTTGGCATTGATAGTTTACAAGCTAGTGCCCGTGTTAACATCTGTAGCTGAAGAGATCGTGTCCATTGGTTTGGCACTGATAGTTACAAGCTAGTGCCCGTGTTGACATTGATAGCTGACGAGATCGTGTCAATGCGTTTGGCAATGATAGTTCACGAGAAAGTGTTGGGTTTTGACATTGATAGTGAAACTGAATTGTACCTGGATTGGTAAGGGTTTGAGAAACCCTTATGGAGTAGGGCATTTACTACACAGGAACTATATCCGGAAATAATAAAAACATACTAAAATATTTAGCGATACTTTTAATATATCAATCATTAAACCGATATAATTCTTTTTAGAAAAATTTGATAAAAAAATGATTTATGACATATTCAAGAAGTTCGGTGTCAAATGTTTAGGTTTTGCTGAAAAAAAAACCATGATTTAACTTGCCATAAACTATGATTGTAGAATAACTATATCTTTGCAACCCGATGTCATAGACCTAAAATATTTCTAACTATGGATACTGTTAGATCAAATAGTCTAGTTATATCAAAGGTTTACACTCAGCTTGCAAAGATAAAGGGATAATAAAGTTTAAGTTTGCTGTTTTCATATTTTTTCATAATATCTACATCTATTTTGTAAGTTTAAACGGTATCCGTTAAACGGGATCCTCCCAACAATTTTATTGTTTAATAATATCAGCAAGTGCGTTGTGCAATTATGACGATTACATTTGAGGTGTATAAATTTGCCTTAAAGGGACTGTAAGCATAATTTCAATTGACCCTCCATGCAAAGGTGACAATGCCTAATTTACAACGGTAACCTTGAAACTTTAATCTGATCAAAAATGTGTTTCTCTGACTCGAAAAGTGTTTCTCCGTTCCTTCTTATAAACAAGGAATGCACAAGTCACTTTCGTGTAGAAACAGCCAGCAAATGAAAACAAACAATTTAACGAAACAAAAACATGGATATCTAATTCATACTTGATCAGAAAAAGATTTCAAGGGCACTGTTTTAAACCAGGCGTTGCCATCTTTGCATGATACAGCCCTTTCTTCAAAATGGATGAATTTTTAAACGAAAAAAATGAAATCAAGATGACACGTGATATGTGAACTGTTCTTGTCCGAATTTAATGAATTTTAGCCGCGGCTTAAATCTGCCAAAAACCGGTTTCAATTGAGCGCCAGCTTAATTCTTGAAAAATTTAATACAATTTTAAGTGGAACCAACGATATTTGAGCCGCGGCTTACTTCTAAGCCGCGGCTCAAATTCTTAAAATTCGGCCTCAGGAATTCAAATACTAACATTCGTCATCAAACAACAGTTGGGAACTTTGGTATCCTAAGAACCTAGTTTTATGTGTTCAGGCGCGCCGCCGATGCCTCCACATAAATATACCAAGGCCAACATATATTTCAACTTTAATGCTTGTCTAAGTAACAAAATCCAGTCCTGAAGGGGTAAAACCAAAATGTTTTGCAACGCATGTCGTTTATGTCCAAATATTTTTCAGGGTTAACATTTTGAGCAGTTTTGTAATAAAATAGAACTTTAGAACATTCAACTTAAAGGAAGTGTTTGCGAAAAATGAAAGGGGGTACAGGCTTACGGCGAAAAATAAGCGCGCCTTTTGATCGCTTCTAATCTTACTTCTATCTGTTGCGTCCATAAGGAGAAAATGGTTAAAAACGACTCATATTGAAGAACGTAGCGTCCATACAAATTCAGAAAGTTGCAACATTCAACTCGGATTGTAAAAATAATAAATTTAATATCAAACAAATTATTCAGATATTACAACCAATAATCATCGATAATTTTTCGATGCATTCGTAAAAAGTTGATATTTCATAATAATTTTTTATGATCTGATAGTTACTTTTGAAAACATTTAATCCTGTTTCGAGGATTTTTGATTTTGACATTTTCATATTTTCCATGAATGTTCGAAAATCCAGCGCTAGCGAAATATTATTTAAAAAAAACTATCTCAAAAATTTAAAACAATCAGGGATCTAATTTAATAAATTTAATGAATTAGATCGCTGAATTACCTTCTGCCAGTTGAAATTCATTAAATTTGGGCCCAGGTATGGTAATTCTTGAACCAAACACACTGTATACAGTTACATACTAGACGCAAGAAACAGACTGTACATACTAGACACAAGAAACAGACTGTACATACTAGACACAAGAAACAGACTGTACATACTAGACACAAGAAACAGACTGTACAGTGTACATACTAGACACAAGAAACAGATTTCATCTAGAAATATTTTGAAAAACTTTAACTGTCAAATACAATAAAAAGTTTAGCATTTTTTGTGACTTAAACTTTGCGATACAAATTTCAATATCCGAGTGTTGTTATCTTCATGATATGAATATTGAACAGACAACTTTACAAGAGCTAACTTCAGTAAACACCTGGAGAAGAAGTCTCATCGTTTTCTTGTTTCTTTTAATTACAAAATAATAATATTTATTTTCTATTTTTATTTTATTTTTATTTTGTATTTTTACCCAAGCATATAGTTCTTAAAAGTTTCCAGAGCTGAAAACTTTATAATGGGATATCCTTAATCCAGATCTGTTAATTAATCTGGAGATTACATGCATGGGGAGAACAAGCAATATTTAATCTGGAGATTTAGAAAACAGTGGGTCAAGCATTAATCCCGATATCCATCATTCTAAAGTTCTCAGCTCTGAAGAGTTTCGAGATATACCAGCTGTAACACTACAATTTTTTTCTTGTTTAAATATAAAATTTACTTTTGATATTTAAAATATATACAGAAACGGAAAATAACATTTAGATTAGAGCAAAGTTAGTCATGAAATATATAATTGTTGTGTGAATCAAATATTTTAAAACAGTTGTTCTCTACTTATTATTAATTTAATCCACTAATTATAGAAACAAATTATTATCATTCAGTCATTTTCAGTCCTCCAGCCTAACCAGAGGTATGTTCAATTTTCAATATTTTTGCTACTTTTAAGAGTTCTAAGATCGCTTTAGATTTTCTCTTATTTATTTAGAACTGTCCTGAACAAAATACTCTGATTTTCTTATCCTTATATCTTTGCAACCCAATGAAGTAGCTTTATATATTTCAAACTGTAAATTCTTTTAAATCAAATAATCTAAGTTTGAGATATCAAAGGTTAACAAAATAGATTTAGTGATTTAAAGAACCGAGTTGGCGGCAAAGATTTGATTATTTTATTGCCTTGTTCAAATAATAACTTATAAATACGCGAATGAATTCCAGCACTTATATCTATGCATGTTGAAGGATTTGATAATGATATATCATTACTGAAATTATGAATGAATTATACCAATGATTAAAAATGTATTTCATCCTTTTTGTAAAACTATAAATTCGAACGTTTCACTTACATCCTTAATACAAGAATGAATAATTTATATGTTGAAGGATTCGATGATTACGTAATAACTGAAATGATAATGTTATGAGTAATGATCAATGTTGTCTATTTGTGCATAATTTTGTATATTTTTCTCTTTTCTGTTGGAAACCTGTATTTTCAAAAATTTATTTAAACAAATTTAAACTAAACTATTTATATATGTATTTATATATTTGTGTGTGAATAAATATTTATAACAATAATAATATTAATTTTTATAATGAATTTTCTATGAACGTTTTTTGTGCATGTCTCAATCTGTGTTTTCAACTCAAGTCGAGTGTGAAATACAAGGGAGTAGCAAAAACATAAAGTTGGTTTATTTATGAACATTTTGGAATTTAATTTCAAAGTTTTGGCCTCCATATCTTGTCTCTTAGTTTTCACTGACGCAGAGAGAGAAAAAAGACCGGGATTCCTTTTTTTGATAATATTCTGTACGACAGTTTTCTTTTCTTTGCCTTATATTATGAGGCTAAATATATAGCTTTAAAAAACCTTAATATTTAAAGACGCCTTTTGTAATTATAATTTTAGCATTGAAATGTTGTTTTCAATATGAATAAATCTCTACTATTTGTTTCAAGTCTAAATAAAAAATCTCGAAGTACTATTTATATATAAATCCAAAAATCAAAGATATCTGAAACGTCATTTTTTCCTAATGATCAATTTTTACTAGCTTTGAAGTTACTGCAAACTTTTGTCTTTTGCCCACCATTGGAGAGAAATAAAATAGTGTCAATCATTGTATCAGTAAATTACGGTTTATCTTTCCCTTTCCCTTTAAAAATATGTTTTGTTTATGAAATGCTTCCATAGCATCATATTTTTAGGGATTATTTTTCTGGTCGAACTTGAATAAAGGACTTTTTTAAACATGTCTTACTTACTTACTTACTTACTTACTTACTTACTTACTTACTTACTTACTTACTTACTTACTTACTTACTTACTTACTTACTTACTTACTTACTTACTTAGTCACTTACTTACTCCTCTAGCACTTGATAAGAAGATTGAGATACATTTGAAACTAAGTCATCAGTTTTATCACTGTATCAGTTTAAAAATCAAACACCAAACCCAAAATTTAATGCCTCCTAAGACGCCTCCTAACAATTTGAGATTAGAAAACGAATAGAATTTACTCATTTGACTTTCAATTTTGGTAATTAATGATGATATAAAATATATTTGAAATTAATTTCTTAATTTCTTAATGTCCTTGTTAGATCCTGGAATTATTTTGCCACAAAAACTGTGGAACCTATTTAGTTAACTTTTTCAAACCTTTCATCAACTCTACAAATTTTAATTATTGGAGGGGACATTAGTTCCAAAACTAACTTTTGGCCCAGTTCTAATTCTGAGTGTTAAAAATGGGCACAAATGTAGCAATTAGGGTTTAAGGATCTCGGCCCATATCAAGAGTAAAAGTCGATTATAAAAACTATACCCAACATTTTATTAAGCATGACGGGGAAAACAGTTCCATTATTAAATCATTAATTTGAATCATTGTCGGGTTTTCGAGTTATAATCAACTTTCCCGTTTTTGAGTAAAATCCCCAAAATAAAACAAAACAAATTTTCACTACTTACAAAATAAATCCTTGAAAACAAAAATTATCTTATTAAGACTAACTTAACTGCAAAATTTTTTCTAGAATCTAAAATTTCCACATTTTATCTGTTAAATCAGAGAATATCGACGATTTATTTTCTAGCATTTAAAAAATCAAAATTTCCGCATTTCTGATGAAATCTAAATTGCAAGAACAAAATAATATTAATATTTTGATTTCTCAATGATTTTATAATTATAAAAGAACAATTTGTTTTTAATTGTATTTGCTTATTTTTACCTTATCAAAAAATCTTGTTCTGTTACGTAAGTGCGTAAATACTTGAAAATTGATATTGATATGAATTTTGGTAATTGTCTCAAAACCAGGATATGTTCCAAAAACGCGACATGTGCTGAAATGCGGTAATTGTTTCAAAATAGTGATATGTTCGAAAATGAAATCAAGTATCATCAGAAACTATTTCTCTCACCTTGATATTAGTTTAAAGTAGATAGGTATTAATTCAATATACTTGTTAAAATTAATTCGAAATATAAGGAAGACGATTTTTCCGACTCAAATGCCGTAGCCTTTTCTCCAGATGAATGTGTACTCAAGATCCATTTCCTCCTCATGTAGTGCCCACATGTCGAATCTCCGCTCATCCCAGCTCCCGGTATTCAGTCATGTTAGGACAGTTGAACTAGTAACAGCTCCGACACAGGGAGCCTCTTGACTCCTTATGATGATGACGCAGATACTCAATTAGCAGCAGACAGGCTTACCCGAGGGTTCCCAGTTTATCATGCACTCCACTTCCAGAGACAACATAATCGCTCAAATCCAGCATGATAAAGCCGCGATCTCTGCCTACTAGGTTGGATAAGCCCTGTTGCCCCAGTTCCTGATGATCTGCTCCACCAACATGAAGCTCTACAACACTCCCATGAAGTACCATCAAATATCCATCCATAATTCCTTTGTTAATTTCTAAATCAACCAATTTTAACTCCGCCTTAAATGCAAATATTTCAAAACACTCGTTTTTTTTAAAATAAATGTTAGAAATATCCATTTTAGATCTCTTTATTTTATTATAGTGACTTTTCAAGTCAACAATACTGTTTTAGCCATTTGGATAAATATATGGTGTAGTGTTTTGTTCTGCTCAGCTTGGATGTAAATTGTTAAGATATTTACTCTTGAAAAAGATAACTTTGCATTTTGGTCAATTCTCATACTCAGTGTTAGAAATGGACCAAGTGTTTGTTTTGGAACTAATTTAAAGTAAGTTATCCTAGAATCCATGGATATGTCCTTCTTTGTTTAAAAACAATCCATCTTAAACTTCTTCACATTGAAACCAGTAATTTAGTTAAAGCAATTAAAGTTATAAACTAAGTTTTTTTTCCCTCCATCATCTATATATATGTATACATTGATACTTTGGGTTTTGTTTATTACTTTGTTCGTTTGTTTGTAATCAATAAACGTCATAACGGCTGAACCGATCGGGCCCAATTTTTTTGTGGGACCATAGGAAAGGTTTATGGATGTTATACTAAAAATTGTAATTCGAAGAAGCTTGCTAACAGTTAAAACTTAAATAAAAAAGTCGTCCAAATTATGTTGATATAATCGCCTATCACCGTAGGAGAAAACAAGAAAAAGAAAAATGTTTTTTTTTATTTGCCTTTGTTCTAACTAAGAGTGTGAAGATAAAGTTTTATGATTTACTCCAGACATTACATTCTATTAAGATATTACATATAAAACTTAATTTAAATATATATGATGCTATGATACAATTAAAATGTGTTTGATGTAATGCTTAATTTCTCCTCTTTTTCTTAATCTCCAGATTAAATAATCCTTGTTCTCCTCTTGTTATCAATTTCCAGATTAATTATCCGATCAGGATTAAGGATATTCCATAAAAAAGTTCCCCGCTCTGATAATCTTCCTTAACCTTAATCTTTGCCACAAACTCAATTTTTCTAATTCCTTTATCTTTGGAATCTGATGGTGTAAACCTTTTATATTTCGAATTTCGATTATTTGATCTCACGGAATTCATAGTTTGAAATATCTAAGCACTACAACATTGGGTTGCAAAGATATTGTGATTAGAAAATCAGAGTTTTTGGCAAATGCTCAATTCCTTTATGTTTTTCATCAGCACTTCCATACAATTACTCTGTTAAGATAAATAGCAGAATGAGGTGTCCTCTACTAGTACTAGTAGTCGTCTTCCTTACATTAGCTCAATCTCAGCTCAACAATGGAACGCAGGTTAGTAAACTGAATTCATGCAAATATTATTAAGTTAAATTTCAACTATTTTTCGACTGCAGTAAATTATTAAAAATTATAAATAAAGGAACCAATTACTCGCTAAACTCGCTTCAAAGCTTTATAAACTTTTAAACGTTGAAATATCCGTTGCTTACTGATCTCGGTAGGGTACGGAGCTCTTCCATAATAGCCCCCAACTTTACGGAAGAGCGCTGAGTAGAGTTGATCATGACTCACAGGGTGGTGGAGAAATATAGGATTAGTAAACAAGAACTCCATCTTTAGCTTATCTTGGCTTAACATCTCAGCTCAGTGCAAGAAGGAACACAGAAACATAACCCCTGATAGGAAAATAGGAAAGCTGAAACCTCTCAACCTATTGTTCCTTAAGTTAGCGGCTTAGCCAACTGCTAGGATTTCTCAAAGAATTTCATTTTTTTCTTAATTAGCCAAAATATGATGAAAGATGTACAAACAAGAAGAAAATCAAAATCAACAAATATAGAAATGTCAAAATATTTGCCTCTGTTACTATATAATTATGTAAAAAATATTGTTAGAATTTAAAAAAAAATATGTAAAAAAACGGAAATATCAAAACTTTACAAGATAAGGTTAGATTTAAAGTTTGAGACGAGTAATCAGCTCCTTTGTTTGTGATAAAATCTTTTACAGGGTTACGTTCTCTGCATTAGATCGAAAGAGCATTGCTTGTTGGGCTCTGTTGCATTAAAAGGGGTGAAAAATCTGTATTTTTTAGACATTTATAAAGAATTATTACCCTAGGAGGAGGAAACAGGACTAATTGTATCATCAGGATTAGTGAAACGATCCGGCATTCGAACTCTGACAAGAAGGAGACGAAACAGAAGAGGCCACAAGATTGCAAAAAATAAGAAGAAAAAGAAACAGTTTGGTTCTTGCGATTATGTTCGATTATCTGGACTAGATAAGTGCAAAAATGGTGAGTTTTCTCCTAAAAAGAGAGATTGGCTAAACATGGTAGTAAGCTGAGAGTGCAGTATTGTAGAGACATTTTTTAGGATTCATTTGAGACCTACAAGACCTTTTATGTTGTATGATTGTTCAGCAAAAGTGGAAATTCCGATCTTCAGAATCCTCATGGAATTGTCGCACCAAAACCTGCTTGAGAGGCGTGACGCGACAAAACCACAACCACAACCTGCCGGGGGAGTATTTGAAAGATTAAATCTTCGCTCTTGCAGAACAATTATACACCCTAGAAATGTCTTATAAGTCTCAAATGAATCATACAAAATTTTTCTTCAATACTGCACTCTCAGCTCAACTACCATGTCTAGCTGGTCTCTTTAAGCCCTGAGTATTCAAGATGCAAGCTCCTCAATACTCTTTCTAACTTTTTAATGAGAATATTCCGACAATCTGCTGCAATCCTAACAGAGACAAACACTTAAACATTTTCTCCAAAGATAAATTTAAAATTCAATATCTTTCTGTTAAAAGAAGTAGAGTAAAGAAGTAATAGTGACCCTTCTTAATTGTGACATGTCCAATTTACAACAGTACTTTCTAAATTTTTGTCTAATAAAGGATAACGAAGATACTGCTATCTCTGTCATCTTTGATCCAACAAACTTTTACGAGTACCATTAATAATCGGACATGCCACTCTCCTATGAAAAGGTCACTTAAAATACGTCTGCATTCCCTTAAGATACCTAAATGTAAGCACACAAATTGGAGAATCTCAGCACACCATCAATATTTTTAGGTGAACAAGCATTGCTGAAAAGTAAACTTCTGTTCCTAAAGGTGGATCAAGTAGATATTGCTACATTTTCAAAAAACCCAAACCAGTTTATGAAATGCTCAACTGTTAGAGATAAAACAGCTGAACTAAAGTGCAAGGTAGGAAATATTTGAAAACATTATTAATTTCGTTAGTTTTTGGTTCGCTGTCAGTTGTAAATGTATTATATACGTGTTATATAGCTGTTTCTGTTGGTTTTATTAGAAAACTAGCTTGGGAACCCAGCTTTGCTTGTCAAAGCCAACCCGCTTAATTTAGAATTGTTAAACCAAGCTAAGAACATTCCTGAATGGGTCTACCAAGTGATCCAAACAAAATTTGAGGCAAATCGGTCAAATGGTTCACAAGGTTTGAACTTCCAAACACATCAACAGAGATTACAATTTTATGTATATAGATTATTGATAGGGTTTTATTGTATGCATCTAATATATTAAACTAACTATTTATGCTTAACCCTAGCTGTAGTATGGGTCCTATTTAGAAACCAGCTTTACAGGACGATTCTTGCCGATAACAAAATTTGATAAAAGATTTGGCGGATTATTCTGTTTTCAATTGCAGATTTTCAACAAATATATAGAATGGTCTGACCGGTTCAGCCTTTTCACGTTTATTGGAAACAAAAACATATGCCAAGAGACAGACATATAAACACCAAGACAAACCAAATATATATTGATTTATGATATTTAGTCTGTGAAAAATCTGGATAAAATGCTTCTCTCGGACTCAGGAGGCTCGGGTAACTTTTTTCTTCAACTTTTAGAAACTAAATAAATAAACATTAATAAAAACAACACGAATCTTTAGCACTTTTGGAATACAATAGGAATAGGGGGGGTGGGGGGGCAGAATAAAGATGCAGAACAGTATCTGAACAATGCTGAAAAATGTTGGAAAATGTAAAAATGCTTTACGGCGAACTGGAACTACATCCTCAACTCCTGGGAAGAAAGATTAAGGTAGATTCATAAACTTCAAGGTTTAAAAAAATGAAACGGGTTCATTTTTTTTAATTAAGCGAATCTGACAATCTTTGAAAGTAAAAATATCGATAATTTCTGTCAAAATAATTATAACATTGTTTTCAGAAAACCTGGGATATTTGATTTTGCATCTATTTTTTGAGGTTATTAAAGAAATTTACAGTTTGAAAAATATGTGTTGGTTTTCTAATTAATTCACAACAGTTTCAATAATTAGGCTATATATATATATATATCTGTTGACCATAAATCTATCCTCTCCACTCTCACGTCATGTCGTCTTTACCAGCCCAAATCCAAACCAAACAATTTCTCCCACTCTACCTCCCTACCCATACTAAGGAAAATCGAAATAGTGAAAAGTTTTACTAAGTGAAAGATCAAATCCATAAATAACTGAGAAATCAATAGTTAATTCCACTTAAAAAAAAACAATATTGTGTGTACTTTCTAAGGCCCGAGGGAGCAACCCTATTAAACGGATATAAGGAACGGGTGAAAGTCATGAAAGAATATCCAGTTTCTTATTTCTAATTATAATTCAACAACTTTTTCATGTTCACTGTATAATATGGTAAAATCGAAGTTGGGAACCTAATACTTGCTGCTTCAGAAGGAAATACACAGAAACAGGTACAGTCTAAAAATCGAGCAACTCTTTTAAACATTAATTATCAAATTGGATCATTGATCAATTTTTTTCATTTATAATTGACCTTTAAATTTCATCATTTTTAAATTTTTTTAATCTTTATCAATTTGCATACCTGATAGTTGATCCGTATCATCATAATTATCAATTTTTAGAAATGATATTAAAGCAATTTCATGATTATTTTTAATTTTCTTAACTGATAATTCATCATTATCATCATAATTATCAATTTTCCAAACTAATTATTGATCATTCTCATAAATTATTTTTAATTTTTAGAATTCAAGATTAGACGGCACAGTTCCCTATAATGTATGTTTATTTAGCTAATGTTTTATTTAAATTATATATTATATAACTCACAGTTTAGAAAGAACGGACACTAGATGCATTTAACTACCATTTTTTATGTTCATGGCTCTAAAGTGAGAACCAGAGACTGTGGAATAGGAAGACGACATTATAACACTATTCAAGTGTATTAATTGTTGTTACAAATCAAATAGTTTTATTAGTAACTTATTAAATCATTTATAAAGGTTAAATGGGTCTGTTTAGTGTTTACACTGCCCGATTGTTCTGTCTCATGTTTTTTGGACTATTAAAAGTCACAACTTAGGTTTGAAAGTAATCTTCCTATTCCAGAGTTTGTGGTTCTTACTGTAATCTAACAATCGTCTTCCTAATATACAATTTTATATGGCCTTACTGTATTTTTGTTCTATATTGGAAATTTTGGGTTAAAATGTACAGTGTTCATGTACATTGTTCAGTCTATACATATTATACAATGTTTTCATAAAATAACAGTGCTTTGTTAATTAATTATATTTTTATGCGTTTTCATGTAATATGTTTATGCATGAAACAAAACATGTTAATTTTTTTAAATTCTAAAATTATATTAATTACTAGATTATAGATAATTATAATTGATAAAAATGAAGTAAAATATAAATACTCAATGCTGAGTATCCGTGCAAACATGAAACATAAACTTTTTGTTTTACTCGCTATTTATTGTACGTATGTATAGATAAAATTGAAGTATTATTTCTATGATTGTAAAAAAAACATCATTTTAAGAAAAAAATGTTTTCGTACAAAAATAAAAGAACATTAAAAGAAGCCAGAATTGTTATTTCTTATTTTAAAAGTGGTAAAATTTTTGAAAACTTTTTTAAAATAACGATATATATCTTATCATACATCAGGCCGGTCATGCGGGGCAACAAAAGTACCAGTTCTTTTGAATTGGGACCAAAAAAATTAAGCGTTTGCCACAAACTCAAATTTCCCTGTATCTTGCAACCTGATGATGTAAACCTTTGATACTTAAAACTTAGATTATTTGCTCTAAGAGATTAAATAGTTTGAAATATCTGGTTTACAATATTGAGTTCCAAAGATATTAAAATTAGAAAATAGAGTTTGTGACACAGACTCAATTCCTTTAATTTCCAGAGCACAAGATAAGTGATAACTAGATTTTTAATCTGCTTTAAGCGTCTAGAAAACACAATTTTATTCATTTCACATAAAGCATGATGCTTTTATCTAAATTGTCGACAATAGTCTTACCTAAATGAGATTTCTTTTTAAACTTAATTACGAAAAAAAATACCAATAAAGTAAAATATTGCTAATTCTAGCTTTTGAATCCGCTTCAAAGTTTGAATATTGAGAAAGAATGGATGAGAAAGAATCTAGGTGTATTGTATTGTAAACTACTATCATAAAATAAGATGAGGATGAATAGTGAGATTCTAGGCTTCAAGAGTAGAAAATATATTCTGAAGAGCAAATAAACTAATCTCTGCGAGTATTCCCAGAACGGAAGTAATAATAGTATCATCTCGTGTAAGGATAAAATCTTACTTTTTAACGTAAAAAAATAAGCAAAAATATGATGGATTCTTTAAACAATCAATTCTACAAGATTTTGTAGTCAACATTTTAAATATCAAATGTTTTACACATGAGGGCTGAAAAGATTGGATTAAAAAATTAGAGTTTAAGGCAAGTGTTGTTCAGTTTCTTTTGTGAACTCGTAATAAGAGCTAAAAACTATTAGTTTTGACTACTTTAAATAATCTTATTTTGCTTCAAAGCTATTTCCATTTTTTGGTACATTATTGAATTTTACTATTAGAATTTTCGGTGACAAATTGACAATACTACCTACGTTTTTTTCCCTTGAGTCCCCTAAGCCCAAAACATGGTATCGTTATGAACACCAGTTTTAGAACCTGGGTTTTTACAAATGGGGTTAGGCAGTTTTGTGGATATCAATAATTTTGTCATGAAATATTGTTTTTTACATTTTTTATTTTTTAATCTCAGAAATCAAAATCTACACCAATGCTATAACCCTGAAAGAAAACTTGGGAGTTTCGTTCAACGATGCTTCTCGGGCTCTTCTGTTACATTCCCACAAACTGCAATAATAAACTCTTCTTAAAAATCGGAACTCTGAACTAAGTTTCTGGAAAATCATCTTCTTTTCAAATCAAGTCCAGTGCAGTGTTGGGATTTTAACCCATTCTGTACATTTACCACTAGAAGAAATCTGTTATTTTTATTTTCTAACCTAACCCCTCTCATTAAGGGCTCTATTGCTTAGAATTAGAGACTTTTAAGATTAATAAATTCAGATTTAAATAAATTTAGATTTTAGAACGGTTGAAAAATCTATCAGTAAATAACAAATTTCAAATAGCCCAACATTTTTTAATGTTTCAGCTATCTATATAAATACTTAGCATGTCTGTCTATTTAGGTGTCCTCTATCCGTTTGTGTCTAACAAACGTCAAAACGGCTAAACTGATCGGGTCCACATTTTTTGTGGGACAACGCCTGACCCCAGGGAAGGTTTATGGATGATCAAATTTTCAAAAATTGGCCTCTTACAAAATTCGATTTTTGAAAATTTCGAAAATCCACAATTTTTACAATGTAAAGAAAAAATGTTCACAATTAAAATGGAAGATTGAAACTTGTTCAAAAAACATATTTTGCTTTATTAGTCAAAAAATGTTTTTTTTTATTTACATTTTCCGGCGTATATAAAACATCCTTACCTGTTCTCAAAAGGCTATTTTAAAGGGTTGTGTGGGACACCCCAACCCCCTTCCACGCCCCAGGTTATCGTAAATTCAGCTCACAGAATAGCAAGTACTGGGATATCCACAAAGTATTAGAACTTAGAGACGACTCTACAGAAATTATCTAATCTTTTTTTTGCATTTTTGGTTTCATATTCTATACATTATTTTTAAATCTCGTCATGTGGGGGGGTAACTCTATATATGTCTCCATCAATAGAGCTTATAGTTTTATTATAGCTTTACATTAATATGCATTTTTAAAATTTAAAAATTTGAGTTTAAATACAACTAAGAGGTTTAATAACTGTGCTTTATTGGTATATTTGCATTAACATGAAGTATTCCTATATCCTGCGTTTTTTCCTTGTAATTACATGCATTTATTCTATATATCTTAGAAAGTAACTTCTAGTTCATGAATCACTATATGAATCTATATATTTAAATATTTATATAGGTTTCGGTCCAGTTATTGATCCTTGTTGTTGAGTGCCTTCTTGTTTGCACTAAATCCCAGCAAGAGCAACTGCTGCAGCTACAGGAGTAGGATTAGGTGGAGTAATCTCAACTTTAGGTTTTGCACCAACTTCTGTAGTTAGAGCTTCAGGCGTTTTCGGAACTTCGGGAGATTTAGAGTCATCTTCAGACTTAACATCTTCCGATTTAGCAACAGCTGTTTCTGGAGTAGCTGCTTTTTCGGGGGAGGCTGCTTCTATTACAGAAGGGGTTTGTTGTGCAACAGGTTCAGTGGTTGAAGGCTGAAGCTCTGTAGCGAGAATAGTGGATCGTCTTGATTCAGCCTAAAAACATGGTTAATAAGAGTTTGTAAAAAATAGCATCAATTAGATAATTTACCCTTGAAGATTCAGTTACTCCAGGATATAAGATCTTGGTTCCACAAGTAGTCTGGATATCCTGCACCAAACCTTCCTTCTCCTTGAAGGTTGCTTTTAGTGTATCAAGGTGCTCTTCTAGCTTCTCAATTGATAAATCATCTGAACAAATTAAAGGAATTGAGTTCTTGCCACACACTCTGATTTGTTAAACGCTATATCTTTGTAATCCGATGTCACAAATCAAACGTTGAATTCAATATTACTTTTCAAGTCCCTTATAATATACATACTCTGCAGAAAGGGACTGTTCACCTATTTAATTAGAACGTAAAAACGATATATTTCTTGTGACAGAAAGCATTGATGAATCTTAACTTTAAGGGCTTTGATTGGTAAAATTGTTTTACTTTACCAATCAATGCAGTCCCTAAGAAAATTTTTAAAAAAATGTTCCACCTTTTCCATCCGGTTCCTTTCCATCCGTAGACGCGACCCAGCTGGATAAAACTCCAACCCTTCCATCCAACCTGTCCCAACACTCAACCAAACCGGTTAATCTGATCACCCAATCCTTCAAAATTAGGAAGAGGAATCAAGTCTTTGCCACACACTCTGATTTTATAATCCCAATATCTTTGCAACCTATATCGTATAGACCTTAGATATTTGAAACTATAACTTCTGTTGGATCAAATAGTCTAAGTTTCAAATATCAAAGTTTGACACCATCAGGTTGCAAAGTTATAGGGAATGGAAAATTTGAGTTTGTGGCAATAACTCGTTTCCTTTGTTATTTTTTTATTTCAAATGTTTTCAATTTTTCCTTTTTTGATTCAAATTCTTCCGGCTTCAAAGTTAGTAAGAATTTCTAATAGTAAAAAATGAAAGAAACTAGACTTGTCAATTGATGAATGGAACTCAGACTTTGCCACAAACTCAAATTTTCGAATCCCTAAATCTTTGGCAATCTGATGATGGACAGATTTGATATTTTAAACTTAGACTATTTGATTTAACAGAATTTATAAGTTGAAAAATCTAATGGCCTTGGTCTCGGGTAGCAAAGATAGGGATTAGAAAATAAGAATTTGTGCCAAAAAGACTCAATTTATTTATGAGAGAGAGAGATTGTGAAATGGTGTTACATTTTAAAGCTTTATAGTGTTCGCAGTGTAACTACAGTGTTAAGCGATTATATCAATACAATGAAGATTACTTTTTTAATTGTCAGCTTCTCTTGACTTCTTTTTTTATGTGTATCCATGCTGTTTAACAGCAATTGATATAAATCAAAATTAAAAACGAAAGTCGTTTTCATTGTATTGATATAATTTCATACCACTGTACTTGAAGGGCTATACTAAAAATAACTAAATAATAAAAATGGTGTAATTATTAAAACCTGAGCAGTACAGTGTACAGCATCCCAACGTGACCTATAACTGAGTAGGGTAATCTTTGCATGCTGCTGATTTATCATCTTGCTGGCAGCTTCAACTGCTAGATCTAGAGTTGACAAATTCTTCACACATTCATCCTAAAAATTTCATAAATTTAGTTCTACATACACAACAGCTGACAAAATTTATACTGCTGATTGTAGCAGAATCAGCTAATTGGCAGTATTAACAGCTGATTCTAGCAGTATCAACAACCTGATTCTGGCAGTATCAACAACTGATTATAGCAGTATTAACAGCTGATTATAGCAGTATCAACAGCTGATTCTGGCAGTATCAACAGCTGATTATAGCAGTATTAACAGCTGATTATAGCAGTATCAACAGTTGAGTTTGGCAGTATTAACAGCTGATTCTGGCAGTATCAACAGCTGATTATAATAGGACCAACAGAGGATTATAGCAGTATCACAGCTTATTTATTCAAGTGTTTTCAACATGTTCTTATTCACAAGTAGCTTTTATCACTGTAGATTGTTTTCTTCATTTTAAAATACCCCTGAGATACAGGGTTACCAGCTAAAGTTTACTGTTAACGAAGGAATTTATTGAGTCCTATTCAAAAAATGCAGTTGAAAACTAGTGTCTTTCTTTGATAAACCACAACGTAAATAATGCAAAGGGTTGTAAATATTGTGAGTTAACCTGCATAAAGTATTTCAATTTCAACCAATATGTGTAATCTGTATATCCGGTCCTGTGTTTATATATTTGCATTATTCAATGCATAGATAAACAATCTTTCAAACCCTTTCAAATTGTAATCCATTCCTTTCAGCGAGGGGCTCTCCAGTCCACAGGAGGGAGGGGGAATCATGCCGCCTTGAGCCACGCTATATGTTTGATAATTCCCTTTAAAAAAACAATTGATTTCATAAATTATTTACTAAAATTTATTAAAAAAGGAAAAGAAGAAGACAGTTCTGAACAAGCAGAATCTTTTGCGGGACTCGAACATGATACTACGGGGTTTGGACAAAGTTTTGCGAGCTCTTGCGGTTCGAACAATATATTGTGGGGCTTACGGCGACATGGATTCTTTCCCTTGTTCCTTCCAGTATCTGTAGAAACCATGTTATTTGAATATATTTTTAAAGAGAACATTTTATTTAAAGGAATTGAACACGTGCCACAAACTCTAATCTTAAAATTCTCACACGTGTGCTCGATATTTTTGATGAAGACCTTTGATATTTCATACTGTGAATTATGTTTAAAGACCTTTGACATTTAATGCTGTGAATTATATTATAGAAAAAAACAGGGCCTGGATTTAATGATTTTGAGTTGTAGGCGAATACCGGATCAAACATTGAATCAACAATTCAAATTCTCACTTGTGACTACCTACACAACGCCGAATCAATTCTGTGAGCCGGAGTTAAGTTGTTCAGCGATCTCTCAAATTCACTAAAATTGGTCCCTGGTGTATGCAGTAATTGAAAGGTGAGTAGTAATAACAGTATTTTATCTTTTACCTCAAAACTTTTACATTCTCCCAGTTGATTACAAGCAGCGAGGAGGGAGGTTGGACTTGATAATCCTTTAGATACCTTTAATTCTGAAATATAAAGAAATATTTCAATTTTCAATCGGTGTTTCTTTCTTTTTACGTACTTAAATATTAAGATTGTCTTGTGCTTGAATATAAAGGTTAGTTTCTGCTTTAATATAAACCTGCACTGGATAACCAAGGGTAGAAATGTCGTATTGAAGTTTGATATTCAGCAAAGAATTTAACATCACCAGAGAACTTACAGCACTCAGCCTTCATATTATCATTATTATCATTTGTATTATTATTATTATCTATACAACGATTATTTTTATGAACATTATTGTCATAAATAAATTTTATTGATTATAAAGCAAGACCCATAAAACTGTGGACCAGGAAGACGACATGTAAGTTTTCTTATGATGCATGTCATAAAGCAAATAGTTGTACTGCTTCGCTAGAAAATCAACTTATTATTTTAAAAAAAGCTGTGTTTCATGTTTATTGAGCTATTTAAAATAGAAAAATTGAGTTGAAAGGTTGTCTTTCATATTTATACGGGTGTCAATGTATAGCATAAAAGGAAGTGACCGGCAATGTATGGTAGTTGGACTGGGAATGCAGTATTATGGTGAAATTTTTTAGGATTCATTAGCGACGATTAAACGTTTTAATTATGTATAATTACTGAGCTTGAGCGCAAAGTCGACGTTCAAAATCATTCATTGGGGTGGTTAAGTTTTGAGAATCCATTTTTTTAATTATTAAATAACGCCGACAAATTTTTAAAAAATCAATTCTCTAAACGTAACCGCCCAAATGGAGGATTTTGAACGTCGACTTTGCGCTAAAACTCATTAATCATACTTCATTAAAAAGTTTATATGTCTTAAATGAATCGTAAGAAATTTCTCCACAATACTGCATTCTCATTTAAAAGTGTATTTAGTTTAAGCGTAATTCATTTCAAGAAAGTAATAAATAGAATTCAAAGAATTTTAGGTTGTTATTCTATCAAAAAATATAATAAAATCGATAAAACCCTAATGATCAAAAAATTTCTTGGTGAAAAGAAATAACGAAGACGACTCACACCGGACGAACCAGAGTGAGCAGCATTCGGTTTCTTCTATTTGAAATCAAATGTGTTTTGGTCTTTGGTATATTCTTAGAGAACGATTTTCTGCTAGTGTTGTTTGAAGGAGAGATAAAGTATAGTACATGCAAGGTAATTGGACTAAATGTGTACCTTTAAAGTATCTTATACTCATGCCTGATATCCAAAAATCAACTGTTTTAAATTTACACTTAAAATTTTGCCCCCTCCCTCTAGAAGCTCCTGGGGGGGCATTTTGGCGCTCCCCGTAAATTTCGCCCCTCCCCTAGATTTAATTCTGAATACGCCCTTGCTAGAATTCCACTGTTTTATGGTTTCCACCGTATTCTTTATATCATGTTAATAGTTGATTACCTGAACATCCTCATCCAATTTAGTTAGTCCGGCTCGTACAGTTTTCAATCTCTCAACAAAGTCTTTCGCATCCTGAAACCGATTAAAAAATAATCTTAGTCGTAAAATAATTGAGGTTTTGCCCCACGATTTTCTAATCCCTTTATCCTTGCAACTCAATGTCGTAGTTGTGCATATAGATATTGCATATTATGAAAAGTTATGATAAAGGAAAACAAGGATATATTCACAAAGGATAATAAAGGGAACCGTTGGAAATTTGGCAAACCCTTCTTTAGATTACTTCTACAGTCCCATTAACTATGCAAATCTTCTCATCTTGTGAATTGTGAATTGTGAATTTCTCCCAGCTTTACCTTTGGCATTTTTTCTCCCTTTGCTGGGAATATTTCTGCCCTAGTCTCCTCAGCCTTAGTACATATTCCATTTCTCTTCAGTAGATCTTCCATTAACTCCATTGTCCTAATCATGAAAAGATAAATATTCTTCCATTAACTCCACTCTCCTAATCATAAATAGATAAATATTCTTCCATTAACTCCATTTTCCTAATCATAAATAGATTAACAGTCTTTCATTAACACCATTGTCCTAATCATAAATAGATAAATTTTCTTTCATTTATTCCACTTTCCTAATCATAAATAGATAAATATTCTTTCATTAACTCCATTGTCCTAATCATGAAAAGATAAATATTCTTCCATTAACTCCATTTTCCTAATCATAAATAGATATTTACTCTTCCACTACCACTATTGTCCTAATCATGAATAGATAAATATTCTTCCATTAACTCCATTGTTCTAGAATCATGAATAGATACATATTCTTTCATTAACTCCATTGTTCTAGAATCATAAATAGATAAATATTCTTCCATTAACTCCATTGTTCTAGAATCATGAATAGATAAATATTCTTCCATTAACTCCATTGTCCTAGAATCATGAATAGATTAATATTCTTCCATTAACTCCATTGTTCTAGAATCATGAATAGATAAATATTTTTCCAAATCTATTGTTCTAGAATCATGAATAGATATATATTCTTCCATTAACTCCATTGTTCTAGAATCATGAATAGATATATATTCTTCCATTAACTCCATTGTTCTAGAATCATAAATAGATAAATATTCTTCCATTAACTCCATTGTTCTAGAATCATGAATAGATAAATATTCTTCCAAATCTATTGTTCTAGAATCATGAATAGATAAATATTTTTCCATTAACTCCATTGTTCTAGAATCATGAATAGATATATATTCTTCCATTAACTCCTTTGTTCTAGAATCATGAATAGATATATATTCTTCCATTAAGTCCACTGTCCTAATCATAAATAGATAAATATTCTTCCATTAACTCTATTGTCCTAATCATGAATAGATCAAAATTCTTCCATTAACTCCATTGTCCTAGAATCATGAATAGATCAAAATTCTTCCATTTAATCCATTGTCCTAGAATCATGAATAGATCAAAATTCTTCCATTAACTCCATTGTCCTAATCATAAATAGATAAATATTCTTCCATTAACTCCATTGTCCTAATCATAAATAGATAAACATTCTTCCATTAACTCCATTGTCCTAGAATCATGAATAGATCAAAATTCTTCCATTAACTCCATTTTCCTAATCATAAATAGATAAATATTCTTCCATTAACACCATTGTCCTAGAATCATGAATAGATAAATATTCTTCCATTAACTCCATTGACCTAATCAAAAACAAATTAGTAAGATGTTATGCTATTTTATGGAGAATAAAATGTCGCTTAAAAAGCAGACTTTTCCGTATTCATCTTTAAAGATTAGTACCGCCATGATCTGAATTTTCTGAAAATCATTTATGCTGTGGTTACTTTCTAATTCAGTTTTGATGCCTAGCATGTACTATAAATGAGTCAAGTAAAGGTATATATAAAAATTAATACAAATGTCAATTAAGAGAGAGAATGTTCTTTGTTATCTAAATATTACTGATGAATGTAATGAAATCAAAAATTGCTAAATGAAGTTTTTATACTGGCTTGGGGTTTCCCAGTAAAAATCAGATTAACTCAATTTAAAAATTTTTAAACCAGGCTAAGAAGCCTTGGGTTTACTGAGTTCCTCAATCAAAATTTGAGGCAAATCTGTCAAAGGTTCCTGAGATATGAAAGGACATTAATGGACAGGCAATTAAAGATTACTCCTTTTTTATAAAAGTATGTATAACCTTGTAACCCTCATCTCAGGATCAGGAGGAGAATTTGTATCTTCAGGTTTCCTGATCAGTTCAAGCTTTTCCTGGATAGTGTATTATACATAGGGTACATAGGATACAGAGGATATATATATAAAGGATAGACATAGCATACAGAGGATACAGGGGATACAGAGGATACAGATCATACAGAGAATACAGAGGATACAGAGAATACAGAGGATACAGACTACAGAGGATACAGAGCATTCAAATGATACAGAGAACACAGAAGATACAGGTTACATAATACAGAATACAGAATACATGATACAGGATACAGGACACAGGATACAGGATACATGATACAGGATACAGGATACAGGATACAGGATACATGATACAGGATACATGATACAGGATACAGGATACAGGATACAGGATACAGGATACAGGATACAGGATACAGGATACAGGATACAGGATACAGGATACAGGATACAGGATACAGGATACAGGATACAGGATACAGGATACAGGATACAGGATACAGGATACAGGATACAGGACATTGTATACAGGACATAGGATACAGAAAATACAGAGGATACAGAGAATACTGTAGATACAGTAGATACAGGCATAGGATGAAAATCATAAAGAAGATATAAAGGATATAGAATATATATGATACACAGGATAGACAGAGAAAGTTTCGTATGATAAATACCTTTGCTTTCCCGTTTATCCAGGTATCCAGCTCTGTTAGGGTTGCATCGAATTTTATGAGCTCGTTGTTGAATGTGTAAATATCCGCCAGCGTTTCATCAATCTTATTCAGCACTACCAATCTATCCCTATAATAAATAGTGTTATTTTTATATGCTCCTACATCTTTTTTTAATTATTTTATTTTAATATCATTTGGAATGAAATAAATATGAGAATCAAATTACAAAGTATTTTAAATCACCTTTGATCTGCACAGCATTTCTATTTGAAGAATTATTGAAAAATCATCATTAGATAAAAAAGATAAAAAAGTGTTTCCAAAAATTTTGATTTCTATTTTTCGGATTATCCTCTAATGGATATCAATCTAAAAGACTGGGTTGCAGATTCGAAGATAATATTAAAAAAAGATTGATAAAAGAAATATACAATTCTATTAACTATGCTATTATGAATCCCGCACTGATCTAACAGTTTTATATTTTTCCAAGCTACATGTGACTTTTAATTCTGATTTGACCAATTAAACTGTTTTTTTTCTACTTTTTAACTGTAATGTATGGTACAATTTTATGTATAACTCCGCCTTATATTAAAGATTTTTGAATTCAAACACATAATTGACCTCGTCTTCAAGGTGATCCTACCTAAGTATTGTTACTTGAGCTTCCATCTCCTTCTTTTTGTCATCAGGAGAATATATACTCAATATCTTTACTGCGTTCTCAGTCAGGTTAAACAACTCTTCTATCTCAAACCTGAGATATTTCAGCATTTAAAGTGTAAAGAGTAAAACATGGTGTTGAGTCTGTGCTACAAAATTGATTAATCCCTATACTTTCTCAATTCCTTGCGCAGAAGAAATGGGAATAAAAATGTTAATAAAACTATGCTTCTTCCAAAAAAAGATCTTTCTGATGTTTATTTAAATTTTTTTTTGAAAAATAGGTTCGCGGATTTGTGTCCCTTTTTTATTTCTTTTAAACACAACTCTTCAATATTATTTATGTCCCATTGTGACTCACTTATTGTAGCCTACTGCCAATCCCTCCTGTGTATATGCTACCTCATGGTTGCAGCAATCTTGAGCTTCTCTGTGAGCTCCTGAGGTCCGCGCTCCATGTTGAAGTTCTTCTTGATCCCCTTGAGCTCTGTATCCGCCATATCCAGATTCTTAGCACAGTCGACCCTCTTCTCCTCGTACACCTTCCACTGCTCAAGGTTTTCATCTAACATTAATATACATATCATAAAATTTAACTGAAAGAGATTCGTCACTTATTTACAAAAATATACCGTCTAAACTTTGGGAATTTGGAACACAACTAAATTAAACCTTCAAATGTGCTCCGAGCCCCAGTATTATAGATGCTTTCTCTCGATCAATAAAATAACGATTTTTTTTACATTTTCTTGGCTTTCAGTAATATTCTATTGTCAAACAACATAAATCGAGTATTTAATACTAGGCTCTGAGAGCGCTTCGCGCGTCCTATAAATAATTGTATAAGCTTTTAACTGCGGCTCTGAATATCGGCCATTTAAGTGTTTTTAACTATACTCAAATTTTGGCTCATTTTCTATTCGAATTGGCGCGTTCAAAGGAATCAATTTTGATGTTCCATGAACCTTCCTTGGGAGTTAAAGGAGGTCCCACACAAAATGTGGGCCAATCGTTCCAGTCATTTTGACGTGTAATGGATAAGAACAAACAAACAAACACCCAGACACCCAAATAAGGTATATATAGATTATAGATTAAATGAAGTAAACATAACGAGATAATAAGTTAAACAGCTATAAATTTATTACAAGGACTGTAAGCATAATTTCAAGGAAAAACGAAATTATCGTCCTCTTCTTTTATCAATTCAAGAGTACCGTTGTAAATCGGACATTGCTATCTTTGCATGCAGAATAACTTGGAATATCGCTATCAGTCCTTTTAATCGCAAAATTTTTAAATTAAAGATTTGCAGAATTGATGTATCTTATAATTTGCTACTTGAATTCAGCTGATACTTGACCTCTAGCTGTAGACAGATCTATTTATGCTTAACGAGCAGTTTACAAAATGCACTCTTTTAAAGAGAAAGTTTTCAATTAATTAATTCTATGTTATCACACAAGTGTTGAACTAAAAATCATAAAACGAAACAAAAAGAAGCTAGAAAACTTTAATAATTATTAAATTCCAAAATAAGATTTCATAGCAATATTTTGTGCGTATAATGATTTGAAAATAAACATTTTCAAGGTTCCCTTTTTTCACCAGACATCACTGTGCACATTTTTAATAAAAAATCCAGAAACGAAATAAAAGGGAAAGTGTAAAAAAAGGCATTTACAACCAGACTAAGAAACAAATCCAAAAAAATTATGTAAGAATTGAGACCCAAAATAAGTTACTAAACAGTGTTTTACAAGAATTTCTCTAGGTAATTTGATCGACATATTTTCAGTTAGCAACTCTCGTGACTCTACCCTACCCCCTCCTTCCTTATTTATCCGGAAGTCCTGTGATTTAATCAATCTTTCGACGAGGACTGAATTCAGATTATACTTTTTTACATTGAAAAATTTGCACATAAACACTTTCAATTTGGACTTTTTCATTACTCATTAATAATCAATGATTTTGGGATTATTAATTTTGATTCATATCTTTATTTTGAATTATCGATATTGATAACATTTTCACAGGAAGAAACCATATTTTTGATACTCAAGCGTAGATCTTTAAATAATACAAGGGATGATTGGTGTTCTATTTCCGAAAAGAACATAATTAATGAATATAAAGTTTAATACTTCTTCAATTGATAAAAGTAAATTATATCTTTGTTATAATGCCGTATTGAGGAGCAAACATTAATTTCTAAAGCTTTACAAAAAATTGTTACAAATACTAAGGTATGAAGGGAGTGGCCGGTTAGTCAATGTAGTTGAGCTAAGAGTGCAGTTTTGTAGTGACATTTTTTAGGACTTATGAGAGACCTATTAGACGTGTTTACGCTTTTTATTGCTGTATAAGAGCAAAAATAAATCTTTAAAATTCTCCCAGATTTTCCATTTTGGAGGATAAAAATGTATTATAGGTTTCAACAATACTACACTCCCAGCTCAACTATCATGTCTAGTCACTCACTCCCTTTAAGAAATACACAATCCAGTATGCCAAGTCCATTAGCGTCTGATCCAATCAGGGTTTAGTCATGTGTTTGTTTTCTATTCTGAACCAAAAGAAATAGTATGGCGGTAACATCTATTTTTCTATTTATCTCATTATCCAATTAGAGATAAATCCTTATTTCGCGCTATCAGTAAATGGAAATATTTACTTCTACTGAAACTATAGTGTACACTTTTTACTCACCCTGTATATTTTACAATTATCAAAGTTTATAAAAACGTATTTTACGCAGAACTTACTCAACGCGTTCTTTCTAAGTTGAGCTTTCTCATTTGCCACCTCCCAGGCTTCCTTCAGCTTGTTCACGTGGTTCTCCAGAAACTAAGCAAATATTTTACATGAAAAAAAATCCGGGTTAAAAGGACTAAAAACTTACGGTACCCTTTCAACTTTAATTACTCTACATTTCTGCTATAGAATTAATGGAGAAAATTGCGAGAATTATTCAGTTTCCAATTTGGAAAAACCACGATATCTTCCACATTATTTATCAGGTAGAATTTAAAGAGTATTTTTGTGAATCGTGCACTCTGAATTGGTTTCATATTTCAGGGGTTTCCGTTAATTTGAATCAAAAAAATTCTATACCTTTGGAGATTTAGGATCCTCCATTAATCTTTCACCTTTAGTTATAAACTCCTCGACTGTTTTCCTCTTATTCTCCATAATCCTATATAATAATATCCTGTATCCTGTATCCTGTATCCTGTATCCTGTATCCTGTATCCTGTATCCTGTATCCTGTATCCTGTATCCTGTATCCTGTATCCTGTATCCTGTATCCTGTATCCTGTATCCTGTATCCTGTATCCTGTATCCAGTATCCTGTATCCTGTATCCTGTATCCTGTATCCTGTATCCTGTATCCTGTATTCTGTATCCTGTATCCTGTATCATGTATCCTGTATCCTACCTGACAATGGAACCATGTTTATCAATCATCTCCTCGGTTGCTTCAGGATCAGGTATAATTATTTCTCTAGAAAAATATATAAAGTCACATTCTAAAATTTTAATCTCAGGAAATGGAACCCTAATGATCCATAATCAATCTAAAGTAAACTGATATTTTCTTAATATTAGCTCACATTAATTTGGGTAAAAAATATTCAATTCACTTGTTATTTTGCTGAAATAAATGCTCTTTGATCTTTCAGGACAAGTCTTATTTGTTTTACTGGTTCCAACTTAAAGTTGGATCCGTTAGGTTTACCCGTTTCTGCGTATTTTTACCAAGCGATGCTAGACTTTAAAGATCTATTTTCCTGACAGATTTTGCCCTCTGATCATCAATAAACTCAAATATTTGAACCAAATCATCTCCATATTCGTAACATTTCCAGAACACCTAAATAAAATTTAGTTACCTCGATAACCTTGTATTCTTTAAATCCAATCCATTTAATGAGAAAATAAGTATTTTTTTAATTTATTTATTTACTTTTAAATTTTTAATGTTAGTAAAAATTATTTCTTTAACAATATTGTAAAAACTTCAAACAGACGCAAATGTTTTAGATTGCATTTTTGAGTCTAGTCGTAGTCAAGTCTTGATTTAAAACTGATAAAAATGTCAAAATTCACGTTAAATAATCCTGCTTATCTTTTAACAGGAATTTTAGTAAATATTTCTCTAGTCGGTGGAAAAATGTGGACCTCCGAAAAATTAATCAGCCCTGATTATTAAAAAAATTAAATGATGTTTTTGCAAAATGAATGTTTTAGTAAAGTATCTGGAACCGGGTTTAGTATGCAGTATCTAGGACAGGGTTTACTATGCAGTATCTGGAACCGGGTTTAGTAGGCAGTATCTAGGACAGGGTTTACTGTGCAATATCTCGGACAGGGTTTACTATGCAGTATCTAGGACAGGGTTTACTATACAGTGTCTAGGACAGGGTTTACTATGCAGTGTCTAGGACAGGGTTTACTATGCAGTATCTAGGACAGGGTTTACTTTGCAGTATCTAGGACAGGGTTTACTATGTAGAATATCGGACAGGGTTTACTATGTAGTATCTAAGACAGGGTTTACTATGCAGTATCTCGGACAGGGTTTGCTATACAGTATCTAGGACAAGGTTTACTATGCATTATCTAGGACAGGGTTTACTATACAGTACCTAGGACAGGGTTTACTATGCAGTATCAAGGACAGGGTTTACTATGCAGTTTTTAGGACAGGGTTTACTATGCAATATCTAGGACAGGGTTTACTATACAGTATCTTGGACAGGGTTTACTGTGCAATATCTCGGACAGGGTTTACCATGCAGTATCTAGGACAGGGTTTACTATACAGTGTCTAGGACAGGGTTTACTATGCAGTGTCTAGGACAGGGTTTACTATGCAGTATCTAGGACAGGGTTTACTATGCAGTATCTAGGGCAGGGTTTACTATGTAGTATATAGGACAGGGTTAACTATGCAGTATCTTAGACAGGGTTTACTATGCAGTATATAGGACAGGGTTTACTATGCAGTATATAGGACAGGGTTTACTATGCAGTATCTAGGACAGGGTTTACTTTGCAGTATCTAGGACAAGGTTTACTATGTAGAATATAGGACAGGGTTTACTATGCAGTATCTAGGACAGGATTTACTTTGCAGTATCTAAGACAGGGTTTACTATGTAGAATATAGGACAGGGTTTACTGTGCAGTATCTAGGACAGGGTTTACCATTCAGTATCTAGGACAGGGTTTACTATGTAGAATATAGGACAGGGTTTACTATGTAGAATATAGGACAGGGTTTACTATGCAGTATCTAGGACAGGGTTTACTATGTAGAATATAGGAAAGGGTTTACTATGCAGTATCTAGGACAGGGTTTACTATGCAGTATCTAGGACAGGGTTTACTATGTTGTATATAGGACATGGTTTACTATGCAGTATCTAGGACAGGGTTTACTATGCAGTATCTAGGACAGGGTTTACTATGCAGTATCTAGGACAGGGTTTACTATGTAGTATATAGGACAGGGTTTACTATTCAGTATCTGATCTCATTAAAACTTGAGAAGCCAGGATACGAGGCAACTAAATGCTTGGAAAACAGCTGAATCAGCAGAATACACGAATAGACATGTACACGCAGTTTTCACGATAGAATAAAAAACGTAAAGTCTCTAACGGAATCAAAACAAAATAATCCATAAAAAAACGGTTTTAAACGATCAATAGTTCAAAATTTTTGTGTTAATATCTTATAACATAGGACTCAGATCTTATATCAGTTTTAAAATTATTAGTTTTGATTTAAAAACAGTCTACTAGTGTTTACACAATATCATAATACATGTCAAAACTTGAGAGAAGAATCTAAAATTGCTACTAGGTCTTATTTCTTGTATTAAAGGTCCTGGGATTAATTCTTTGAAGGTAACTCTGAAAATAATGATCAAAATCGTGAACAAATTCTTACCTCACTTTTAACTTGAGTTTCCTTTACTCTGGGAACTAAACTAAGATGGCGTTCAATTACAACTTCAAATCTTTTGTTTTCTTCTTTTTTCTCTTCATTGTTCCGATCCCGAAACAAAACATCCATCACCTACAATGATACCATTTTTTCCACGGATCAATTTTAACCCGTAAAGGCTTTACAGAAGGTGTTAGGTACTTTCCCAAAGGCATTTTCCCAATGGCGACTTCCCAAGGGACAATTTCCCAAGTTGCAACTTCCCAAATGTGCAATATCCCAAGTGGCAACTTCCCAAAGGTTAGGTTAGGACCTGTTTTTATTATAAACCATTTACAACTTTTGGAAATCAACCGCGGAACCTTTCTTAAAGGATTTTTGAATAAATTTAACCCTTAGATAATAAAAAGAGCTTGGTGAGACATTTTAAACAAGTTTACAATTCCATATTGAACTTATCCTGAAAATTCGTCCCGTCAACTATTTTCAGCATGTCATCCACAGTCCTGTAAAGCAACAATAATTCTTAATTCGGTTAAGTCAGAATCCAACGTTAATTTCCAAAAGTTTTAATGGTTTTCACGGGTCCTATTTGAACCGGGAAAAAAATGGGAAACCTGCTGACAGTCTACAGACAGGGAGAATTTATTGACTGGATGTTTATAAGTTTCTGTTTGACAAATTCGGACAACTTTATTTTTTATTATATAATATTTTTGACCATATCAAAGTAATAATTTATTTCTCTCTCTGTAGACATGGAAAACTAAATAAGGACATTAGTATTACCTTTCAAGGTTTAAAAAGGGCATAGTATCGAATATTTAATAAATTTTAGCCGTTATAATATTTCTAACTTGAAAGTTATTAAACAGGCAGACCACATTTATAAGATATGTTATTACAAAAATCAGTTTCATGTATGAATGCCGAACAAATAGGAAATAGAATCTCTCCATTAATATAAATCCTTGAATTCGTTAAGCTCTTATTTTGAAAATATACTTCAATTAAAAATCTTAAAATACTTTTAAAGTTAAATATACAAAGTTTTAGCACTAGTTTAAATACTTCTATTGTAATGTTTCAAGAGAATCCCAGTGGCACAGAAAGGTAGTTGAGCTGGTCGTAGCTAGTTCAACTAACACTTTTTTGTAATTCGTACCTGGATATCTAGTTTAAAGAATAAAGAGTGATCATGACAATGATTTCTATATTTATTTCTTATTTGTTAAAACTGTAAAATGTACCAGATTTTGTAAGAAAACTGCTAAACTCTGAATCAAACTTGTTTTATAATTTTTATAAAGTTATAAAAGTACCTCTGAGAGCCATTTCTTGGTTTCAGCTCTCTCCAGGTTCTTGCAAAGGGACAGGAAGTTATCTCTCTCTCTCTTAAACTCTGCACTGGTGTACACCTTCGTAGCCATCACCTTAGAAAATAATTGAATGATAAGCAGTTGAATTGAGAGACGGATTCAGATTGTCTTCTTCTTATTTTTGCAGCATTCATTTGTAAGCCTACTTTTTAAGTACTAGGCTGCGCCCATCTTCTATTTCAACTTTTAATTGTGGCTTTTTCTGTCAGCATCTTCTCTTTGTACAGTATAAAACAAAAACAACAAAAACCTTTGCGGATTTCATCATCATTTTCCGCGCATTTTAAAAAAATTTTTTAAATTAAAAAACTTTTAAACACAAATTTTTTAAATTTTGATAATTCATTAACCTTCCTTGGGGTCACGTGAGGTCCTACACAAAATTTAGGCCCGATCGTCTTAGCCTTTTTGACATTTATTGGATACAAACAAACAAACAAGCAGACACCCACCCAAGCGAAATATATATAGATGATTCTTTAAAAAAAATAATCTCATAGTCTTAGCATTTCCTAAAAGTGGTCCGCCTTTGTGCTTACTGCTTTCAAAATTTCCGGAAACATAAAAATTTCGTTCAGATTTAAACAATTTTGGTTTAAAATAAAACTGAACAAAATTATCCGGTCGTCTCTTAACGGTTTATTTTAACCAACAATTAACACATTCGTTAATGAATCTCTTGATTTAATTCCATTTCATGTGACAATTAACAAACACAGCTCAGTGCAGTTTTTAACGTCTTATGATTTCTTATCTAAACAAACGGGTGTTTTCTAAAGTTAAAACATTTTCGGACGATATTTTTTTATTTAGAAAACTTTTTGCACATTTCTAATTGTCAAATTGTTATTATCGAAGTAAAGGAAATATCAATAAAATCCATATTCCACAACGGGTACAATTGAACCTCATTTTTATAACGTTTATTTATTATTTGGACACCATTATTCTATACCCTCGATCCGGAACATCTCAACGAGGTGAGACGACTAAGTTTTGATCCTTATCCCAAAATTTAGGTTATTATTAGGTTATTTTTAAAAGGATGAATAATCCCTGTAAATTCAATATTTTAGTATTTTACTATTTACAATACCTTCCCTATCGCCATCTCAATGTAATCCATCCACTCCGTCATCTTGGTGACCCTTGTGTCGTACACATCCTTGATGAAGGAGTAGTTCTCAGACCAGAAGGACATCTTGGTCGTTTTCTACATTGATCATAAACAAAATCGTTTCAGCTAAATACTGACTAAGCCTAACCAATCTCTACTAGCTGAATAACCTATCCGGAGAACTAAGCTGACCTAACCAAGTCCTATTAGCTGAATAACCTACCCGGAGAACTAAACGGACCAAATAAAATCCTACTTGCTGAATAACCTATTTAGAGAAATAAACTGACCGAACTGAGTCGTACTAGCTGAATAACAAAAGGAGAGAACTTAATTGACCGAACCAAGTAAAACTAGCTAGATAACCTACCCGGAGAACTTAACTGACCGAACTGAGTACGACTAGCTAGATAACCTACCCGGAGAACTAAACTGACCGAACTGAGTACGACTAGCTAGATAACCTACCCGGAGAACTAAACTGACCGAACTGAGTACGACTAGCTAGATAACCTACCCGGAGAACTAAACTGACCGAACTGAGTACGACTAGCTAGAGAAGGTTTATTGAAGCGCAAAAATCCCAAACTCAGCTCTTTCTTGCATCCTCGTATCTCTATTTTCCTCATTTTTTATTTCTAATTGATTATTATTTGATCTTTTAATCCAATTAATTTTCAACATGTTTGGTGCTTAATTCATTTTATTCATCCAACCTATATCAGACCTTTCGTATGTACGATTCTTTAAAAAAAAGAAAAAACTCTTTGTGAGACCAGCTATGACCAAAAACAATTTTAAAGACGTACAACAAAAAAATGTTGTAAAGTCTGAAGAGCAATGAAAAATCGTCACAGAATGAAGGAAAAACTAAAATGTGAATGCTACCCTAAAAAGGAGGAAGGGGGTATAATGAATATAGCGGACTTTTTTTACTTTCTTTAATTTCATTTTTTTATAATAAAATTGTCAAACAAGGCAAACTATTTAAAATTGTAAATATTTATTTAAAGGATGTCTTAATCAACATGAATGGTAATTTGTGACTTCTTTCATAATTTGTTGTCTAGAACACAAAAACTATTCAAGTTAAACAATAAAGATAACACTCTTTTCGTCTTGGAATGTTTAAAAAGTGGTCTGTCATTTAATTGATAGATTTATCCAGAAGTTCACATTTCAATTCAGTAAATGAAATAAAAAATCCTCCATCAGAAAGGTAAACTTTTTCAAAACTTTATTGTAAATTTGATTTTTTTCTCCATGTTTATTGGGACACCCTGTACCAGAGATAAAACTACAAGATAGATAAATGTTCGAATTTGTTTAATTTTAGTTTCTTCTTGAACTGGTCAGCTAAACAACTCTTAAATAGAAACTCATTAAAGAGACTGTTGTTTTGATTTGAATGTGATCCTCCATTTAAAAGAGCCATGTCCGATTCACAACAGTAACCCTTTATCTGTTCGATAATGTGAAAAATATACTGACGATTTTTTAGCATAAAAGGTGTTTTATTCTGGTAAATTCCTTAATTGCTTTACAGGTCACTTTTAGAGAGAAACCACAAATGAAAATAATAAGACAGTGCTTCTAAGTGTACTGTTGTGAATCAGAAACGCCAATAAATGGATCGTCAAATAATATTACGTCTTTAAACCCTTTAAATTACAATTGTACTTTTATAATTTATAGAGAACTGTTTTATCTTCTAGATAGACTCAAGATCCCCCCCTCCCCCTTAAACTATGGAGAAATATCATCATGTGGTCATAGGTAGGATTATTTGAAATACTAAACAACGACGAAAATTTTATTTATTTCATAAATAGGTTTATAAATCCCTGAATTGTAAAAATACAATTGACATCAGACAAAATACATATTGTGTTTGGTTGTGAGCCATTAATCAATGTCAAAAAAGTGTTAAAAAAATATACAGTGGATCAATATACATTTGAAATGTTTTGTTGAAACAGTTTTTATTGATGTCGATGTATTTTTAATAATTTGACGATGATTTGTACTGTACTGTTCTATACTGTACTGTACAGTACTGTACTGTACTGTACTGTACTGAACAGTATTATACTATACTGTACTGTACTGTACTGTACTGTACAGTACTATACTGTACTGTGCTCTACTGTGCTGTACTGTACTGTACTGTACTGTACTGTACTGTACTGTACTGTACTGTACTGTACTGTACTGTACTGTACTGTACTGCACTGTACTGTACTGTACTGTACTGTACTGTACTACACTGTCTGTACTGCTAGGTGCTGGAATTAACGGATCCTGTACTGCCTTCCAGCTTGCTAAAAGAGGAACTAAAGTTCTACTGTTAGAAAAGGTAAATATTTAACCTTCTTCTCTTTAATAGATAAAGATAGCATTTAACAGAAAAACAATTTGGCAAAAATACAAAGAAATTATCTTTTTGTAAAAAAAAATTTGTATTTTTATATTTAGACAAAAATGATCAGTGATTATCTTTTATTCTTACAAACTCCAACCAAGTGCGTGCAGTGAGTTGCTCTCGATTATTGGATAACATAAACATTATTTAATATATATCTATTATCAATTTACTAGTTCGTACAATCATAAAATATAGATTTATAAAATGCCTGTAAAAAATACAATTTTATACTTAAAAAACAGGAAATTAAGTGCAGATCAAGATAAATTTTTTTTTACTAGGCAATACTTTTAGCAAACCATTTTACTCCATCTTAGCAAATCTTAATTTTGAATTTAATTAATTTTAACAATTTCTTTCCAGTTTCTGCTTCCCCATAGTAGAGGAAGCTCTCACGGACAAAGCAGAGGAATCAGGTTTTGTATTAATCTCAAGCTATATCTACATTTTTTTAGAAAAGTATATTTATATTCGAAAAGCATTATTATTTTAGAAAAGCATTTTAATTTTAGAAAAGCATTTTTATTTTAGAAAAGCATTTTTATTTTAGAAAAGCATTATTATTTTAGAAAAGCATTTTAATTTTAGAAAAGCATTTTTATTTTAAAAAAGCATTTTTATTTTAGAAAAGCATTTTTATTTTAGAAAAGTTTTTTTATTTTAGAAAAGCATTTTTATTTTAGAAAAGCATTTTAATTTTAGAAAAGCATTTTTATTTTAGAAAAGCATTTTTATTTTAGAAAAGCATTATTATTATAGAAAAGCATTTTAATTTTAGAAAAGCATTTTAATTTTAGAAAAGCATTTTTATTTTAGAAAAGCATTTTTATTTTAGAAAAGCATTTTTATTTTAGAAAAGCATTTTTATTTTAGAAAAGCATTTTTAATTTAGAAATGCATTTTTATTTTAGAAAAGCATTTTTATTTTAGAAAATCATTTTTACTTTATAAAAGCATTTTTATTTAAGAATGCATTTTTATTTTAGAAAATCATTTTTACTTTATAAAAGCATTTTTATTTAAGAATGCATTTTTATTTTAGAAAAGCATTTTTACTTCATAAAAGCATTTTTATTTAAGAAAAGCATATCCTGATCCCTTCTTTACAGCACTCATGGAAGAAGCGTATAAAGAATGGGAAGACATAGAAAAGAAAACAGGAGTTAAACTTATCAAGTGAGCTTAAACTAGTTTGTTTATATAGAAAATAGATTATAGATTATAGATTAAAGATCATGCAGAAGTAAGATTTCATTTCATGAAAAGATGAATGCAATGGCGCGCTTCTAATCTAATCTAATAAATATACTACTTTACCTAGCTCATTCTATACCGTTTACCTTGCTGTCGTGTCTGTGTATCCTAAATTGCTGTCGTGTTTGTGTATCCTAAATTGCTGTCGTGTCTGTGTATCCTGAATTGCTGTCGTGTCTGTGTATCCTAAATTGCTGTCGTGTCTGTGTATACTGAATTCCTGTCGTGTCTGTGTATACTGAATTGCTGTCGTGTCTGTGTATCCTGATTTGCTGTCGTGTCTGTGTATACTGAATTCCTGTCGTGTCTGTGTATACTGAATTGTTGCCGTGTCTGTGCATCCTGAATTACTGTCGTGTCTGTGTATCCTGAATTACTGTCGTGTCTGTGTATCCTGAATTGTTTTCGTGTATGTGTAACCTGAATTCCTGTCGTGTCTGTGAAACTAGAATTACTGTCGTGTATGTGTAGGAAAAGGAACTGAGCTCCTGCCCCAAACTGAATTTTAATTTTAATTAGTATTTCTTTGCAACCTTTGATATTTCAAAGCAAAAAATCTAAGTTTGAAATATCAATGGTTCACACCATCAAACTGCAAAGATGTAGGGATTTGAAAAATTTGAGTTTGCAATAAAAACTTTCTTTACAATGTGCCTGAATTTTGATGAACTTTATTATTTAATGAAACTTTATTTATATTCAGGAAAACAGGTCTTCTTTGTTTTGCGGAGAATAAAAATATTAAGTTCATCAACGACACCATCGACAGCTTTAAAAAGGTTCCGGGTGAGAAAATTCAATATTTTTACAGTGATAACCAGAAAACTCTGAAATAGAAAGACGACATTTAGAATCAAGTGATTACATTAAAAAGACCATTGAGCATGAGACACAGAAATTATGTAGTGTAAACAGACCTATTTCACTACATTGGTGATTTAAAAAATGTCTAGTAAACCTATTTGTTTTGTAACAACACCAAATACAATTAAGTATTCATTTATAGAGATAAGAGAGTTATAGAGATTGATTATCAGTTAAAATATGCGATATTCTCTGCATCATGTTCTATTATGTACAAGTACTGTACACGACCAATCAGAAAACATCTGTATTTAGAGATATTTATTGATTCTTTTGGATACAAAAGATAAAATCTTCAAAAAAAAGACTGAACTCATAAGTCTTATGTTCCATATTTAAAATTGGAGTTGTAAAACTTAACCCCTGAATGGGTGTTATGAGATGGCTCTCTAAAAACCAATCGTAAAAACGTAGTATGCCGTGCGGGTCAACTTAGGCCTACGTACTACGTAGCCTACCATGTGAAAGGAGATAAGCAGTCTGTGTAGTCTGTGGTATTCATATTTCATTGTTTTGTGGTCATCACTGTAATCTTTTTTAATTTAAAGATTTTATGCTGTTACAAAAACATACATTAATAAAATCAGTAAATAACGTGTTGACTGGTACAAATTCAATAAAGATGCATTGATTGAAATATTTACGGAACAATTGTAAAACGTATAGTTTTGTAAAGGTGCTCAGAATACAGTGTACAACTCTAAACAACTCAGGAAAAACTGGGTTTCAAATCAGAAGTATCCTTAACTTTAACAAGATTTATAAATTCAAATAGGGTTAGAAAGTTTATTTTGTTTCTAATTTTTCACTTAAATACTATTGTAAGTAACAATGTCAAAGTATTATTTTGGCTGAAAACAGTTTCATTTACTGAAATATAATTTTTACAATCATTTAATTAAAAAACTAAATATCTGCCGCATTCGATTATCAAAAAGTTAAGAATACAACATCTTATAAATAAAGATGTCTCTCTATATATAGTTGAACTTAACAAACTAAATTTACATGTTTAGCATTGTACATCGTAGAAAATTATTAAATAGTTTTCTATGCAAACATAAAATGCTATTTCTAAATAAATTTCTAAATCTGAAATAAACCAAATTTCTGTTTGCAGGGAGAAATTTCCATGTGTCAGGTATTTTTAATTTGATTTTGAGTTCTACTCTTTTCCTTGCTAGCACGGGAGGTGGGGGGGGGGGGAGCTCATAAATGTCCCATGTTTCTGTGCATTCAATTAGTCAAGATTTTTAAAGGAAAATTTACTCTATAATTTAAAGCTTTCTTTTGAATGAATGTTTAATGCTGAGTGCATGCTGGCTTTTAAAATTAAATGCTGCGTAATGATAAGACGACTTTTGATAAACTTTTTTACTTTTCCAGGTTAGGAAAATCTGCCTTGGGTTGCTATGATCCCTCTGGAGGTGTTATTTTTGCAGATAAAGCTCTAAAATGCATTCAGGTTATTTTTATCTGACTGGAAGGGCCTGCACTTAATTTCTCACCCATTTATTTATTAATACATTAGTTAAAATTGGTCAAAAAAGAATCTGAATCGTATTATTAAATATTTTTCTTCACCGATTAATTTACAAAACGGCTGACAACATATTCCTTATTTGTTAGAAATTGCGGATTTCTCTCATTGGATAGAATTTATTTTCAAGGCTGTCATTGGTTAATACAATTTACATATTCCAGCACTCTCATTGGAGAAAACAATGTACGGATATCCAAAGAGAGAGAAAAGAGTGGATTAAGGACTAAAATGAAAAGTTTCCACAGTGGATATTCGGATTAAGTAGTTGGGATTAAAGGTTATCCATTCTCCAGCTCAGAGCTGAAAACTTTAGAATGAAATATCCTTAATCCCGATCGGTTAATTAATCTGGAGATTAAAAACAAGAGGAGAACAAGCATTATTTAACCTCGAGATTACGAAAAAGAGTGGATCAAGCATTAATCCCGATATCCATCATTCAAAAGTTCCAAGCACTGGTTATTTTTATCTTGTTGATTTCAAACCAAATTATTTTAATATTGAAAACAAAGGAATCTAAATATTACAAAAATCTTCCTTAATTTCCGATAGTTAATGAAGGACAAATGTTAAAGGTTTTTCATCTTTTTCGAGCTTTTAAAAAATGTCATCTAACTTTGGATGAAAATTTCAAAATTGAAAAATATTTTAGAAATTAGGATTTGATTCTATACGATAGAATTAGACAAATTGTATCTAATTGCCAAGGACGAAAACTAAATGCCCCAATAAGAAATACTAAACCTTTGGTGTTTATAATTAATTGGTTAAACTAGCTACTTAAATTTCTTTCACGAAAACATGCCGTGCTGCTAAAATACGAATCATATGTTGTCAAATAATCTCTGCATTGTTTTAGAGAATTATTCTAATTTGAATTTTTTTAATTATTTCCTTAATTCAGGATCTTTGTAAAGAATATGGAGTTGTTATAAAAGATGGAGAGGATGTGGAAGATATTAAACATAATTCTAATTCAGTTCACATCTCAACAACTTCAGGTTCAAGGTAATAAAACAAAATTGCAGTTATACATTTAAAAGACCAGAAATTTTACCGTAAAATTTACTTCAAAGGTTTACTGCACAGAGCTGTGTTATTTGCCCAGGTAATTATCTTCCTTCCAAATTAAATAACAAAAAATACAAATATTATATTTTCATTTCATTCGTAGGTCCGTGGGGAGGTCCCTTGTTAGCTAAACTAGGATACCAGGTGCCCCTGAAACCTGTAAAGATCCCTGTATACTATTGAGAAGCCCCTGATTTCCTTCCACACACCTGGATTTGTGAACGAGAAGATGGAAAACATTTCTGGGGCCTTCCCGCTCTAGAATATCCCGGGTTGGCTAAGGTAGGAGAATTCCTAATTTTCTTCCTGCTCTAGAATATCCAGGGTTAGCTAAGGTAGGAAAACTCATGGGATCTTGCCGTCTAGAGTATCCAGGGTTAGCTAAGGTAGGAGAATTCCTGGCATCTTCCAGCTCTAGATTATTCAGGGTTAGCTAAGGTAGGAGAATTCCTGGTATCCTCCTGCTCTAGAATATCCCGGGTTAGCTAAGGTAGGAGAATTCCTGATATCTTCCTGCTCTAGAATATCCAGGGTTATCTAAGATAGGAAAATTCCTGGCATCTTCCCGCTAAAGAATATCTAGGATTAGCTTTGGTTGTAGAACTTCTGGTATCTTTCTGCTTTAGAATATCAAGGGTCAGCTAAAGTAGGAGAATTTCTAGTATCTTCCTGCTCTTGAATATCCAGGGTTAGCTAAAGTGGGAGAACTCCTAGGATCTTCCCGTTCCTCGGATCTTACCGTCTTGAATATCCAGGGTTAGCTAAGTTAGGAGATTTTCTGGCATCTTCCTTTTCTAGAATATCTAGGGTTAGCTAAGGTAGGAGAATTCTTGGTATCTTCCGTTCTAGAGTATCCAGGGTTAGCTAAGGTAGGAGAATTCCTGGTATCTTCCGTTCTAGAATATCCAGGGTTAGCTAAGGTAGGAGAATTCTTGGTATCTTCCGTTCTAGATTATCCAGGGTTAGCTAAAGTGGGAGAAATCCTGGGATCTTCCCGTCTAGAATATCCAGGGTTAGCTAGGGTAGGATAATTCCTGCAGATTTCTTCCTGGTCTGAAATATCCAGGGTTAGCTAAGGTAGGAGAACTCCTGGTATCTTCCGTTCTAGAGTATCCAGGGTTAGCTAAGGTAAGAGAATTCTTAGTATCTTCCGTTCTAGAGTATTCAGGGTTAGCTAAGGTAGGAGAACTCCTGGGATCTTCCCGTCTAAAATATCCAGGGTTAGCTAAAATAGGAAAACTCCTGAGATCTTTCCGCTCTAGAATATTCAGGGTTAGCTAAGGTAGGTGAATTCTTGGTTAACTAGATAACAAAATCTCATTTGATTATGAATTAAATTTTATTCATGATGATTCAGATTTGTCCTCATGATGGTCCTGAGATAGATCCTGACTCAAGAGATGCCGAAGACACTGAGCATTTGAAGATTCTGGTGCAGGATTTTGTCAGGTTGGAATAAAAATCAAATTAAATTATAAAATTGATTTAACAAAAAAACAGAAATGTATAGATACATTTGAATATACATGAAGGTCAGAGGAAAGGGTTTGTATACACATTGGGCTGGCTTATTAGAATATTAAAAACTAATTTATTAAAACAATAATTTGACAATAATTTAAACAAAGGTACATTCTTTAAATCTTAAATCTTTATTCATCCCAATGTCAAGTTATCGAATGCTAGACTATGTTTGTTATTTTACAGGACAACTTTTCCCGGAGTAAATCCTCAGGTTCGGATTGAAGAGAGTTGTATCTATACAATTACTCCGGACTGGAACCCTATAATAGACACTTTACCTGGAGCACCCAATATAGTTGTTGGAGTAGGATTCTCAGGTAAACCCTGGATTTGGTAAACCCTAGATTCTCAGGTAAACCCATGATTCTCAGGTAAACCCTGGATTCTCAGATAAACCCTGGATTCTCAGATAAACCCTGGATTCTTAGGTAAACCCTGAATTCTCAGGTAAAACTGGATTTGGTAAACCCTAGATTCTCAGGTAAACCCATGATTCTCAGTCAAACCCTGGATTCTCAGGTAAACCTTGGATTCTCAGGTAAACCATAGATTCTCAGGTAAACCCAGGATTCTCGGGTACACCCTGGATTCTCTGGTAAACCCAGGATTCTCAGGTAAACCCAGGATTTTTAGGTAAACCCTGGATTCTCAAGAAAACCTTGGATTCTCAGCTAAACACTAGATTCTCAGGTAAACCCAGGATTCTCAGGTAAACCCTGAATTCTGAGGCAAACCCTGGATTTTCAGGTAAACCCTGGATTCTCGGGTAAAACTTGGATTCTCAGGTAAACCTTGGATTCTCAGGTAAACCCTGGATTCTCGGGTAAACCTTGGATTCTCAGGTAAACCTTTGATTCTCAGGTAAACTCTGGTTTCTCAGGTAAACCCAGGATTCTCAGGTAACCACAGGATTCTCAGATAAACCCTGGATTCTCAGGTAAACCCAAAAATCTCTCTATCACTGCCCCCCTCCCCCTCCCTCCACACCACGACTCTCTTATTTTTAAGGAATCAGTCAATTTTAAAGGAATTGAGTTTTTGCCACAAACTCTGATTTTCTAATTACTATATCTTTGGAACCAAATGTTTCAGACCTTAGATATTTCAAACTATGAATTCTGTTAGATCAAATAATCTTAGTTTGAAATATCAAAGGTTTACAACATCGAAATCTAAAGATATTGAGTTTTAAATATTTGATTTTGTTCCAAAGACTCAATTCCTTTGATTAATATTTAAGGAACTGGATTTAAACTGGGACCTGTTACTGGAAATATGTTGGCAGACTTGGCTCAGGGTATAAAACAAAGGTAAAGAACATCAAGATGTCCATTTATTACTGTGTCTGAATGGGACAGCACTGGAACTGATCTATAAATATATGCTTGGCGTTTTTGTTTTTTGATTGTTTTTTAATTAATAAACGTAAAAGAGGCTAAACAGATCGAACCAAATTTAGTTTGGAACCTCACAGTCGCATGATCCCATAGATTGTCTAAACAAATTATATTTTTTTAAATCACGAAAAAAAATCAATAAATCCGAGATTTTTTTATTGTTTGCTAATTAAAAAAGAGAAATTGACGCAGATAAAGCAACAACTGAAAGTTAAAATCGAAGATGTGCGCGAAGCCCCCTGTAATTATAGTATTATTAACACTCTAACAATTAACAAAGGCTGGAATTCCTTATTTTTTATATTATAAATCCTTAGCTCCTTATCTATCTTATTAAGGCAAAGTAAAATATAACCGAGTTTTATCCGGTATATATATTTCCCTCATCTTTAGTTTTATATTTTTTTTAAATACTTAAACCAGCCTTGAAGGTTCCAACACTTATTAGTACAGTGACTTTTTTATATAGAGTGCCGTGTCTGATTCACAACGATAAAAAATAAACATTCATCTGAGAAAAAATGACGAAGTTACCCCTGCTTTCTATTTGAAAATCGATTATTTTCTATGGCGGGTTTTCCATCTTTAACTGACTTGCCTGATTTTTTACCCTAGAAAAAAGAAGGAAATTAAGAGAAAGATATCTGGCCTAACAGAAAAATGTCGATTTTTTGCACTCGGAGAGATTTTTAAAGGGTACCATGTACGTGATAGAGGGTCTCTTAACATTACGTCTTCAGACACTTTAATAATGATATTTCATCTTAATATTAAGCAATATATTTTAGATAAGACGTATCGCTGCTCTCCTACAGTAGATTTTCTGGATCAAAACTATAAAAAGTCCACTGCACTGCACAGTGTTACCAGAAACATAAACTTTAATTGAATTTTTTGACACTCATGGGTGTAAAAGGCTAAAAAAAATCATAACTTTATTTCAAAATTTTTTTTAATTGTTTCCAACGGGCAACGCCGGGCTCTTCAGCTAGTCTTAAATAACATTTTAAATGTATAATGTTTTTTATCGCTAAATATATACCTATATCTACTAAACACCAATTCTAAGTCGCAGTTTAAATATTTTATAAAAGGAAATAAAGCATTTAAAACTTATTGCCTTTGTTTCACTTCAACTACTTTTAGATGTAAATGTTAAAATGTGAACTATAGGCATTACTTGGAACCCTTTTTCACAACAAATTTGCGTTGTCTATTTTAAAATTCGCCCACAGTGATATGAATTGTAGGTATTTTAAATTTGTAATAACTAGACTTTCCAGGTGTTTCGCTTCTTTGTTCTGATAACAATTTTAGCTTTAAACTGCATAATTAAATATAAGGCCGCCTGTTATATCGTTCTCTAATAAACTAATATTTTGCATTAATTAAAGAAATAGTGTGTTGTAATTTTATGTTTATGAAGTATGAATGTAAAAACAAGAAGAAATCATAATTAACTTATTTATATAGAATTTATTGGATATTGTTTAGCATTTAATGTAAAGAAAGAATGGCGAACTATTGACATACTTGAAATATTGATTAGACAACCAGATAGAGTAAACTAAGCAGCAGATATACTAATCCCAGTTTAGTTTAAAAATAATACACAGAATATACTATTTAAAGTAAACTAAACAGTAGATATATAATTCCAGTTTAGTTTAACAATAATACACAGAATATACTAGTTAAAGTAAACTAAACAGTAGATATATAATTCAAGTTTAGTTTAACAATAATACACAGAATATACTAGTTAAAGTAAACTAAACAGTAGATATATAATTCAAGTTTAGTTTAATAATAATACACAGAATATACTAGTTAAAGTAATCTAAACAGTATATATATACTAATTCCAGTTTAGTTTAACTATAATACACAGAATATACTAGGTAAAGTAAACTAAACAGTATATATATATAATTCCAGTTTAGTTTAACAATAATACACAGAAATATACTAGTTAAAATAATCTAAACAGTATATATACTATTTCAGTTTAGTGTAACAAGAATACACAGAAATATACTAGGTAAAGTAAACTAAACAGTAGATATATAATTCCAGTTTAGTTTAACAAAAATACACAGAATATACTAGTAAAAGTAAACTAAACAATAGATACATAATTCCAGTTTAGTTTAACAATAATACACAGAATATACTAGTTAAAGTAATCTAAACAGTAGATATATAATTCCAGTTTAGTTTAACAATAATACACAGAATATACTAGTTAAAGTAATCTAAACAGTAGATATATAATTCCAGTTTAGTTTAACAATAATACACAGAATATGCTAGTTAAAGTAAACTAAACAATAGATATATAATTCAAGTTTAGTTTAACAATAATACACAGAATATACTAGTAAAAGTAAACTAAACAGTAGATATATAATTCAAGTTTAGTTTAACAATAATACACAGAATATACTAGTTAAAGTAAACTATAAAACAGTAAATATATAATTCCAGTTTAGTCTAACAATAATACACAGAATATACTAATTAAAGTAAACTAAACAATAGATATATAATTCCAGTTTAGTTTAACTATAATACACAGAATATACTAGTTAAAGTAAACTAAACAGTAGGAAATATCTATTACGATAGTTTTACCTCAGGGTACTGTTGTGAATCAGACATAGAAAAGAGTGTCACTTGAAATTACGTTTATTATCTATTTAATCAGCTACAACAAGCATCAGATTTTACTCCTATTTGTGGGTCTTTAGTAGACCTTTTCTGGTTTTGTTTTAAGATATTTATTTTACTTTTTTAGAAGATATTGTATTGTCGGTCAGTTTAATTTTGATATTTACAGTGTAGTTATTAAGAAAAAGGTTTTCAAAATACAGATTGCCCCACTAAACAATTAAATTCGACGTTAAAAAAAGAATGTATGGAGCATGCTTCATAGATTACACATTAAAATTGTTATTAAAAACGATCTGTTTATGGTTTAGAAGGGTATTGTATCTGTTCAATGTCACATTTAGCAACTTTACATCTTTATTTTTGTGGAACACTTTGTGATAAAATATAAAAAGAAACATTTCTAAAATTTTGTTAAAAATTAAACACATGAATTGAATCTTGTTAGATATATATAAATATATAAGAATGTCTACTGGAGCCCAGGTATCCTATTGTGTTGATATGGATAAATCTGTTATTCTAGGTAAACTTTTTACACTTTATTGATGCCAGTAGATAATAAAATCAGTCATATTTTAATGATTTTCTAAGATACTAGGCTCTATTTCAACTTATTTGTTGCTTTATCTGTGAGCATCTTCTCTTTGTACAGTATAAAAAAAGAGTTGGCGGATTTCATACTATTTTTTCGCGCATTTTCAAAACTTACAAAAATAAAAAAGAATTTACACAAATTTTTGAAATTTTGATCATTTATAAACTTTCCCTGGGGTCACGCGAGGTCCCACACAAATTTTGGACCCAAACGGTTCAGCCGTTGTTACGTTTATTTGATACAAACACACAGACACACAAGCAAAGTATATATATAGATTAATTTAAGGGGCTATATCAGCAATCTCAAACATTTCTCCCGTGATGACCAATACAAAGCCGCGTAGTTATTGTCGTCTTCAATCTTTGTCTAATTTAATAATCCGCAAAGGATTTTTTTTAATTTGTAAATGTTATTTCTTAAAGCTATATACAAAAATACTGAGCTAGGGCACATTTCTCAAATATAACATTAACAAAATGTCTAGTGATATTTCGAATTTAGAGAAAAGTGACACAATTACACATTTTTTTAAATGTCAACTTAAGTTCCAAATAATATTCGTAAAATTTGTGTTGTCCTTGAAACCTGAAAAACTAATTAAATGTCTAAAAAATGTGACGTTTGGAAATAAAATTTCATTTTGCCAGTTTCATCACAAGATGGAAACAAACGTTTTTAATGTTTTAAAAGTAATCACAAGTGTTTAATTTCAGGAAATATAGAAAAACGAGGTTGGGTGCCAGTCGGTAAATTATTTTTTTTCATAAGCAACGTTCAAAAATAATAATAAAATATTTATAAATAATAAAAGATGTTCATAAACAATAAAAAAATGAATAATAATAAAATGTTCATTAATAATAATAAAATGTTCAAAAATAATAATAATTTGAACTTTAATATCTTCCATGATGTTCTCTACAGGTCCTGATGATGATTGGCAGTTTTACTGGGCGTCTACACAAACATGTAGAAATCTATTTTCTGTAGACTCCGGATATAGGTAACTGGATAATATTCTCTGTAGACTCTAGATATAAGTAACTGGATAATATTCTCCGTAGACTCTAGTAACTGGATAATATTCTCTGTAGACTCTGGATATAGGTAACTGGATAATATTCTCCGTAGACTCTGGATATAAGTAACTCGATGATATTCTCCGTAGACTCTAGATATAAGTAACTGAATAATATTCTCCGTGGACTCTGGATATAGGTAACTGGATAATATTCTCCGTAGACTCTGGATAGAGGTAACTGGATAATATTCTCCAGAAACTCTGGATATAGTTAAGTGGATATTATTCTCCATAGACTCTGGATATAGGTAACTGGCTAATATTCTCCGTAGAATCTACATATAGGTAACCCTAGATAATATTTTCCGTAGACTCTGGATAAAGGTAACTTGGATATTATTCTCTGTGGACTCTGGATATAGGTAACTGGATGATATTCTTTGTAGACTCTAGATATAGGTAACTGGATAATATTCTCCGTAGACTCTGGATACAGGTAACTGGATAATATTCTCCGTAGACTCTGGATATAGGTAACTGGATGATATTCTCTGTAGACTCTGGATATAGGTAACTGGATAATATTCTCCGTAGACTCTGGATATAGGTAACTGGATAACATTCTCCGTAGACTATGGATATAAGTAACCCTAGATAATATTTTCCGTAGACTCTGGATAAAGGTAACTTGAATATTATTCTCCGTGGACTCCAGATATAGGTAACTGGATAATATTCTTTGTAGACTCTAGATATAGGTAACTGGATAATATTCTTTGTAGACTCCAGATATAGGTAACTGGATAATATTCTCTGTAGAATCTGGATATAGGTAACTGAATAATATTCTCCGTATACTCTTAATATAGGTAACTGGATAATATTCTCCGTATACTCTAAATATAAGTAACTGGATAATATTCTCTATAGACTTTGGATATAGGTAACTGGATAATATTCTCCGTAGAAAGTTGGCTATAGGTAACTGGATAATATTCCCCGTAGACTCTGGATATAGGTAACTGGATAATATTCTCCATTAACTCTGGATATAAGTAACTGGATAATTTTTTTTCACCGTAAACTCTGGATATAATTATTTAATTTTATAGAGATACATCCTTACGACCCAACTCCTAACATTTTAAACCACTGGTTTCCATTTTCACATACTGAAAATAAATGTCCTATATATACATTACATACAAAAACACTAATACGTAAGATGAAAGAACATTATGAAGGGCAACATTGTCATTTTTCTCCAAATAAAACTCAATGCAGTTTCTGGGATGAATACTTTGAAATACAGCTTTCAGTTTTTGTTCTCTCAGAAAGTGAAGTACACATTTATGTATTTAGTTCCATGTGTTTATTTAGAATGAATGATTTCCAGATGATAAACCATTTCCCAAACCATTACGAGCTCACGAGGAAGGATACAATGGTGAAGAATATCAAGAGGTATAGGAGGGACCTGGAGAGAGAAGGAAACCCCCTCGCGGAGAAAAGCCAAGAAGGTTATACCAAAAAAAACGTTTTCTTGAAATTCTGAATAATAAAATTACTTTTAAGGTCGATATTTGTATCTGGATTTTATACCAACCACCTTTATCCTACCTGCAGACTACAATATGTTTGTAGAGGAGTACAGGTAATACAATATTTCATTCCAGCAGACTACAATATGTTTGTACAGGAGTTTAGGTTATACAATAATTCCTTTCTGTAGACTTCAATATTTTTGTAGAGGAATACAGGTAATACAATATTTCATTCCAGCAGGCTACAATATGTTTGCAGAGAAGTACAGGTTATACAATATTCCATTCAACCAGACTACAATATGTTTGCAGAGGAATACAGGTTATAGAATATTCCATTCAAGCAGACTACAATATGTTTGTAGAGTAGTGCAGGTTATACAATATTTTATTCCAGCAGACTACAATATGTTTGTAGAGGAATACAGGTTAAACCAGATTCCATTCAAGCAGACTACAATATGTTTGTAGAGTAGTGCAGATTATACAATATTTTATTCAAGCAGACTACAATATTTTGTAGAGGAGTACAGGTTATACAATATTTCATTCAAGCAGACTACAATATGTTTGTAGAGGAGAACAGTTTATACAATATTTCATTCAAGCAGACTACAATATGTTTGTAGAGGAGTACAGGTTAAACAATATTTCATTCCAGCAGACTACAATATGTTTGTAGAGGATTACATGTTATACAATATTTCATTCAAGCAGACTACAATATGTTTGTTGAGGAGTACAGGTTATACAATATTTCATTCAAGCAGACTACATATGTTTGTAGAGGAGTACATTTTATGCAATATTTTATTCAAGCAGACTACAATATGTTTGTAGAGGAATACAGGTTAAACAATATTCCATTCAAGCAGACTACAATATGTTTGTAGAGTAGTGCAGATTATACAATATTTTATTCAAGCAGACTACAATATGTTTGTAAAGGAGTACAGGTTATACAATATTTCATTCAAGCAGACTACAATATGTTTGTAGAGGAGAACAGGTTATACAATATTTCATTCCAGCAGACTACAATATGTTTGTAGAAGAGTACAGGTTATACAATATTTCATTCCAGCAGACTACAATATGTTTGTAGAAGAGTACAAGTTATACAATATTTCATTCCAGCATACTACAATATGTTTGTAGAGAAGTACAGGTTAAACAATAATTTAGGCTTAAAAACACTAAAAAATGCATAAAGATACAATATTTTAGGTTTAAACGCATCTTGAAAATATTTTTCAGCACAATTTTAAACAACTAGAAATTCAAGGCGCTTCGCGCCCTTCTTTTTAGGCATTTAGGGCGCTTCGCGCCCATCTTCTAAATTAATTGTGAACATGTTCTCTTTGTGTACATCGTAAAACAAAACAAAAATAATTCGCGGATTTTCACAAAAAATTTCGCGGATTTTCAAAATTTTTAAAAATTTAATGACGATTGAATTTTGATGGAGACAAATATTTGAAATTTTGATTTTTCATAAACCTTCCCTGGGGTCCCTAGATGTCCCACAAAAAATTTGGGCCCGATCGGTTCAGCCGTTTTGACGTTTATTGGATACCCCAGACCCAGACAGACAAGCCAAATTTATATATAGATTTAATCATTGAAAATAAATGTGGTTAAATACAACGATGAAGATATAATGTGCATATATTCTGAAGATATTTTAGAAAGAACACTTTCTCTACCTGAACAATGAAACCCTGTATATTCTAGAAAGAACCTTAACTATACCTGGATAATGAAATCCTGTATATATTCTAGAAAGAACCCTAACCCTACTTGGATAATAAAACCCTGTATAGTTCTAGAAAGAACCCTCTCTCTACCTGAACAATGACACCCTGTATATATTCTAGAAAGAACCTTAACTTTACCCGGATAATGAAACCCTGTATATATTCTATAAAGAACCCTAACCCTACTTGGATAATAAAACCCTGTATAGTTCTAGAAAGAACCCATTTCTTTATCTGAACAATGAAACCCTGTATATATTCTAGAAAGAACCTTAACTTTACCTGGATAATGAAACCCTGTATATATTCTAGAAATAATCCTAACTCTACCTGGATAGTGAAACCTTTTATATACTCTAGAAGTAATGAAACCACCCCGTATATATTCTAGAAAGATCCCTAACTCTACCTGGATAATGCCACCCTGTATATTCTATAAAGAACCCTAACTATTCCTAGATAATGAAACCCTGTATATATTCTAGAAAGTACCTTAACTTTACCTGGATAATGAAACCCTGTATGTATTCCAGAAAGAACCCTTACTCTACCTAGATAATGAAACCCAGTATATATTCTAGAAAGAAACCAAACTCTACCAGGATAATGAAACGCTGTATATTTAAGAAAGAACCCTAATCCTACCTGAGCTGAAAATTTTAGAATGGGGTATCCTTAATCCCGCTCTGTTAATTAATCTGGAGATTAAGTTCATGAGGAGAACAAGCAATATTTAATCTGGAGATTAAGAAAAAGAGTAGATTAAGCGTTAATCCTGATATCCACCATTCTAAAGTTTTCAGCTCTGGATAATGAAACCCTGTATAAATTCTAGAAAAAACCCTAACTCTTCCAGGATAATGAAACCCTGTTTATATTCTAGAAAGAACCCTAACTCTTCCTAGACAATGAAACCCTGTATATATTCTAGAAAGAACTCTAACTCTACCTGGATAATGAAACCCTGTATATATTCTAGAAAGAACCCTATCTCTACCTGGATAATGAAACCCTGTATGTATTATAGAAAGAACCCTAACTCTACCTAGATAATGAAACCCTGTATATATTCTAGAAAGAACCCTAACTCTGCCTGGATATGAAACCCTGTATATATTCTAGAAAAAAACCCTAACTTTACCAAGATAATGAAACACTGTATATATTTTAGAAAGAACCCGAACTCTACCAGGATGGATACTGAAACACTATATATATATTTTAGAAAGAACCCTAACTCTACCTGGATAATGAAACCCTGTGGGAAATCTCAAGGTGCTGGAATATTTCTCATCAATAAGCTTTCCAAGCTTAAGAAATGGTCCAGGTATTAAGATTAAAGGATGTGTTTTCCAAAATAAGTAATCCTAGTTTCAAGTAAAAAAAATCTACACATTTTATTTGATGGTATTTAATGTAGTACTGTTGGTTCTATTCAATTTAAAAATAACATATTTTTATTGTTATGTTTAGAGAAAGTCGAACTGTCTTCAATCCAAACCTAAACAAGGTAATCTCTTGTAATCAAAAATATCTGTTTTACATGATGATTTTTTATGTTTATATTATTTTGATCCGTGTTTAGGAGACATATGTGATTTCTAGGTATATAGACAACCCTCTCCTCTTGGGAGGAAAGAAATTTGATCTTAGGTAATTGGACATTTTTTAGGAAATTATTTTGGTAAAATCAATCTTTTTGATATCGATTAAGAATGGTTGATTCCTGAAAAAAAAACAATTACCTTTAAATTAAATTCATATTAAATTAAAATTATGAAGTTCAAAATCCAATAAAAACATGGAAAATAGGAAAAAAATATGTTATCCACCAATAAAAATTAGTCTTTTACTTAAAGAAATAGCATTTTAAATATGGGAAAATAACGTTTACACAGAAAAAATTCTTTATTATGTCATCCTATAAAAGTAATATGTATCTTAAGCTGAATATTTCTGCAGGCTGTATGTTCTTGTAACATCCTTTAGACCTATGAAGGTTTACTTTTACAAGCTGGGATTCTGCAGGTATATAAAGCTGGGACAGATCAATAAAGCTAAACAGGTAAATAAAGTGTAGACAGATAAATAAAGTGAAGGCAGGTAAATAAGGTGGAGACAGGTAAATAAGGTGGAGACAGGTAAATAAAGTGGATACAGGTCAATAAAGCAGAGGAAGCTGAGGCAGTCAAATAAAGTAGAGGCCAGGAAAAAAGGTGGAGGCGGGTAGGTAAAGCTGTATCAGGTAAAAAAAGCCACGGAAAGTAAATTTTATCAAGTTAATGAATTTAACTTTAAGATTTGTTCAGTCAAAAAAAAAAATTAAATTCGTAGATTAACCCATATTTTTGTGCTCGGAAATGAACAATCTATTTCAGTACACTATATTACCTAACACATATACATTTTGTACTATTGTAGGTTCAGTACTGTAAAATATGATGAAAGTGCAAGGGAGATGGATATAATATTAGTATAATATTGTATGATTGTAGGTTCTGTACTGTAAAGTATGATGACAGTGCAAGGGAGATGGATATCATATTAGTACAATATTGTACTATTGTAGGTTCTGTACTGTAAAATATGATGACAGTGCAAGAGAGATGGATATCATATTAGTATAATATTGTACGATTGTAGGTTCTGAACTGTAAAATTTGATTAAATTGCAAGGGAGATGGATATAATATTGTACAATATTGTACTATTGTAGGTTCTGTACTATAAAGTATGATGACAGTGCAAGGGAGATGGATATCATATTAGTATAATATTGTACTGTTGTCGGTTCTGTACTGTAAAATATGATGAAAGTGCAAGGGAGATGGAAATCATATTAGTATAATATTGTACGATTGTAGGTTCTGTACTGTAAAATATTATGAAAGTGCAAGAGAGATGGATATCAAATTAGTATAATATTGTACTATTGTAGGTTCTGTATTGTAAAATATGATGAAAGTGCAAGGGAGATGGATATCATATTAGTACAATATTGTACTATTGTAGTTTCTGTACTGTAAAATATGATGAAAGTGCAAGGGAGATGGATATAATATTAGTACAATATTGTACTATTGTAGGTTCTGTACTGTAAAGTATGATGACAGTGCAGGGGAGATGGATATCATATTAGTACAATATTGTACTATTGTAGGTTCTGTACTGTAAAGTATGATGAAAGTGCAAGGGAGATGGATATCATATAAGTACAATATTGTACTATTGTAGGTTCTGTACTGTAAAGTATGATGACAGTGCAAGGGAGATGGATATCATATAAGTACAATATTGTACTATTGTAGGTTCTGTACTGTAAAGTATGATGATAGTGCAAGGGAGATGGATAACCTATTTGTACATCTTACAAATGTAGCAATACAGAAACAAGGGGTGGAGTACAACACTGTACATGGGGGTAAACTCAGGTAAACAGTTTAATAAAAGGGATTGTTCATGTAATTGAAAGATAGCAAAGATGTCAAACAAATTTTGACAATTTCGTCAGGAAATGTTTAGAATTTAGAACCTATATTTGTTCAATAAAATGTTTAGAATTAAAAACCTAAAATTATTCAATAAAATGTTTAGAATTGAAAACCTGAAATTGTTCAATAAAATGTTTAGAATTGAAAACCTGAAATTATTCCATAAAATGTTTAGTATTGAGAAAACCTGAAATTATTTCTTGAAATGTTTAGTATTGAGAACCTGAAATTATTTCTTGAAATGTTTAGTATTGATAACCTAAAATTGTTCCATGAAATGTTTAGTATTAAGAACCTAAAATTATTCCATGAAATGTTTAGTATTGAGAACCTAAAATTGTTCCATGAAATGTTTAGTATTGAGAACCTGAAATTATTTCTTGAAATGTTTAGTATTAAGAACCTAAAATTGTTCCATATGAAATGTTTAGTATTGAGAACCTGAAATTATTTCTTGAAATGTCTCGAGGGAAAGCTGCAACTGATAAACTTTTTAATGAGATCAATTGGTTGATAGTACACAGTTTAAAGGTATATCTTTATTTGAATGATGTATACCATGCCTCTGTTTTATTATTATCGTTCATGTTTTATTATACAATCAATCAGTTAACATTTTTTCAAATCCCACTTTATTGTAACTGTTAAGGTTCTGAACAATCCGGAAATTTTATGTTTTCGAATCAAATACGATATCCTCCCCCCTCCCAAAAAATAAATATGAAAACTAAGAGTCATCGATGTAAATTGTTGTGAAATATTGATGAAAAATTTTGTGAAATATTGATACAAATTGTGTAAACTTAAAGATTATGATAAGAGCAAAAACGATTTAAAAGTCGTGACTTGAACAGACTGGCGTTGTAATTTCAAGTGAACATCCATTTAAACCATTAAAACCTTGTTCTGACCAATAGTGTAGAAGATAAAGTTGTTTTTGCTGGCTTGAAAATTGTTTAATTCTGATAAATCCAACACCATTGTCCTGCAACAGAACTAATCAAGTTTCTCTTGTAGAGGAACCACAATTTAAAATTATCAGTTTTCAAATTTGAAAATCTGGATATCTAATTTAAACTTGATCTGACAAAGCATTTGACATTTTACCTTTTGGGAATCGAACATGACACTAATATAAATGGAGGGTCACTTTAAGTTACGTGTTCAAACCCTTTAATTCTACAGTTTATATGTGCTTACATTTCTTACAGACTGTCTCACAGTTATGGTTTCCAGCGGAATGGAGAAATCGTCTCGCGAATAAAAATGTTGACAAAAATTTTAGCTTTTTTCGCAAAAATTCGTGTAAATCTGCGAAACTACAAAAAAAATTGCGAAAAATTTCTTTCGTTTGCTGGACACCATACTCACAATGAATGTATTTAGTCTGTTGCTCCTGTGATGGTATCAGACCGTCATTGTTATGAATGCTACGGATACGATATTATTATTGATAATGATCTTAAACCTTGGCTTATTGAGGTAATCAAACTTTTGAATATATGGCATCATTACAAATCAAACATAAAGCTTTGATTTTTTTATGTAAATATTTCTTTTAACCTTCACTAAGATTTGATTAATTAAGAAAAAGTTTCATTATATGACTAACATGTTAGGAGCCTAAAGCCTTTTCCAATTTTTTATTTTTTTACTTCTATTTATTAGTGAGAACTGTTATTTACTTAAGCCAGATTATTACGAAGCCAAAACATCCTAATTAGTTTTTTGCATATTATCCAGTGAATGCACAGCTCTTTTAACATATCGTTTTCATGACTATAAATAAAAAATTGAGGAAGAAGATAAAAAGGGTTCTTTTTCCATAATACGTAAAAATGTTCAATAGTTTTATTCCTAGGTAAATGCTTCCCCTAGCTTAAGTTCAACAACTTTGGCAGACAGAATACTTAAATACAGGTAATTAAACAGAATGCTTAAATACAGGTGATGTTAAATAAAATACTTAAATATAGGTCATGTTAAACAGAATTCTTAAATACCGGTAATGTTATACAGAATACTTAAATACAGGTGATGTTAAACAGAATGCTTAAATACAGGTGATGTTAAACAGAATACTTAAATATAGGTGATGTTAAACAGAATACTTATATATAGGAGATGTTAAACAGAATACATAAATACAGGTAATGTTAAACAGAATACTTAAATATAGGTCATGTTTAACAAAATACTTAAATACAGGTGATGTTAAACAGAATACTTAAATACAGGTAATGTTAAACAGAATACTTAAATACAGGTGATGTTAAACAGAATAATTAAATATAGGTGATGTTAAACAGAATACTTAAATATAGGTGATGTTAAACAGAATACTTAAATACAGATGATGTTAAACAGAATACTTAAAAATAGGTCATGTTTAACAAAATACTTAAATACAGGTAATGTTAAACAGAATACTTGTAATGTTAAACAGAATGCTAAAATACAGGTGATGTTAAACAGAATACTTAAATAAAGGTCATGTAAAATAGAATACTGAAATATAGGTGATGTTAAACAGAATACTTAAATATAGATAATGTTAAACAGAATACTTAAATACAGGTGGTGTTAAACAGAATACTTAAATACATGTGATGTTGAACAGAATACTTAAATATAGGTGATGTTAAACAGAATACTTAAATATAGGTGATGTTAAACAGAATACTTAAATACAGGTGGTGTTAAACAGAATACTTAAATACAGGTGATGTTAAACAGAATAAGGTGATGTTAAACAGAATACTTAAATATAGGTGATGTTAAACAGAATACTTAAATATAGGTCAAGTTAAACAGAATACTTAAATATAGGTAATGTTAAACAATATACTTAAATATATGTCTAAATTAATAATTTAATGAATATCATTTTAGATGATTAATGACTTCATGAATATTGTTCTAGTTAATGACTTCATGAATATTGTTCTAGATTAATTAATGATTCAATGAATACCATTCTAGATTAATTAATGATTTAATGAATATTATTCTAGATTAATTAATGATTTAATGAATACTATTCTAGATTAATTAATGAGTTCATGAATATTATTCTAGATTAATTAATGATTTCATGAATATTGTTCTAGATTAATTAATGATTTAATGAATATTATTCTAGATTAATTAATGATTAAATGAATACTATTCTAGATTAATTAATGATTTAATGAATATTATTCTAGATTAATGAAAGATTTAATGAATATTGTTCTAGATTAATAAATGATTTCATGAATATTATTCTAGATTAATTAATTATTTCATGAATATTATTCTAGATTAATTAATGATTTAATGAATACTATTCTAGATTAATTAAAGATTTAATGAATATTGTTCTAGATTAATAACTGATTTAATGAATATTATTCTAGATTAATTAATGATTTAATGAATATTATTCTAGATTAATTAATGATTTAATGAATATTGTTCTACCCCCGGATGGAGTACCGGATGTTAAATGGAACAAGACTCCAAGTCCGGATCAGCTAGGTGCGTGTGAAGGTGTACATCTTTGGATTTAAAGATTGAAAAACTGAATTAAAAGACTTTCCACTTATATAGTTGGCATTTCAAACGATATCCTTTAAACCGTTGTCTAATAGAGGTAAACACAGGTATCTTCATTTAATGAGCACAAGTCCAATTGGGAAATGAAAATAGTGTTTGCTATACTATGTTTTTATTTTACATTACTTCCATAGATTAATCAAAATAACAGATGGGACACTAGATGTCGTCTTTTTTGGATTTGGATTAAACTTGTTCACAATTGTCCGATTCGTTAGATATTTTCTAGCTGTGATTTAGCTGTGACTTTCTTGCTTGGCTAGCCTGGGAAATCACAGCTAGAAAATGTTTAGCGAATCGGGTGTAACTTGTTCATCCAAATTTTGAAAAGACGACATCTTGTGTCCTATCTGTTATTTTAAGTAATCTTTGATTACTTCCATGCTTTTGTACATAACTGAGAAAACGTCTCTAGGCATTCAATTTTTTAGCCAGAAAAATAAAAAATGCTCCGTTATCCTTCATCAGATAAAGATTTATATGGTACCGTTGTGAATCAGACATGTATTTTTGAAAAAAGTGAAAACTAAAGTCAATTATATTCTCCTTAGGCTTTTTTCTGATAGGTGGGGTCAGTATTTTTTTATTAAAGAAAGCTTAAAATCTACAGTTTTTCTTTATATATCAGTATTCTTGAATGTCTTCTTCCTGTGTACGTTCTTCTCTATTCAAAAAGAAACAGTTTATTTCGTTGACACATATCTCTTTCTCCAGATTAAGCTGGGTGTCGATTAAATTTGAAATTTTTATTTTTAATGACAGTATTCAAACTAAAAACGCCAGCTAATTCAGAGAACTGTGATTGAAAATGAATATTTATATGCTAAACAGTTATCTGTGTTATTCCTGGCTTCTCATGAAGAATATATCAATCATCGTAGCTAGCTTGGAGGGGTTTTAATGGGTATTGTTGTAAATCGAAGAGGAAACTTTATAAATGTTCTGTCGTCGTAACCTAACTAAATCCTAAAAGTTCTAGATATAAATAGTTTAACAAAGAACGAACCACAAGCAACATGCAATTTCTTTCTCAAGGTTAATTGAGAAGTAAAAGTAAATAATAAAAAGAGAACAAGACCTCAACCAACACAAACTCTGTTTATTACAAACCATTTAACCCGGTTTTTATAAAACCACATAAAAGTAAATTTATTTTTTTTATGTTTTGAAAAGTTAATTAAAACAGTTTTAAACTCCTTGGGTGTCAAATTAAAACTAGAAAAGTTACGAAGTCCCAAGGTTACAATCTTGATTAAATTTTAAACATTTTTTTAATAGTTTTACGACTTTTTCATTAATTAGTTTTTTCTACAGTTTTTCGAAAAAAATATTTTTTAAATGCATTTCAATAAATTATTCATATTTTTCTTTTCGGGGAGCAGATAATTCGTAATATGTTTGAGTTAGGGTCAAATTTGCTAAAATTAAGATTTTTAAAAAAAGAAAAAATTTAAATTGTCGTTCATTTTCATGTTTAGGACATTTTGTGTTACTGTTAGACGAAGAACTAGCAGCAATGAACGATCAGAAATCCAAGAAACAGAAACAATAATGAAATATAAAAATAGTGCATAAAAGCTATTCTCCTAGAATGATTTCGAGCACTTGTTCAGCCATTATTGTAAGCATAATGCTAGTTTTATCATGAAGAATGCTCTGTTGATCAGCTATTAATGTAAGCATAATGCTAGTTTATCATGAAGAATGCTCTGTTGATCAGCTATTAATGTAAGCATAATGCTAGTTTATCATGAAGAATGCTCTGTTGATCAGCTATTAATGTAAGCATAATGCTAGTTTTATCATGAAGAATGCTTTGCCCAACTTTAATATATGTAAATGACTTACATAATGTATTTATAGTTGAATTATCTGTTTCAATATAACTACAGAATATATATATATATTTGATTTGATGTTTCTATTTTAATTTAATAAAACAAACTAATTATGTTCAAAGTTTAGATGTCTTGCGTTTTGTAAACGTGGGTGCAAATTGTTTTTTATTAAAATAAAAATTATTTCTGCTTCTATTTTGTTCGGGTAAAGGCTGTTGGGATTTCAAAATGAGTTCTAACAAGTTTGAATCTTCAAAATTAATTAATTTTTAATTAAGAATTTAAATGTCTACAGAGAAAACAGAAAACTGGCTGAAACCTTAGCCGTAGAATTCATTTCAGAGGTGAAATTCTGTCATTGGCAGATTAAAGCTTTAACCATAAACAGGCTGGGGGGAGGGGAGCGTTTGACCCCCCCCCCCTCTATATTTTGCCGTAGCTCTTTCATTTTTGACAATATTTCCTTAAAAGTATAGGCTACAGGGCGGAAAAAGGTCGGTTCGTGTTAAATTTTCTTTTTAGATTTGTAACTAAACCTACAGAACTAAAAACTAAATGTTACTTTAAAACTTTAAAAAGTCCTTGAATAATGAATATAGATTATAGAAACATGTGTCACATCCTAATATTTGTCAAAGACAAAATACAATGAATTTAAATTTTCCCGAACCTTTTTCCGGCATTTTTTCTAACCTTCCTAGCACCCAAACTAATAAAGTTAAGGATTTACGATTTGAGACTAACCCTGTCATCTTTAAAGTTTTCTAACCCTGTCATATTTAAAGTTTTCTAACCCTGTCATATTTAAAGTTTTCTAACCCTGTCATATTTAAAGTTTTCTAACCCTGTCATATTTAAAGTTTTCTAACCCTGTCATATTTAAAGTTTTCTAACCCTGTCATATTTAAAGTTTTCTAACCCTGTCATATTTAAAGTTTTCTAACCCTGTCATATTTAAAGTTTTCTAACCCTGTCATATTTAAAGTTTTCTAACCCTGTCATATTTAAAGTTTTCTAACCCTGTCATATTTAAAGTTTTCTAACCCTGTCATATTTAAAGTTTTCTAACCCTGTCATATTTAAAGTTTTCTAACCCTGTCATATTTAAAGTTTTCTAACCCTGTCATATTTAAAGTTTTCTAACCCTGTCATATTTAAAGTTTTCTAACCCTGTCATATTTAAAGTTTTCTAACCCTGTCATATTTAAAGTTTTCTAACCCTGTCATATTTAAAGTTTTCTAACCCTGTCATATTTAAAGTTTTCTAACCCTGTCATATTTAAAGTTTTCTAACCCTGTCATATTTAAAGTTTTCTAACCCTGTCATATTTAAAGTTTTCTAACCCTGTCATATTTAAAGTTTTCTAACCCTGTCATATTTAAAGTTTTCTAACCCTGTCATATTTAAAGTTTTCTAACCCTGTCATATTTAAAGTTTTCTAACCCTGTCATATTTAAAGTTTTCTAACCCTGTCATATTTAAAGTTTTCTAACCCTGTCATATTTAAAGTTTTCTAACCCTGTCATATTTAAAGTTTTCTAACCCTGTCATATTTAAAGTTTTTTAACCCTGTCATATTTTAAGTTTTCTAACCCTATCATATTTAAAGTTTTCTAACCCTGTCATATTCAAAGTTTTTCCTCTGAATTTCAATATCGAGTTAAGCCGCTAAATATCTAAGGTTAGCCGGATATTTAAAAAAAAATTACCCGCTCCGAAAAAGTTCTGTAAAATCTGTACAGCCGTGTCTAAAGTCTCTACTTTTGTTGCTGCCCTGAATATATTCTTCTAAAAATGTTTGACTTGTTTTTATTCTTCCTCGATATCTATTCTATATCTCGTTGTATTGCAAAATGTCTGGTTAAGGTGGGTGGTTTGACAGGAATATTGGGGAAGTAAATACCACGACTATTGGCTTTATGTCAACAGTCAATATTCCTTATTTCAAGAGTAAGATTAGATTTTAACAGTTGAAGTATGCATTTATTTCGCCGCCATTTAAGATTTTCATCAACGATTAAAAACGGTTTCGATCTGATATGGAAACTTGTTTTTATATACTTAACATGTTCTTCCGAAAAAGAGAATAGTTGGGAATCTTTGGTTAAAAACTATCTATGTGCAAAGAGGCCAAATTTAAAGAATTTGAGACGCAGCTAAATATGTTTGGTTCCACTTGAAATTGTATTCAATGTTTCAAGATTTAAACCGGCGCTCATTTGAAACCGGATTTTGTTAGATTTGAGACGCGGCTCAAATTCATTAAATTCGGACTCAGATTTAGTGAACATGTTACATTGCACATAAATTAACATTTTAGCTAGAGTTTTTAGCTTTCAAAATGGACGCCTATTAGTTAAACGTATTCATTATTTGCGGGGAGGCTACCTTATAATTGACCTAATAGAGAGAATGTGTTCAACTTATTTGGTTTCTTTAAAAGTATCCAGCTTAGTGCGTAGAAAACAGTCTAATTCAAAACTTTAGACTCAGGCAAGCCATTTCCTAATTCTGACATTTTCAAGGTTGAACATTTTCAATTCGAATTTTTAATCGATTTTGCAGATTTTAAGTCAAATTTTCCAACATTTTCTATTCCGTTTAATTTATTCATGTCGTGAGGGCTGGTCGTTTTAGTTTTCTTGAAACTCTGTGACAATAACTATTTGAAATACATAAAATGCACAAAATCCCTGTAATTAAAAAAATAACAGAAATAGCCATTTATATTTTAACAATTCTTTTTTGAATGCATTGTTTTCATCAGTATTAACAATATGGTACACAGTCGACTACAGAGAACAATGACAGCTAATATGTAGATAAGTATTTCTTGTGCCGTAGGGAAAATATATATTTTACAGTTGCCAAGATATAGTAAAAAACAACATGAGAGAGATATTGCTTGTTAAAGGTTCTAAAAAAAAGTTTACTTGGAAGTACATATTTGAGTTTCCTGGCCTCATAGTAATGGATGGTTTTTTTTATTTTCAATTAATATAATCGAAAATTAAGATGGAAATTTTGATATTTTTCATTGCAATAATTTCGGTTTAAGTTTTTTGTTTTTGTTTTAAAAAGTCAAATATTTGTTGTACATACTAAGCTTCTTATCAGTGCTTAAAATCAATTTAATCTTGATGCAGATTCGGATCCAACAAATCAATATTTCGAGTGTTTCCTACTTTAACTACAGCGAGAACCAGACAGCTCTGGAATAAAAAGACGACAGTATAGAATACTAAAATGTATTTAATTTTAAAATAAATATCTAAATCAATAGGTCTGTATACACTGAAAAATTTCTGTGTCTCATGTTTGTTAAAGTATTTGAAGTCATAACTTGAGTCTAAAAGTCGTCTTCCTATTTCGGAGTTTTCTGGTCTTCACTCAAGTTTCTTTTCCTAATCCGAAATTTAGTGAATCTTCCTTCATTTTTCGCAAAATGATATGCTGAATATTTTCATTTAGAGAACAAGAATATTTAAATAATTTTTGTAAGTTCACACTTAAAACTTATGTATTAAAAATAGAAAGTATTTTTATTGTTAAATTAGGTTGGTATTGTGCCACTAAGAGTCGTGGGTCAACATATATTCCAGGAAGTTAAAATGTTGAAGATCCAATGGATCCGGATCCTAAGCTCTGATTTTTTAAACAGATTATACAATTACATACGTACGTAAACAAATGGACGGATACATTTCTTGGACTGATCTGGTATTATTAAGGCCTACAGCAGCTACTATAACTAGCTACTTGAGATATTTAGCTTTCCAATCTGTCCTGGCAAACACAGGTTTCCTAATATCACCCTCCAGCTGGGAGGGGAGGTAGGTATTATAGTCGGACCTGGAGTGCAGAGCTTTCTGTCCTACCAGGAGAGAATCAGACTTAATATCCGGCAAACTCTGAACCTTGTGCATTTTGTCTCCGAAGTTGAGAACTTGAGTTCCACTTCCGAGATGAAAGTCAGAGAATGACTCGACTAGACGAGACGTAAAGTCGACTTTGGTCGAATAGTTTGTGATAGATTCCGTCTTCTCAAACTGTAATTTTATATTTCCATTTTGAACTCCACCATTTATTACTGGGTTTTGATTTGAGTCTTTCAGATGGGTGAGATCTAGTCCATTGGTTATCATAGAATTGGCTTTCATTGGGAAGGATTTGTTTACAGAGAAGGATGGCACATAACTGGAAGGAACATGATTAGTAAACCTTTGGTTGAGCTTGGCATAGGAGAACCTTCGCCCAGGGGAACCTGAACTGTCCTCTGAATTCTGGAAATTAATTCGCGGATTTCTTGACAAGATCGCGGGAGGAAAAGAGTTCTGGAGTATTTTTCTGTTTCCAGCACTCCCGCGTTTATGCTGGACCGACATCACATCACTGGATTTAAGGGACTCAAGAAGGATTTTTAATTCCTCTTTATCTTTTTGAGGTGCAGGGTTGTCTTTGTAATTTCTAAGTCCTTCCCGTACATAAACAGGTTCTACTGGAGCAACAGGAACCTGAATCCTGTCTCCTTCAGGTTTCATAACCTTTCTAGACCTGGTTGGTTTAAGGGACATGGAGAAGTGGTTTGATGAAGCCGAACCAGGTTGAGAGTTTATTCTAAAGTAAGAATGTTTCAAGGTTTCAGGAGCGGAACTTCTCCAGGCCGGGTTCCATGATAGGGTTGAGTATATTAAGGATATACCTCGAGCACTCACTTTTGGTCCGAGCACCTGAGATAAGTGGGTCGCAGTGAACCGAGGGAACTTGAAATTCATCTGGGTTGCTAGTTGCTGACCCTGGGCCCAGTCGGAGCTGGACGGAGTTCCTAGGACGGAGCAAACCTTATAGATCTGATCTATCTCTGAGGTTCCAGGAAAGAGAGGACGGCGAGTATAAAGCTCCGCCATGATGCATCCAACCGCCCAGACATCTATTGGACTGGAGTAGTTTGTTGATCGAAGCAGAACCTCAGGAGCTCGATACCATCTAGTACTCACATAGTCCGTATAGGGAGGAGAAGAACGAATTTCACGAGCTAAGCCAAAATCTGCAATTTTGACCAGTTCAGGAGTTGAGCAGAGAATATTTTCTGGTTTCAGATCTCGATGGAAAAATCCGTTCCTATGCATGTAGGATAGCGCCTGGAGCACTTGGAAGATGATGGTTCGAACTGCAGACTCGGAGAAGGGTTCAGTCGTTTCTCTCATCAGTCCTAGAAGATCACCTGGAACAGAACAATATTTTTTTAAAGATCCAAGACAAAATCAAAAGGAATTGTGTCTTTCCCAAAAACTTTCAAATGCCTATATTTTTTAACCCAATGTCGTTGACCTTAGATATTTCCAACTATGAATTCTGTTAGATCAAAGAATCTGAGTTTGAAATTCTAAGGATTACACCATCAGGACGCAAAGATATAGGGATTAGAACATTTGAGTTTGTAGCAATGCAAAGACTTAATTACTTTGAATAAAGACGAAAAACAAAAATTAGTAAACAACAGTAGCGAAAAATGCGGGGACAAAAAACTGGACTTACAGATCATGATGTTGATAATTTTTAAAGACAAACACAATTCCTATATTATTCGTTTTAGAAAAAAGAAGAAAATTATCTGGAATCAGAATTGAGTTGTGTGGGCAATGACTCATTGAACCAGAATTCCCTCGCACTTAAAATCCGGGAAGTTTATTACTTAGTGTACACCTTTGCACAGTCGGGGATTTTCAGCTATAAAAAGTAATTAGTGTATAGGGCATTATTAGCAATCACACAAACTTTTTATGGAACATTTTTTTAAATAATCTGCCCTTCATTGTCTTGAATAGTATTACACCCCCCAAAGTATCACATACATTTTTAAGACATTCATTGATTTTTTAATATCGCATAAAACTAAGTACATTCCTGAGTTAACTGAAAAGCATCCTTTAGCTACAAAATGGTCGGTTTAGGGTTTCAAAATATTTTAAATAATGTATAATTTGGATGAATGTGTTTTTTAAAAAATTGGGTTATAGCCAAAACAAGATACTCCTTCCTTTAATATATTCGAATACGAAGTAGAGTCTATTGTTTTCTCGAATAACTTCCTTTAACTTCACAACATTCGGATGATTTAGTTTCTTCAATGATTTAACTTCTCTGAGGTCCATCACTTCGTTCCAGCTGTAGTATTTTCTCTTCATTGTTTTAATTGCAACCTTCTCCTTGTTTTCCTGGTTCTGTGCTAAATACACCAGACCATAGGTTCCATCTCCGACCAGGTTCAGCATCTTATACCTTTTCAGTCCTCTGAGGGGTTCGGAGGGGACCTCGGACACCTTCTCTGTTTGTTGGAGAAGTGCCCCTGAGGTTGGTTCACCCTCCGGAGCCATGATATGTTCTACCCCTATCCTCCACACCCAACCTGGACTCTAGGATTTATCGGTGATATTATCTTCCGGGGTTTCTTGTCACGCACACCTTCCATCCTGCAGGATTTTCAGAACCTTCCAGATTTTCCTTCTTTTCAAGATCTTAGTGATCCTCTAGATTCTCCAAATCTTCAATATCTCCTTGATCCTCTCGAGTCTCCAAATCTTCAAGATCTCCTTGATCCTCTAGGTTCTCCAAATCTTCAAGATCCTCTAGGTTATCCAAATCTTCAAGATATTCGTGATCCTCTAGGTTCTCCAAATATTCAAGATCTTCGTGATCCTCTAGGTTCTCCAAATCTTCAAGATCTCCTTAATCATCTAGGTTCTCATAATCTTGAAGATCTTCTTGATCCTCTAGGTTCTCATGATCTTCAAGAGCTCATTGATCTTCTAAGGTTTTCTAATCTGGGAGATTTTCTTGATCACCTAGATTTTCTGACTTCTTTTAGATCTCCTGAATTTTTTTGAATTTTCTTCCATTATGGTTCTGGAAATTACTGGCCTTATTTTTTTCTCTGTTTTCGATACATATTTTATTACATAGTTTTATTTCGAATTTGTAAAAAATATTCTCTAAAATCACATCACTGTGATCTCTGCTTTGTTTCAAGGTTGTAAGACACCTCGTCCTCTGGTCGTTGCGTGAAGGTTTTGTGTAAACTCCGTTGTATATCTCTCCCTCAGTTAATTTCGATACAAAGTTAAATTGATCAAACAATTTAGAGAGCTAGCTGTGGTTCAGCACCAACTCAGATGTGGTATTGACTCATTCACTTATATAAACCACATTAACCAAACCAAACCACACAATCTTTGGGATACAGTCTATGGTTTAAAGCATCCCTAAGATCCAGCATCTCTGATTTATATCTGAAAATATAGATATTTTGTTTGTCTATTGAATTAAATTTCTATTCATATATTGTGTACTTTTTTACAAGTATTTAAAGAAAATGAAAATTATCCAATGATAGAATGATAAGAGCTCTGTGTATGATTGATTGCAACTGAAGAATGTGTTGAGATTTGTAAGCGGAGAAAGCAGGTTTGGTTTCTCCGGGTGCTGAGTAAGACTGGAGGATCAATATTTTCTAGTTCCAACCTTACTCTTCTATCTGCACTATATCCTCAGTATCCCTCGACCCACACATTGATAAAACTTATAACCCTGTGATTAGATTTCCATTAAAGTTTACACAATGTCAAGACACCCGAATGCTAAACCTGATGGGTTTGGGGCGCATATAACGAAAAATCAAAAAGCCACCATTAAGGAATCCAATTATATCAATTTTGTAATTGCATTTAAGAAATTAATTGAGTTTTTAGAATATTTTCCATTAAAAAGGCAAATTTTGCTTTACGAATTTTTTAATCTACAGGATTATTCACAAATTATATCCACGGTTTCCTTCAGATGTAATCATTGTCCTTCATATTCATAGTAGTCCGTTTAACCAGGCCAGTAACTGGGTGTTTTTGTAGGATTGGGCGCACCAAGTGAACGAGGAGGGGGGTAGCAAGGGGGCAGAGCCCCCCTGCTTAAAAAGTTTTTTTACCTTTATTCGTTAAGTGAATTCTTTCATATCGTTTAATGTCATCAACACAGCATTTTAGATTAACAATAATATCTGGAAACAACTTATTTATTTATTTATATAATATCATACAAATATGTAAAAAACTAAAAAAAAGTTTAAGTTTTGCAAAATGAAACAGCTGGTAGATATTGTTGAATAATTGAATAAATGAAATACAGTGATAATTCCAGAAAACTCTGGAATAGGAAGTTGACTTTTAGACTCGAATTAATAATTATTAATTTATTAATTAATAATAATTCATACTGCTGAAAATGGCCCATCTGCAGGTTTCAAGTAAAAACATCTTAACTTTTTCTTTGGCATATATTAATATGCAGTCTACGGAATTATAATCTCAAATTTCAGGAAGTGCCAACGAGGGAATTTTGAGTAATTTCATTTTTAAGATATTGAAAAAATTAAGTGCATTTTCTGGTCTGAAAACAAATGTATCTTTAGTTTCAAGACTTGATTAAGCTGATTCTGTTTTTATTTTGCGATATTTTGAACAGTTAATGGCACCCATGGAAGGGGTTTGCACAAACCCAAATTTTCTTATTCTTATATCTTTGCAACCTGATGTTGTAAGCCTTTGATATTTCAAATATTAATTTCCTAATCTTACAGCATTCATAGTTTAAAATTGACATTTAGATGCAAAGTTATAGGAATTTGAAAAGCAGAGTTTGTGACAAAGACTCAATAGTCAATTCCTTTTGTGAATTTTCTTTAGCAGTCATAAGACATGTTTTAGCAAAAAATCAGAGCCACAAGTGAACAGTATGCCTGTTTAAATACTGCCTAAAAAAGAGGTTTTGACGTGGAAACCTTAAAAATCCCACCAAAAAGAGTTTTCCAGGCCGTAACTAGTTAGTCCAGCAGTTGACTTTGGACTTTGGTTTTTTACTACAGTATGTTTTTGACTGTTCATGACTCTGCCATCAACAGTTAAAAAATATTGTTAATAAACCAGCAGAAACATACGTCTTTAAACCAAATTTACGTTTTGTTTTAGACCTGTAAATGCACTTGATTCCCTAAAGATATCTTTAAAATGAATTTGATTTCCGAAGTGGCATTTTCTGAAAATTGAGATTATAACTCAGAAGACTGCATATTAACATATTCGACATATTCTGAAGAAAAAGTTTAGGTGTTTTGGACTTGAAACCTGATGGTCCATTTACAGCAGTATGAGTTAAAATAGTTTTCGATTTCCGTCAGGGGGGGGGGGGGCGTGCGCCCCGCCGTTCCCACCTAAGTTACTGCCTTGCGTTTAATAGATAATACTTCCGGCTTCGGCTCAATACCAGATTCAACCTGAGGATCGTAATAATAAAAAAATTAAGGTCAAATCAGTAAAAACTCTCATTTTTTGTGTGTAACCCTGTATCTAGCCTCAACTGTCAGCTAATATATTGGATAAAATGTTCAGGCTTTTGATAAATTTTATTCCTGGTTTCCGTCCTTCCTGGATATGTTTCCGGATGAGGACGCTTTCTTGAACTTTGCTTTCTGGTTCGTTTTATTAACAGTTCTCACAGCATTTATAGCATCAAGATTTATCAAGATTAAACCTAAACACGTATAATCAAGATTCATCGAGATCAAGTTTAATCACGTGTAATTAATAGTAATCAAGATCAAACCTAAACACGTGTTATCAAGATTACACCAGATGAACCCTAAACATGTGTAATAACGATTAATCAAGATCAAACCTAAACATGTGTGGTATAAAGATTTAAGACAATAACATCTGAATGAAATATTTACAAAAACATGCTGCATTTAAGATTTATGTAATTTATAACAACCCCTATAAATCTCATGGAAAATGTAATTCCTTCAAAATGAATATAGATGGAAATGGAATATAGAAGAAAAGAAGCCATAAAAGTGTATTCAACATCTGACAATATAGAATTCTATCAAAAAAAACTAATCGATAACAGATCATAAGATGATCAAGATGATCAAGATGATCAAGATATTCAAGAAGGTTTAACGCTCTGAGATTCTGAAATATGCTATGAAGTGTGCTATACAGGGTTACAAGTTTTCTCTGCAAGACCGAAGAGCTTGAAGCACTTTTCAGCATCTAAGTTGATAAAACCGAATTGAAAATAATTTTACTTAGTTTTTGTATTTCTCAGATAGTCCTTGTTCAAATTTTGTAATTTTCCGACATTCAAATATTTTATCTAAAACGTATTTTAAATAATAATCCCTCCAATTGAAATACAGGGTGTTCCAATAAACATAGAAAATTAAATCTATTTTGATCCACTTTTTTTTCAATGAATTCTCATGTTTATTGGGACATTTAAAATATCTCAACCTGTGTTAGATTTACCACATGAATCCATGTATTGCAAGCATTATTTACATAGATTTTTAACTTAATAAAAACATAATCTAATTCTGCATTTTCAATCATTTTCTAAAAATAAAGTAAAAATGAATCGAGAAAATGTGTTCTTAAACATCAAAGAGAATCTACAAAGATATTATTGCTCCATGGACCCTTGATTTACCGCTAGATTATGTTGGAATCTCCACGTTTACATATTATTCTCTTTTCAAAATCATAAAATCGAAAGAAAAATTACAGTTCGACTTATTTTTGGTAGATTGTCAATCCAAAACCTCATTTAATTGCGATTATATCTCTTTTTATTAAATTTTATTAAATCTCTTAACATAAACAAGATTAGAAATTAACAGACTTTATTGATTCAAAATGAGTAAGATGTTTCTTTTTGAGAACAGTTTTTATTGGAAATGAAAAAAAATGTGCTAAAATAATTAGTCCTTTAAAACTTTAATGCCATCAAAGTAACACGATTTTACATCTGGTTATTTCTGCAATTTCAAAGCAATGTCTTTCAGTTTTAAATGAAATATGTTCAACACGAAGCATCTGAATAATATACAAATAATATAAAATACAATATTACTAACAAATTTGACAAAACTTAAATAAAACTTGATGTCTCCGATAGATTTTATCCGACAGATTTCGGAGAATATGTTTCTTGTTTCCTTAATCCTTCAAATCCATTGGAAGTCGTAGATTTAATCCGACAGAATTCGGAGGTCTTCGGTAGATTTATTTCTCCGGTAGTTTCAATCCTATGTATGTTGGTGGATTAGTAAAAGATCCTGTCTCCGAAGGTTCTGTTGTGAGAGGTGGGGGCTCCTTGTATCCTGTAAACCAAGGGGTCATTCAAATAGTCATCAGCAATAAAATCTTTTTTGGAAAAAAATTTAGTTTTTGCCACAAACTCTGATTTTCTAATCCCATATATGATATATATCTGAATCTGAATCATTATCTTAGATACAAAACTATGAATTCTGTACGGTCAAATAATCTAAGTTTGATATATCAAAGTTTTTACACAGGTTGCAAAAATATAAGGATTAGAAAATTTAAGTTTATGGCAAAGGCTCAATTCCTTTCATAGAAACATAACTGAAGTAAACCCAAATTTTGATTCTTGTTTTTTTTAACCGAATTCTTTTCTAAAGAGCTGTGAGAAACAAAAAGATTTTAAGTTTTTTTAATGCAAGCCAGGCAACAATTTTTTTAACTTAAGTCATAAAAAGAAAGTTCATAAATATGAATATGAAAAGGCTATTTCAAAGATAAACCTGAGAAATTTAACCCGTCTTTAATAATTCTGCGATCACATAAACTAAAGCTATCTTAGTTTAAAATCTTACTGTTTTCTAACAAGACGTTTATTTTGACGAGCTGTTAAAGAAAAAAAAATAGGATTTGTTTTTCTTTAATTCAACGTTTAAGAACGTACCAGTAATTCCACGATAAATTAACGCTTTACTTTTTATGACATCGGAGTGGTTCATAGATAGGTCTACAATTGTCTCAATTTGCTAATCTCTATGGTATGCAATTTGATGTCTTAGACCATTAATAGTTTAAACTATAAATTCTAATGTCAAAATTTGACTCAGGAGGTACAGATAGTTATTATTAAAAATACAGTTTAGACTAAAAATCAACATGTTAATGCACACAATTTAAAAAACTGGTTCTTAATTACTGATTTGACAAACCCTTGCCTATATCATGATATTTGATAGGATATGTGAGCTGATTTCCTCCGTCCCAGGTATACAGAAACCCACTAGGCCTGAGTAGGAAGATAGTAAACAATGTCGTCTTCCTTATGAACTTGATTAAACTTTAAACTTGCTAAACAACACAAATGAAGGAAAATACAATGATTAATTTAAACTTAACAGTTACTATATAGTGTAAGTGACTAGGATTCAGAACAAGGATTTAGAAAGTCTTTGATTTCCGATAATTGATGAATAAAACAATGAATTTAAAAAAGACTGAACATTGATGAGTTTTTAAATTATTGGAAATTTATTTGTTTTGAAGAATTGGAAACTGGACAAATTCTTTAATATCTACCTCAATTCTTCAGGTGGAAAAATGGGAAACTCTGAAACTTTCTGAAGAAATGTATATACAATCAAAAATTAAATCCAGAAAATATTACCTATTAGTTCTATCCTTGTTATCTTTTCTTGGATTATAACCAAGCATAGTTGTGTGCCTTAAACATGAAATAATTTAAATTGAAGAAAAATGAAATATGTAAATTTAACTTATAGAAGTAGCCAGGGGAAGGCAGGCGGCCATGAGCCAGCACTATTTTCCCTTCCGTGCCACATATTAGCTTTTCTCTCTTCCGGCAGCCATGAGCCACCACTATTTCCCCTTCCGTACTTCAGTATTGCATCTTGAAATATCACAAAGTCTAAAGATTATTCAATTATTGACTCATTATACTAAATCCATCTTAAAATCACTCATTAACCAACTTTGTGATATTTCAAGATGCAATACTCAGTCAAATTTGTCAAAAATTTCATTGTAAAACAGTTTAAGAATTCAACACAGTAAATATTAATCTTAAGTAGAATTGAATAAATGGTTTGAGTTGTGCTCTTTTTAGCGTGACGCGGCTGGATTTTTAAAATCACACTTTAAAGGCCCTAAATATACCATTTAAAAAGTAGTTTTGCCCGGAAGAGTCAAATGTGGTGGTACGGAAGGGGAAATAGTGGTGGCTCATGGCTGCCGGAAGAGAAAAAAGCTGATATGTGGCACGGAAGGGGAAATAGTGGTGGCTCATGGCCGCCTGCCTTCCGCCGCTCATAGAATATATTAATAGGGTTACCCACAAAGGTTGATCTAATATCTATCCACTACTTAAGGATCTACTAGCTATCAGCTACGTAAAGATATGCTAGCTATCAGCTACCTAAAGATCTACTATAAGCTACCCAGCTACCAAAAGATATACTATCTCTCAGCTACATACAAATCTACAAACTAGTTGTTACAAAAAGATCTACCTACTAGCTTTCAACTACCTAAAGACTTACAATCTATCAACTTTTTAAAGATCTATAACTAGCTATCAGCTACCTAAATATCTACTATCAATCAGCTATATATGTCAGCTACCTAAAGGGATTTGTAAAGGGTAGTTCTATCTCCAGCATCTGATGTGTGTATAGATCCAATGCGAGTCGTATCTAAATAAAATCGTAAACACATCTTTTAAATCGATGTTTGATTTACTAAATGTAAAATAAAATATCTGCAAATATTTAAATTTTTAAACACGAGAATACAAATTTATAATTCAAGAGATACCTTTGTATCTCTAGTATCAGTCCTATCCACTGCGTAAAGTACTCCACAAGCTTAAAAATATCAGGAATAAGATATTTTCAGGTCAAGGTCAAAGTCAAGATCAAGATCAAGGTTAAATTAAAAATCAGGGTCAAGGTCGATTTCGAAACGAGGGTCACGTGCAAGGTAAATATTAAAAAGAAGGTTATTTTGGTTATACTTAATTTGAAAACTTCTATTCAAAGTAGGGTTTCCACTTTCCAGCGAACGAATAGTTTCGCGAAAAAATGCGAAAATTTTCGGTCACATTTCGCGAATTTTTTTAGCGAAAATGCGAAAATAATTTCGCAAAATTTGAGAATTTCGCGAAAATATTTTTGCGATATGCGAAAACTTAGTGAAAACCACGAGTTTTATAGCTTCAAAAATTAATTGCTCAAAGAGATTGTGGAATTCTCTGCTCTGATAGCTCAATATTTGAAGTTTTATTATGTCATATAAATAATTTCTTTTCTTTTACTTTAATAAATGTTTGATGAAGAGAATTTGATTTCACAAGCATAATTTCCATTTTTTCGTGAAATTTTCGTATTTTTTCGCGAGCGAACGAAATGCGAAAATGAAGCGAAATTTTCGCGAAACGTTTTTTCCTTTTCGCTGGAAACCCTAATTCAGAGGAATTAATTATTTGCCACAAATTCTGATTTTGTGATCTCTTTGAACCCCAACGTCATATAGACCTTAGATATTTCAAACTATGAATTCTGTTGGATCAAATAATCTGATTTGAAATATCAAAGGTTTACACTATATAGGTATTAGAAAATTTGAGTTTGTGGCAAAGACTCAATTCCTTTTGCTTGTAATCAAGGTCAAATTTTCGGTTAGGGTTAAGATTTAGAATAAAGCTAATATAATTTAATGCATAGATGCATACTGCTTAGATAATGATTCAACAGAGTTTTCAAACCTATAAACATATCTCCCACAAGATTGTGATTCAACGTAATATTCCAGGCCCAGGTCAACTCAAAATTCCAGGCAGATATCTAGATAGATAAATTCCAGGCATATACCTAGATAGATAAATTCCAGGCAGATATTTAGATAGATAAATTACAGGCAGATATCTAGATAGATAAATTCCATGCAGATATCTACTCCATACTCCTTGCCCATAACCAAGAAAAAGGGCTGAAATGTTATAAATCAATGACGACCTTTAAAACTAGAGTGTTGTTATTTTCTTTCATCGCCATAATTGCCCAAAGACCATTTTCATCGATAGCAAGGTCAACAAACACCTAAAACAGGGTTTCAGAATAAATACCATAAAGAAAATGTCTTACGAAACCTTTCCCGATGCTATAACGGATTCACATTGAGAAACTAAAAGAAAAGTTTAGAAAAAATGGCGTAACCTTTCTTTAAAAAACTACCCATAAAGGAACTATACAGAATTTGGAGATCAGGATATTTTGGATATCATAATAATAATTATTCGGATTAGGAATCCGTATAATGACAGTTTTCTATACTATCGATCTATCTATTTAATGATATGCTTGATTCAACTATTATCATTATTACATATACTGTTTAGCGCCTGCACTTTCTTGAAAATTGGATAAAACTATTGTCTAAAATTTCTACTAACCCGTCCTCCCATCTCTGGGTAGAGTCTTGTAAGGAACTCTGGTCCTTCTCGTTTCTTAACATCCTCACACCGCAGATTTGGCTCCATCTATTTTATTCAAAATATAACGTTTTCATATTGATAAATTTTCGAGGCCTGTAAAACTGCGGAAAAAAAAGTGATATTATGTGTATTTGATGTTGGTTTAAAGCTAATAGTTTAACTAGTTTAAAATCAACTTGTAAAGTGCAATGGGTCGGTGTACTGTTCACTGAACAATTACTGTGTTTCATTTGTTTCAAGTCAAAAACTATTTGAAATTTGAAATTAAAAATCGTATTCCTATTCTAAAGTTTTACGGATCTCATGTACTAAAACTTATCTCAGCACTCCAATAGTCATTGATTCTATAAAAGGTATTCTAATATATTAGTATTTAGATCTGGCGCAGAAATAATCCCAATCCTGACAATATTATGTTTTATATACCATTTTTCAATTTCTAGAACAATCCATTTAAGAGCTTTTTTAAATTACCAAATCTTTTTGCTTCTCTCTAGGTATAGGTAAACATCTCAGCTCATGAGTAGATAAATCCATCTTCACTAAATAATTTTTTTTATTCAAAAATAATTTATTGTTTTAAATCTTCAGATATTCTTCAAGGTTTGTTTAGCTTACCTATCGCTTCTTTTTCTTCACTAAAGTAGAAGAAGGAACCATTGTACACAACATTTGAGGTTCCCTAGACAATATACATTCAAGGTTCCCTAGACAATATACATTCAAGGTTCCCCAGACAATATACATTCAAGGTTCCCTAGACAATATACATTCGAGATTCCCTAGACAATATACATTCGAGGTTCCATCGACAATATACATTCGAGGTTCCCTAGACAATATACATTCGAGGTTTCCTAGACAATATACATTCGAGGTTTCCTAGAAAATATACATTCGAGGTTCCCTAGACAATATACATTCAAGGTTCCCTAGACAATATACATTCAAGGTTCCCTAGAAAATATACATTCAAGGTTTCTTAGACAATATACATTCGAGGTTTCTTAGACAATATACATTCGAGATTCCCTATACAATATACATGCGAGGTTTCCTATACAATATACATGCGAGGTTTCCTAGAGTCTAGACAATATACATTCAAGGTTCCCTAGACAATATGCATTCGAGATTCCCTAGACAATATACATTCAAGGTTCCCTAGACAATATACATTCGAGGTTTCCTAGACAATACACATGCAAGGTTCTCTAGACAATATATATTCGAGGTTTCCTTGACAATATACATTCAAGGTTCCCTAGGCAATGCATTCGAGGTTCCATAGACAAAATACATTCGAGGCTCTCTAGACAATATACATTCGAGGTTTCTTAGACAATATACATTCGAGGTTCCCTAAACAATATACATTCGAGGTTCCCTAGACAATATACATTCAAGGTTCCCCAGACAATATACATTCGAGATTTCTTAGACAATATACATTCGAGGTTCCCTAAACAGTATACATTCGAGGTTCCCTATACAATATACATTCGAGGTTTCCTAGACAATATACATTCAAGGTTCCCTAGACAATATACATTCAAGGTTCCCTAGACAATATACATTCAAGGTTCCCCAGAAAATATACATTTGAGGTTCCCTAGACCCTATACAATATTGTGAGCTGAACAAAAGGAATAATACTCGAAAGAGGGAAAGGCGAGTTGGCAAGGAAAACCCTCTTTTCTACCAGACACAGATAGATGATAACTTCTTGAAAAAGTATATTTCAGTAACGAGGTTTCCTACAAAATACAGATTGTTATTGGCGTACATGCATATAAATAATAATAGTTAATAAAGATTAAACAGTTGAAGGGTTTTTTTTTATCAATAAATGAGTATTGGAATTCTAGGTTTTGTAGGTTTAGTAGGATTGGAGATTTTAGGTTTAGTTCTGAGATATGATGAGTGGAGCTGTCCGGAGCAAGGTTCTCAGCTACAGGATCTTCTGCTAGTCCGTGAATTGTTTCCTGAGGGAGCTGCTTTTCTACATCGAGGAATGGGAATAACTGGTTCATAGGAGGATCAGAGTTGAGTGGAGGAACAGTATTTGTAGACGGATCAAACTCAAATGGAGGATCTGGTTTGAGCGGAGAGGCTGGGTTGACAGTCGGATCCGGTTCTATTGGAGGGCCTGGATTGGTAAGTGAGACTGGATTGATTGGAGGATCAGGTATGGTTGGAGGTTCCAGATTGCTTGGAGGCTCTGGATTGAGTGGAGAGGCTGGATTGATTGGAGGATCAGGGTTGAAAGGAGGAATTGGATAGGTAGGCGGATCAGGTTTGGTTGTAGGTCTTGGATTGGTAGGTGAGATGGGATTGGTTGGAGGGTCAGGGCTGGAAAGAGGGATTGGATGGGTGGGTGCATCAGGTTCGGTTGTAGGCTCCAGATTGTTTGGAGGATCTGGTTTGAGCGGAGAGGCTTGATTGACAGCCGGATCAGGTCCTGTTGGAGGTCCTGGATTGGTAGGAGGATCATAGTTGGATGAAGGGATTGAATGGGTGGGCGGATTAGGTTCGGTTGAAGGTTCCAGACTGTTTAGAGGATCTGGTTTGAGCGGAGAGGCTGGATTGGCAGCCTGGTCAGGTCCTATTGGAGGGCCTGGATTGTTTGGAGGAACAGGGTTGGAAGGAGGAATTGGGTGGGTGGGCGGATCAGGTTCGGTTGGAGTTTTCAGGCTGTTTGTAGGGCCTGGTTTCAGCGGAGAGGTTGGGTTGGTTGGAGGATCAGTGTTGGAAGAAGGGATGGAATAGGTGGGCGGATCAGGTTCAGCAAGGTTCTCCACATTGTATGGAGGATCTGGTTTGAGCAGAGAGGCTGGATTGGCAGCCAGATCAGGTTCTGTTGGAGGTCCTGGGTTGATAGGTGAGACCGAATTGGTTGGAGGGTTGGGGTTGGAAAGAGGGATCGGATGGGTGGGCAGATCAGGTTCGGTGGGAGGTTCCAGGCTGTTTGTAGGATCTGGATTTAGTGGAGAGGCTGGATTGGTTGGAGGATCAGTGTTGGAGGGAGGAGCGGTCATGTTGGTATGGGAGTTCAGAAGGTCCATGGCGGTTCTTCGGGCGGCGTAGAGTGCAGAGCGGTCGCAAGTCAGGAGGCCTGGGTTGGACCTCATGCAGTTCTCGTATAATCCATTGAAGACTTCTATGGCAAAGGGATCGTTCCACTTGATTGCCTGCCAGAACTGTATTGTGAGACTCCTGATGACATAGTTGGGATCGAGGTCACGTACATGATTGGTTGGTGTGTGGCAAGCCAGGCATTCCTGGTAGTGGCAGGGAGATGATCTTGTACAGGTTCTCTGAGGTTCCTGGTGTGGAGTCTCGGAGGTGTCTCCATTCAGGGGGTCCTGNCTGAGTTATGAATAAACTAACCATGAAAGGTATCCAGAGTTATGAATAAACTAACCATGAATGGTATCCTGAGTTATGAATAAACTAACCATGAAAGGTATTATAAGTTATGAAAAAACTAATCATGAAAGGTATCCTGCGTAATGAATAAATTAATTATGAAAGATATCCTGAGTAATGAATAAACTAACCATGAAAGGTATCCTGAGTTATGAATAAACTAACCATGAAAGGTATCCTAAGGTATGAATAAAATAACCATGAAAGGTATTCTGAGTTATGAATAAACTAACATTGAATGGTATCCTGAGTTATAAATAAACTAACCACGAATGGTATCCTGAGTTTGAATAAACTAACCATTAAAGGTATCCTGAGTTTGAATAAACTAACCATGAAAGGTATCCTGAGTTATGAATAAACTAACCTTGAAAGGTATCCTAATTTATGAATAAACTAACCATGAAAGGTATCCTGAGTAATGAATAAACTAATTATGAAAGGTATCCATGAGTAATGAATAAACTAACCATGAAAGGTATCCTGAGTTATGAATAAACCAACCATGAAAGGTATCCATGAGTAATGTATAAACTAACCATGAAAAGTATCCTAAGTAAAGAAAAAACTAGTATAAAAAGTATCCATGAGTAATGAATAAACTAACCATAAAGGTATTCTGATTAATGAATAAACTAATCATGAAAGGTATCCATGAGTAAAGAATAAACTAATCATGAAAGGTATCCATGAGTAATGAATTAACTAACCATGAAAAGTATCCTAAGTAATGAACAAACTAATATAAAAAGTATCCATGAGTAATGAATTAACTCATTTTGAAAAGTATCCATGAGTAATGAATAAACTGATAATGAAAGGTATCCTGAGTAATGAATAAACTGATAATGAAAGGTATCCTGAGTAATTAATAAACTAACCATAAAAGGTATTCTTAATGAATAAACTAACCATGAAAGGTATCCTGAGTAATGAATAAACTAATATAAAAAGTGTCCATGAGTAATGAATAAACTAATTTTGAAAAGTATCCATGAGTAATGAATAAACTGATAATGAAAGGTGTCCTGAGTAATGAATAAACTAACCATGAATGGTATCCTGAGTTATGAATAAACTAACCAGGAATGGTATCCTGAGTTATGAATAAACTAACAATGAATGGTATCCTGAGTTATGAATAAACTACTCATGAATGGTATCCTGAGTTATGAATAAACTAGCCATGAATGGTATCCAGAGTTATGAATAAACTAACCAGGAATGGTATCCTGAGTAATGAATAAACTAACCACGAATATTATCCTGAGTTATGAATAAACTAACCACGAATGGTATCCTGAGTTATGAATAAACTAACCATGAAAGGTATCCTGACTTATGAATAAACTAACCATGAAGGGTATCCTGAGTAATGAATAAACTAACCATGATAGGTATCCTGAGTTATAAATAAACTAACCACAAATGGTATCCTGAGTTATGAATAAACTAACAATGAAAGGTAACCTAAGTTATGAATAAACAAACCATGAAAGGTATCCTGAGTAATGAATAAACTAACCACGAATGGTATCCTGAGTAATGAATTAACTAACCATGAAAGGTATCCTGAGTTATGAATAAACTAACAATGAAAGGTATCCTGAGTTATGAATAAACTAACAATGAAAGGTATCCTGAGTAATGAATAAACTAACCACGAATGGTATCCTGAGTAATGAATAAACTAACCATGAAAGGTATCCTGAGTTATGAATAAACTAACAATGAAAGGTATCCTGAGTTATGAATAAACTAACCATGAAAGGTATCCTCAGTTATGAATAAACTAACAATGAATGGTATCCTGAGTAATGAATAAACTAACCATAAAAGGTGTCCTGAGTATTGAATAAACTAACCATGAATGGTATCCTGAGTAATGAATAAACGAACCATGAAGGGTGTCCTGAGTAATGAATAAACTAACCATGAAAGGTATCCTGAGAGAATGGTTTCTTGAAGCCTGCTCCGACCTGAATCTATCCTCATCAGGAAATTCTTGAATTGTACTTCTCTCTCCTGTAGTTAATCCACCACTAATTGTCCAGATCTTCAGAATATGATATTCAAATATTTTTAATTGAAAAATAAGGAAACTTTTTAGGAAAGCAAACATTAAAACTTCAGATATACATTTGTTAGAGGATAAACTAAATATCTAATATTTCCTTATGATGGTTTGTAGGATCTCTTGGACTAGGATCCATCATCCAACCTCCTTGTTGGTCAGGGGTATACTTCTTAAACACAGGCTTCCCAATAGTTTCCAGGGTACAGTCCTCACTCCTATACAATACAGGAGTATTTACAGTATACAGTATACAGGGTACACAGTCCTATACAATACAGGATTATACACACTATACAGTATACAGGGTATACAGTTCTATACAATACAGGACTATATACACTATACAGTATACAGTATACAGGGTATACAGTTCTATACAATACAGGACTATATACATTATACAGTATCCAAGGTACACAGTCCTATACAATACAGGACTATATACACTATACAGTATACAGGGTATACAGTCCTATAAAATACAGGACTTACAGGGTACACAGTCCTATACAATACAGGACTATATACACTATACAGAATGCAGGGTATACAGGACTATATACACTATACAGTATACAGGGTTTACAGTCCTATACAATACAGGACTATATACATTATACAATATACAGGGTACACAGTCATAAACAATACAGGAATATATACACTATACAGTATACAGGGAACGCAGTCCTTTACAATACAGGACTATATACACTATACAGTATACAGGGTATACAGTCCTAAACAATACAGGACTATATACACTATGGAGTATACAGGGTATACAGTCCTATACAATACAGGAGTATTTAGTAATTTACACTATACAGAATACAGGGTACACAATCCTATACAATACAGGACTATATACACTATACAGTATACAGGGTACACAGTCCTATACAATACAGGATTTACACTTACAGAATACAGGGTATTCAGTCCTATACAATACAGGACTATATACACTATGGAGTATACAGGGTATACAGTCCTATACAATACAGGAGTATTTACACTATACAGTATACAGGGTACACAGTCCTATACAATACAGGACTATATACACTATACAGTATACAGGGTACACAGTCCTATACAATACAGGAGTATTTACACTATACAGTATACAGGATATACAGTCCTATACAGTATACAGGACTATATACATTATACAGTATACAGGGTACACAGTCCTATACAATACATAACTATATACACTATAGAGTATACAGGGTATACAGTCCTATACAATACAGGACTATATACACTATACAGTATACAGGGTTTACAGTCCTATACAATACAGGACTATATGCATTATACAGTATACAGGGTACACAGTCCTATACAATACAGGACTATATACACTATACAGTATACAGGGTATACAGTCCTAAACAATACGGGACTATATACACTATGCAGTATACAGGGTATACAATACAGGAGTATTTACACTATACAGAATACAGGGTACACAATCCTATACAATACAGGACTATATACATTGTACAGTATACAGGGTACACAGTCCTATACAATACAGGACTATAAAAACTATACAGTATACAGGGTATACAGTCCTATACAATACAGGACTATATACACTATACAGTATACAGGGTACATAGTCCTATACAATACAGGACTATATACACTATACAGTATACAGGGTACACAGTCTATACAATACAGGACTATATACATTATACAGTATACAGGGTATACAGTCCTATACAATACAGGACTATATACACTGTACAGTTTACATGGTATACAGTCCTATACAATACAGGAGTATTTACACTATACAGTATACAGGATACACAGTCCTATACAATACAGGACTATATACACTATACAGTATACAGGGTACACAGTCCTATACAATACAGGAGTATTTACACTATACAGTATACAGGATATACAGTCCTATACAGTATACAGGACTATATACATTATACAGTATACAGGGTACACAGTCCTATACAATACATAACTATATACACTATAGAGTATACAGGGTATACAGTCCTATACAATACAGGACTATATACACTATACAATATACAGGGTATACAGTCCTATACAATACATGACTATATACATTATACAGTATACAGGGTCAAAAGTCCTATACAATACAGGACTATATACACTATACAGTATTCAGGGTACACAGTCCTATACAATACAGGACTATATACACTATACAGAATGCAGGGTATACAGTCCTATACAATACAGGACTATATACACTATACAGTATACAGGGTTTACAGTCCTATACAATACAGGACTATATGCATTATATATACAGGGTATACAGTCCTATACAATACAGGACTATATACACTATACAGTATACAGTGTATACAGTCCTATACAATACAGGACTATATACAGGTACAAAGTCCTATACGAAGTAGTTAAAGCAAATTTACTCTGTAACATATTGGAAATTATTAACATTTTTAGTCTTCTCAAAAGCACGTTAATAAAAGGAGGACTGGTTGAAAAAATAAAAGATTTCAAACTGTTGTGCACACTCTCACCTCTGATCCTTCAGTAAAAGTAAATTCATCCTAAAGTCTGACCGCATCAACCTTGTTGAAAAGTTGACCCGGCTCAGAAATCGAATGTACTAAGGCTGCCAATTTGCAATTTACTCAAGTTTCCATTGCTTGAGAACTAGGGAAATCTGAGAAAATATACGAAAATGCTCACAGCGCGGGGTAAGTAAAGTTTAAAAAGCTAAGATCATCATTAGATATAAGGGCACGTAGCGCACTGGATTCTGAGTAAATTTCATTAGTATTATATTCTAATTTATAATAGTTTAAAAATAACTCAATAAACTCCTTCACTTATTATTTTAGGGTGTGTCAGTCTAAAAAAACTAACAGGGAATTTGTTTGAAGAAGCCTCTGTTCGATACATTTTTAGTCAAAGTGTTTACTATAGCAGCAATAAAACGTTATTTTACTGTATATAAATCTGCGGAGAAAATTTACATTAATATTTTTAGTCTGCATTACATTCTACTTATCTTGATCAAATGAATTGTAGTTCCACAATTTCTTCAAATTGTTAAAAAAAGCATCAACCATTAATTTTTACAGAGTATTTACTTCAATACCATTACTAAACATGCAAAGGACCTGAAAGGTTTTTCTTAATTAGTCCAATCAAAGTTTACCTGATATAACTAATATGTAAACTTTGTTAAGACAAAATGAAAATCTCTCTGATTGGGAGATGGATTCTGATCATCCCTACACTACCAGTTTCAAGCTTAGTATTAACGGATACAATGGTTTCTCAAGCTGTTTCAGATAAAAGAAAGTTGAGAAAATTCATAAAAATTTTGTTACTTTACATATTTTTGTTTTAGTATCGGTTCTCCCTGCGGTTGTTCGTCTAGGAGTGTTAAATGATTCCATTTTCTCCTTGTATGGAAAGGATGTTGACTTGACCCATTGTTCTGGTATTTCAGGAATATCAATGGAAATTATAGAAATCATAAAAGAGGTTGTTAAACACTGAACATTAGTATTCATTATGTTTCCGCTAATAATGCACCATGTGTAAGAATGGCTAAAATGATTCTTCCATTTTTTCTGTTGTACTGCTCAATTTTATGAGGTGGTTGTAAAGGGGCTGTCAGTTTATTTTAAACCCTTTAATAAAATTGCTTTTGCAGCCTACAGATTGAAAAAAACCAAACCATTCAAAGTCAGTTAAAATTAAGACCCTCCAAACCAATATTTTCTGTTCAGAGGTTGGGTTGGAATATAACTTGTATTAACCCGAAATCAAATACATTTGGTATGAAGATAAATGGGTCTTGGAATGGAATACTTGGGAGTCTGGAAAGGTAGTATATAGCGAGTTATGTAAGAATATGAGCCCCCAGAGCCCTTATTAAATGAGTGTGCTCAGTTACAACCCTTCATTTGTAGAGTGATGTGTTCGATTAACAAGATTACACTTTAAAAACTTTGTTTGCTGTTTTTGATAAATAATACCAACCTGAAGAGCCACAATAAAAAGCTTAAATTGTTAATTAAAGAGGGAATTCCGCTCCGTGAAATCTTGTATATTAAAAGCTGGGTGATTTTTTCAGAAGAGAAATTGATTTGGCAGCTATATCATTAACAATAACACCTGAAAGAAATCAAGATTTTCAGTTCTTGCATCCAATTGGGGAGGATGGAATTTACTTAGTATCAAGAATATCTAAAACCCAGGTAGCTTCTTGTTCATTATTAAAGGGAGTGTTCGCAAAAATGAAAAGGGGTATAGGCTTACAGCGAAAAATAAGCGCTTTTGATTACTACTAATCTTACTTCCTACCTGTTGCCTCTATAAAGAGAAAACTGTTAAAAACAACACATACTGAAGAACGTAGCATCCATACAAATTCGGAAAGTTGCAACATTCAACTTGGATTGTAAAATGATAAATTTAATTCCAAACAAATCATTCAGATATTACAACCAATAGTCATCAATTATTTTTCGACGCATTCATATAAAGTTAATATTTCATAATATATTTATTTTGTATTTTCAAAAATTATTTCGCAAGCACTGGATTTTCGAACATTCCTGGAAAATATGAAAATGTTGTCTTCAATATAAAAAATCCTCGAAACAGGAATAAAATGTTTTCAATAACTGTCAGATCATAAAAAATAAAAAAATATTATAAAGTGTCAACTATTCGTCGAAAAATAATCGATGACTATTGGATGTAATATCTGAATGATTTGTTAGGAATTAGATTGATTTTTTATGATTCAAGTTGAATATTGAAACTTTCTAAATTTGTAAGGATGCTACGTTCTTCAGTATGAGTCGTTTTTAACAATTTTTTCCTGATAGACTTAACAGATAGAAGTAAGATTAGTAGCGATCAAAAGTGCTTATTTAAATTTTTCACTGTAAGCCTTTACCCCCCTTTCATTTTTCTCGAGCACTCCCTTTTAAATACCAGTAAATTAACAAAGGTGAACACCATATCTGAGAACTTGTAATATAGATGATTTAGTCAAATTCAATCTTCCCTTGAAGGGATCCTTTCAAAAACATGGTCCAAAAGGTATATTTGGTTGAATGAAGAATGAATTCTACCCCCTGTTATAGTTAACATAAGCGTTATTATGAAGATTTTCCCAGATCAAATGATTTTATTAAATTAAGTCCCAAAAATAACATAAACAAAGTTTTCAGTTATTTTAAAGACTAAAAATAAAGTTCTGGAAATATCTTAGAATTGTTTTGAAACACAAACCTTGTACTTCATTAAATATCAATAACAATGATTCTTCTATGACATAAAATATTTCAGAAAACTCGACATTTGTTTGGAATTATATTTGGAGGAATTGCTTCAGATGTCTGGATATCTCTTACCATATACATTTTAATAACAGGAACTTTGGTTTATCATAAACATTGAATTAATTCCATTTTAACATGCTTTGCATACATCAATTTCCCTGTAAGTCATTAGATCTTGACATCCATTATTTGCTTTATAACTAAATACAACATTTGATCTGTCAAACCTGGCCCTAAACGTATAGGCCACTAAGCCCAAAGTCTATTCTAACCACAGTGCCTAGCCCCCCTTTTTTAACAACAATCCAACGTGTAGAGTTGTGACCTGTAATTAGTTTTATTAGATAAATAGTATATATAAGATTAAAAAAAATAGAGAAAATATCATGATTTATGAAGAAAAGTTTAAATTATAATTATAGCTATTAAATGACAATGTAGTAAGTTACTATAGAAAAATTATAATAGAGAAGATGTCAATGAACCATTTCAAAAGGTTAAAATTACTTAAAGGAACAAATTCCTTCTCAGACATATGATAAATATTTTTAACTTTAAGATAATATAATACATTTAGGAATTCTCTTTACATGGATTAAGTCTAGAGAAAGTGGAAACCCCTGTATCACCCTGTTAGGTGACAACTTGACAAGCATCTTTAAATATATAAAATGATAATCTTTTTTTGTCTGTTTTGTGTTTGAATGTCCAACCATAACTCATAAACTCCTTGACTAGTCCGATGTTCCTCAAATTTAATCTTTTATAAAGTGTAGTTTCCAAGCAAATCTGAGTTCCCAATCTGGTATTTTGTGAAAATAGCCCAGGAACCCAGCTTTGCCTGTAAACTAAGTTTTTTTTACAAAAGTTAACCTTCTCAACTTGAAACTTGTATACCAAGGTAAGAACATTTTTGTGGTTCTACCAAGTTCCCCAATTAAAATTTAAGGGAAATTGGTCAAGTGGTTTTTGATTTCTGATCAGACATACAAACAAACAAACATAGATTACTTCTTTATATATATATATATATATATAGAGATTATTGACTAAAAGAGAGAATTAAGTCATTCCTTTTAAACATAGATGTCTCTGAGAACTGTTACAATTTCTTTATGGCGAGTGCCTGGCAGATTCCTCTTATCAATCAACCAATTTCAACCAGCAACAAGGTAGATATAAATTGAGCTGTATTGATCAGTCCTATTAGCACAAGACACTGTGTCTATGGACATATAAATATATATGTATACAAGTTTGCTATAGCTGGCCAAACGGCTGGACCTAATTGGCTGCATTCTTTTTTTTAAGGGAACTATGGTTAACCTTGGGGTGACATTTGAAATTTTAGAAATTCAACCATAATAATAAATTAAAATGCAAAACAGCAAAAGTAACTATAACTATGAATTATAGTCTAAACCTGGACAACACCGGGTTCTCACGCTAATTAGACATATTATTGTTACTTAGACCAAGAGGATTTACATTACACGTCAGTTCAGTTAAAAAATCCAAAAATAACCTTTTTCCTTTATACTTTGAAACACAGTGTGCAATTCAATGTGCAAGTTTATTTTGTATTCATTCATTCAGTGTTTTAAATTGTGTAGATTTTAGTTCTGAGTAGTTTGTTTCTTGGTATGATTTTGTTTAATACCTATACAGCTGTCCTTACATCAAATGCGGGTAAGGCATCTATGTCTCATAAAAAAGTAAAAAGCAAGATAGCTTGCAAATTTAGTAAAGTTGAAACTTGAAAATAAGACATTTTGTACAAATAATAAGTTGAAAAATATGTATCTCCTGTATATCATGTATCTTTGCTTTGATAAGTTGGAAGTAATATATTATGCATCTTTAAAAAGTATACATCTTGGGAAATGCATAGGAATATAATTTCTTCTGGAAACTTAAGGGGTTAGATTGTCCACCCTTCCTGCATCTGAGACATTTTGGCATATTGTTTAATAAGTAGAGAGTAAGATATCTTCGATACCTCGCCACTAAATGTATTTTTCTGAAATGATGGAACAGAAATAAAACTGGAGTCAAATGATCAATAAGGTTTCTTGTATAAGTGTATATTTTAAGTTTAATATAAAACTTTTTACCACTACAGTTGAAAATCATAAAGATGTTGAAATAAACACCTTGGAAGAAGCACTAGAAGGAAACTACAAGGTGAAAACAAATTAAGAATTTTCAATTTTTTATCTAAACGGAGTTTACTTTCAGATTGGAACTTTTCCTGGCGGATTTGGCAGGATTTTATGATCATTTTAGAGTTGAACCATTTCCACATAGTTCATAAAAATTTTAGTATAGCAAAATGATTATCTCACTCAAACATACCGTGAATTGTAAAAAATGCATAAAAAAGTGATTACAAAATTGTTGAAAAACAAAATATTTTAAACTGAAAGAATTTTTTTAACCAAGTTTAAAGAGGCTACATTATGCCACCTATCATCCAAAACTGTTATGTTTTTTAAACTTATAGTGAAATATTGATACCAATTGTCTCAATTATTCTCTTAATGACTTGCACATTTAGTTAAAAAAAAAATGGAAATTGAGATATATTTACCAGTTTTATGATCAGCTATTGCCTTCTCATCTAATTCATAGTAATGCTTTCCCAATTTAAAGCAAATTATGAATAATAAAGATAGTTGGTTTGTTCTTATGGGGTTTGGACTTCAAAAGAATCTACAAGTATTTGAGAAATTTAAAGAATTTTCAAAATCATTAATTCTAAACATGTGCCTCGCATTTCACATATGCAAAATTTAAACATTGAGAAGAGATATGTGTGAAAAAAAATACAGTTGTTTTATAACCATAGTTTTTAGTTAGCTGGGGCTAATTTTAAAATGTTGTAACCTTACTTTTGATGAAACAGAATTTTGTGCTGCTTTTTAAAAAAATGTCTAAAAAGTCAAAGAAATATAAACCAAGTTCTCATCCATATTATTAAAGCTTACTGCCATAAATCCATGACATCAGGGGAAATAGTGATAAGAGAAAAGATCGGCCAGGAAGATTAATTAAGTGTTTTAATCCTACCAAACTTAAAAACTAAAAAATTAGATTTTTGTTGTACATTAAAGCCTGGCCAGCTACAATCCTACTTTGAAATCTTTTTAGGACAGATCAGTCTGTCTGTAGCTTAAATATTTGATAACATCCAAACAGAGTGATTAAATAAATAATCAATGCTATTAAAAGAATCTGAAATTGTATGAACAATTGGTAAGGCTGAACAGCAATCCTTTGGACAGACTTAAGCTTGTAAGGCAAGTTTTAAATTGAAAAAAAGATATGATACATTAAAATGTTTGCATAAAACTAATCCCAATAGATTTGTAAGAATACTAAAAATACCAAAAAAAGACTTTACACTATTGAATAAAGACATTTGATTTTGCAAAATCCGTGTGAACTTTTTCAAAATGCATAAATGAATAACACACTGTGACAATACATGTTGAAATTTTAGGACTATTATTATACCCTTTATTTAACTCATTTCAACATTTTGTTTTAACATTTAGTTTTATTAGAAAATATAAAAAAATAATAAAATACTAATATAAATGAGATTGAGAATAATTCATGTGTCTGAACTTATCTGGAGATAAAGTTTTTTTTAGAGACCAGACTGATTATGTTACTACTATTACTGACATGTACTTCTCTAAATACCAAACGGAACACCAGGTAAATAGTAATAAAGAACATCAAGAAATTGGCACTTTGAAAATTTTTGTCAGTAGGTGTTAAGGGGAATTTATATTCCAACAGATCTTAATGGCTGAAGGAAAATACTGTTAATGGTCAGAAAGTGATTAAAATCTGTGTACACAAATACAATATTTATTATGTTAGCTAGGATGATAATGCAAGTAAAGATAATAATTTTTTCACATGTAAAATTTTTGTCATACAATAATCACAAAATGCTTATGGTCCTTGCATTTTCAAAATGTGGACTGCCTATGCTACCAGTTTGAAACGATTATTGCTCAAATAATCATAATTCTCCTGGTATGTAGGCTGCAGGGTCAAATCATGATAAGTTACTAATCGTATAAGATAATTAAGGATGTCTGCGATATTGGCTTATCTAAGGAGAAACTTTCCAAGTCCTTTGAATTATATTCCTTCGCAACTACGAAAGGCAACCCTCTGGTTCCTCAAATAAACTCAGTTCTACTTGAGATAAAAGAAAGGGGAATATTGGACAGGATAATTGATAAACATGTTCCCAGGTACTTCAGCCAAACAGCATATCAGAAATTATAATTAAAAGAAGACAATTGTAAAATGCGCTACTTTTAATTTGCTGAACACATAGCTTACTTTTTAAAAGAGGTATTGAAATTGTGACTCCATGTTGCAGAAAAAGTGGCTTTGTGATATGGTCCAGTTTTTATTTCTGGCTGAGTCACAATGGGTTTAACTAACTTTTTGGGATTTTAAGCCTAAACAGGCTGTATTTTTTACCCTAACATTCTTATTTTTGACACTATCACTTTGATTTTTTTTTTACTTTTAAGGAATAGTAATTTTAAGGATTATTTGTAATTTTTTTTTTAATTAATGCATAGGGTAGGGTAAAAGTCAGAAAAGTCTGGTCCTTGTTCAAATCAAATCAAATCTAAAATAGCCCATTACTTTCTTGTAACTAAAGCTGCAGATCTAAATATTACATTTTTATAAAGCCCTTAAAAAATGGATATAGAAAGAAGATTTACATATTGATATTTGTTTTAAAAAAATCAAATTTTATAATAACCCTTTTTTTGGCATTTTTCAACACTCCGTAGCAACCAAACTAATAATTTATTTTTTTCAATGAGCTGAGGCAGAATTTAAAGAATTTAAGCGGCGGTTTTAATTTAAGCCACCGCTCAAATATTTAAATTTGTTTTCTATTTTTCAAGATTTAAGCCGGCGGTCAATTAAAACTGTTTTTGAGGGATTTAAGACGTGGCTTAAATTCATCAAATTCAGACACTGATCTTGAAAAATTGAGCTATGAATAAGCATTTCTTTACTCTAAGGCCTTTTTCTATGGGGCTATACATAGATTCAGACCCCCCACCAGCCTTTATTGGGTTAAGATTGTTTAAACACCTAACGCTAACAGTAGAAAATATTGAGGGAGAAGCACCTATTTAACAATTTCACAACCCATCCCATACTTGATTATACTTTTTTTCTAGAAAAAAATCAAAGAATTTCTGCAAACCAGATCTTGAATATGATGCCATTACTTATGAATCAGTGAAGGTGTTGTTCTTTATCTTGGTCTTTGGAATATGTTCATCGGTCATCATCTTTATTTTCGAACATCTCTATTGTAAAGATGGAGAAAGATATCTTGTAAATGAATAAGGATATCCAAGTTCTTTAGCCATAGTAAACTGAGGAATAGAAATTTTTGTCATTTATTTCTGAATTTTTTCCTCAATTTCTAACTGTTTGAGATTTTATCAAAATCATGAAATAAACTTTTTAGGCAAGTAAATTTTAGGTAGAGAGGAGCAGTTTTAAAGTTTATATACATATATATATATATCTAAATAGTAACTGAGAAGTACAGAAAGGGGATCTTATCTTCCAAAATGGAAGTGAGTGGTTCAGTGGTTTTACAAGACCGATTAAGAAAATCATTTTGGTTTACAATATTTCGGGGCATGGGGTATTTTGGGTTTTGTTCTTACAAATTCTTTTCTACTTTACACCAGTTCTTAATCTTCTTTATTTTAGGGTTCATTAAATATACGAGGAAGAAAAGAACTAGAAATAAGAAGTGGAATAAATCTATATAATAAAGCTGTTTGCTCATGTATTTTTGTCAGCTATAGCTGGCCAAACGGCTGGACCAAAACGGCTGACATTTTTTGAAGAAACCTATGGATACCCTGGGGTAACATAGACTAAATTTAAATTTTTTTTTCAAAAATATAAGAGGACAGTGAAGGATTAGAAGTGAGGTTACCTGTTAAATATACCAGGAAGTGAAGGATTAGAAGTGCAGTTACTTGTTAAATACTCCAGGAAGGGAAGGATTAAAAGTGAGGTTACTTGTTAGATATACCAGGATGGGAAGGATTAGAAGTGAGGTTACTTGTGAAATACTCCAGGAAAGGAAGGATTAGATATGAAGTTACCTGTTAAATATACCAGGAAGGAAGGATTAAAAGTGAGGTTACTTGTTAAATACTCCAGGAAGGGAAGGATTAGATGTGAGGTTACCTGTTAAATATACCAGGAAGGGTAGGATTAGAAGTGAGGTTACTTGTTAAATACTCCAGGAAGGGAAGGATAAGAAGTGAGGTTACTTGTTAAATACTCCAGGAAGGGAAGGATTAGAAGTGAGATTACCTGTTAAATACTCCAGGAAGTGAAGGATTAGAAGTGAGGTTTCATGTTAAATATTCTAGGAAGGGTAGGATTAGAAGTGAGATTACATGTTAAATATTCCAGCAAGTGAAGGATTAGAAGTGAGGTTTCCTGTTAAATATTCCAAAAAGGCAAGGATTAGAAGTGGGGTTACCTCTTAAATTTACTAGGAAGTGAATGATTAGAAGTGAATTGGAGTTGCCTGGAAAATATCCCAGGAAGAGAAGGGGATTAGAAGTGAGGTTACCTGTTAAATATACCAGGAAGGGAAGGAAAAGAAGTGAGGTTACCTATTAAATATTCCAGCAAGTGGATTAGAAGTAAGGTTACCTTTTAAATATTCCAGGAAGTGAAGGATTAGAAGTGAAATGGGGTTACCTGTTAAATATTCCAGGAAGTGAAGGATTAGAAGTGAAATGGGGTTACCTGTTAAATATACCAGGAAGTGAAGGATTAGAAGTGAAATGGGGTTACCACTTAAATATACCAGGAAGTGAAGGATTAGAAGTGAAATGGGGTTACCTGTTAAATATACCAGGAAGTGAAGGATTAGAAGTGAAATGGGGTTACCACTTAAATATACCAGGAAGTGAAGGATTAAAAGTGAAATTGGGTTACCTGTTAAATATTCCAGGAAGTGAAGGGTCAAATGCTGAAATACCAACTCCAAATATTCTAGCAGAACCTTCACATCTAGAATAATTAAGAAAATATGAAAAATAAGTTTTTACAACTGTGTAGTTTTCCAAATTATGATCTAGCTCTTTTGTATCTATAAAATCCGGTTTCTTTTATTCAACAATTTAGAGGTACAAAAATGAAAGAAAACGTTTGCATATAAAAACTGTTAACTCTACTTACTTCTACAATAACTACATTTATTTTTTAGTACAGTGGTAGGCGATTGTATCAATACAATGAACACGAGTTTCGATTTAAATTTTTATTCATATCAAGCTTTGCTTATTTGCAAACTTGTAATACGAAAAAAAAGATTGTTAACAATCAAATTTATAATGAAAAGGCCGTCTTCATTGTATTGATGTAATTGCCCACCACTGTTTGAACATGATTCATTTACCGTTTGAAATCTTTTTTGTTTGTTAGTTGAATGTATTGAAATATATCCAACCTGAGAGGACCCATACTGGCGCAGTCGGGACACGGTTCTTGTTTAGGACAAATATCTTGGAATCCCAGGAGCTCTGGAGCTCGGTCTCCGAAATATTCAAACTCAAGTTTACCCGTAGATTTCGGAGGTGGGGGACGGTTCGGGTCTCTCTCTGAAAAAAATGAACTGACAAATTATTAAATCTGTATGATTTTGATATCTACAATTCTCCGAATCAAGTAACTTGATAAAAATTGGTTTAAATTGTATTCTTCCATCAAAATTAGAAAGAGAAAGTCAGATTTAAGAATTTAAATTTGAGACTTTTTCTGATGTACAGTGTGTTGCATTGCTGAAAACGATCAAAATCACCAAAAATTTGCTTCCATTTTTACAACATGGTCTAAAAACTTTTCACATTATTTCTAAAATTTGATGAGAGCTTAACCCTGACTCCTATGGGGTGATGGTTGACCATTTTATTTATTTATTTAAAAGCAAAGTAATTAATCCCACATTATTTATTTTGGAAACATAATTATCAATTTAGTTCAAACTTGAAAAGATTCTTTACAAAACCTTAATCTCCAATCTCAACCTAGGCATTGTGAAGGAAAAAAAGTACTAAGACAAAACTATATCCCCCCCCCCCACACACCACGAAATATCTGCGAATGATCGTTATAAAAAGTTACTTACTATAGAGTTGAATATTTCCTCTTGTGACCCCGATCTCGTTCTTAGACACACAATAATAAGTTCCTTCGTCTTTTCTCTCCCTGACAATATAGTTTAAGAATCAGAATCGGAATTAACACTTAACACCGTACAGAGAACTCATTTCAAAGTATACGAACACATATTTAGAAAACTTTCATTGTTCTATTGTTCCCTATTCCCTAAAAAAAGCTATCCTATTCCCGCACCCCCCTCCCTCCCAAAAAACTGCTTTCTTACAAGTGTTTAAAAATATTATCTACTGAAATGTAATTTGGAAACAAAAATTGGTCTTTGTTTTACTTCTAACACTTGTTTAATAATTTAAATAAATTAAATTTAAAAGATGTTACTGGACCTGAGCGTGAGAACAAGTGTGCTGATGTATTTATACTGTAGCCTGCCTTTAGATTGCTTGATTTCATGGTTTTCATCAACCTAAAATATTACTATTTAAAAAATGACATTGTACGGAATTGTCTGTTTTATTTTGTAGATTTCCATAACATTGAAAATCGAAATTCTATGGAGGTTTAGTTTATTATTCTCACTGCAATTAAACTTTTACTGTATTGTAAGGCGAACACACATTTGTCGTGGAACTGCTGAAAAAAACTTAAAGGAATTGAGTCTTTGCCACAAACTCTTTATCTTTGTTACCCAATGTTTGATTTTTCAAACGATGAATTCTGTTAGATCAAAAAATCCAAGTTTGAAATATAAAAGGTGTACATCTTCAGGTAGCAAAAATATAGGGATTTGGAAATTTAAGTTTGTTGCAAAGGATCAATTCCTTTGACCTGGATGAGCTTTCCGTCCTTCTCCCAGTAATTGACTGGTTCAGGCCAAGCTTCTACTATACACTCCAGGGTGAGCAGTTCTCCAGCCCAGCCCCCCACCACCTGCTCACGGACTATTACCGTCGGAGAAACTGAAAATAAAATCTATGATCGTTTGATGTAAATTGTACATTACCCAATATAAAATGTAAAACTAGATTTTGATTGAATTCCGCTGATTTCAAACTGCCAAGTTTTTCATAAAAAATTTGTCCAGTCATACTATATACAAACTGCACAGACTACACCGACTGCTTATCTCTTTTCACAGGGGGGCCTGGGTATGCCTAAGTTGACCCGGCACAACATGCTACGTTTTTATGATAGGATTTTAGAGTGCCATCTCACGCCCACTTGTTGGACATATTCCCATTCCATTACAACTTTTAAAGAAATGCTCCGATTTTAAACATGAAACGTAACATTTATGAATTCAGTCTTTTTTTTTTGAATATTTTGTGTTTCGTATCCAAAGGATCCTTAAATATCCCTGAATACAGATGTTTGCTGATTGGTCGTGTACATAACTTGTACACAAGCCATGCCGTATATTTTAGCTGATAATCGATCTCTGTAACCCTCTTATGTCTGATACAAACCTTTTTTTAACAACAGTTTTACGGTCAGCATTTAAACTGAGTTATACTAAATTGCGTATTTTACTTTCTTTAATCGTAGATTTTGAACTGTATCAGTGGCGTAAATAAGGGGGGTTATTGGGGTTATTTACCCCCCCCTAGAATCCTGGGGNCGCGAACCAAATTAAAAATATTTACCCCCCCCTACAGAATCCTTCTATCCGCCCCTGTTTCATTGTAAGACTTTTCACGTCTCAACGAGGTTTAAGATGTAAATATTTCAAATCTATCCAGAATTGGAAACTTTCATGTTCAATATACTCATAATACCGATCGCTTAATCGCTATATCCACTGCGGGCAACTTTAAGTTGAGGGCCAATGCCTCTTAATTTCAGTTATTCCTCCAGGGTACGGATATCATGCGGGATATCAAATAAAGATTAAATAAATCTGCAGATTAACAAAGCACTGATCTTGATATCCACAATACAAGAGTTCTCAGCTTAGGCCTAAATGCTCTATTCTTCACAAAGACATGTCATTTACCCACAGACAAATTTTGGTCAGTGAAAATAATTTAAACTCCCTTAGGATTCCATGATAAAAACATGGATTGATATAAATGATAAATGATATAATTTTACAATTTTAAAAAAATATGAAAGCACATTTGTAGCTAATTTAAAACAACTTAGCTTCAAAACTTCTCAAAATATGCCTAAAATCGGTCTAACATTATTTGGAAGAATAACAAAATGACATTGAGGAAAATAATGGAATAGTTTCTAATCATTCTGATTAAATATTGATATTTTAAGTATGGAAAGAGTTTACTTACAGTAGACATGAACCATAAAGAGCTGGGTGGCAGCTGGAGGAATTCCGTTATTAGCTACGCATGCGTAGGTTCCCATATGCTCACGACTGATATGCGTTATATTCAGGACTCCACCAATGACATTACTCACTGTAAAAAAAAATATTAGAAAACATAATTCAAATCCATGGTCGAGAACGAGGTCTATGGTTGCTCACCCCTCCCCGCCCCCTTCATGCTTGAAAATCTTACTTTTTTGCAGACAATTCATTTAAACAAATATGGGTTGCCCAAGATGGGGCTTCTTGCAGATCTCATCTCACATATTCACATATGAGAGTATTTTCTCTGATGCAATCTCTCCCTTCCCCTCCCCTCCCCTCCCCTCCTCTCTGGTTTAGTGTTTTTATAACGCTCAAGCATAAACCTACTTCTCAAGGTTTGTCCATCAATAATAGTGAGATTATCCGTCCTACTCCAGCTGACCACCGGTTTAGGATCCCCGGATACTGCGCATGTTAACTTTAGGTTCTCACGTTCCTTTACAATGACCGGCCTGGTACCTGGAGTATATATAAAATGAAAGTGTTCTATGTAGCTGACAGTGACAATTAAGATTTAAAGGGAATGTTTGCATTCTAGAAAACCATCAACTAAAGTCTAAAAATTTTAAAAATCATATAGATGAGTAAAATCTTTAAAGGGTACCGTTGTGAACTGACCTGAACTTTCACTTAAAGTTCTTTCAAGAAAAAACGCAGAAGCACAAATTAAATTCAAATCTTTAACTATCATCAAAACTGTTGATTGTATGTTACCTTCTGTAGTGCTGCTGATTGTATGTTACCTTCTGTAGTGCTGCTGATTGAAGGAGGAATCATTAAATGTTCCATTTCATCACAAGCTCCTGATTCAACCATAATAATAAGTCAAGTCAAACAAAAATGTTAAATCAAATAGGTTAGGTTTTCTAACAGAGACTCAACTAGCACTTTTGCATGGGGGGGGGGGCTGGCCCCCCCTGTAGGAAATTTTTTCTAAATAAAAGGGTTTGATGTCGAAAAAAGGAAATTTTCAGTGGTTGAATTCTGATTTGGCTGTGTTCAATTCAAATCATTTTTTCTCTTGTGTGTTTTTTTTAAATTTTTACTTTCAACAACTGTAAAATTAACGATATAAGTCAATACATTCTTTTCATGTGTGCACGGAGCGCAAAAAAAGTACCTGGTTTAATTACAGATATAATTACAAGAACTAATCATTTATATATTCTGATAAAAACCATTAAAAAACATATATAATTTGTATCAACTACATAGAAAAAGGACAGATAATAATACGTTTTAAGTTATTGAATTTGATGATTGATCAATCTAACCAACATTCATAATCTTATTTTATTTTCGATTTTGTAGAAGTTCTTTCAAAAAAGATAAACAGGTTACAGTTATCAAATATGGATCAGTAACATTTTGTATAGTACATTTTCGTATAGTAACATTTTGTCTAGGTAACATTTCGTATAGTACACTTTGTTTAGGTAACATTTTGTATAGGTTCCATTTCGTCTAGATAACATTTGGTATAGATAACATTTGGTATAGGTAACATTTCGTATAGGTAACACTTAGGGTAATTTTTCGTATAAATGTAAAAATAAAGATGAAAAATGAAACACCGAATATCAGCTATTTTGGTATTTATATTTAATGTTACATGTTCATTTTTTTACAGTTTTATTAATTATCCGATTTTTGAAGTTCATTAGCCACCTGCTGCAGATAATCTTCGTCAGGCAGAACGCCAAACTGTTCAGCAAGTAACTTAAGACGTTGATGATTGGCCATGTTCTCATGTTCTTTAGCCTTCTTGATCAGGAGCTGATTACCATTATCATGCAGAGGAATTGATTGTCCTACAAGGTTCCCTGTTGATTTCCGGGTGGAAATCCTTGCCTTACAACTTCTGTTTGCACAGGTCCACTAGTTAACATTTTCCCTAGTACTATTAAAGGTATATTTATGATAGTTGTTATCGATTATTGCATCCTTTCCACGAGTAGACTTAGTAAGTCTTATCAGAGACATGGTTGAGGTTTTTGTAATATTGCGGATTTTCTTTAAATGGTTCGCAGTTTTCTTAGTGAAATATTCATGATTTTCTTACAAAAATATCTCGACGTTCTTTAATTTTTACATTTATACGAAAAATTACTATGGATGTTACCTATACAAAATGTTTCCTATACGAAATATTATCTATACGAAATGTTACCTATACGAAATGTTACCTATACAAAATGTTACCTATACCAAATGTTACTATACGAAAATGAACTAGACAAAATGTTACTATACGAAAATGTACTATACGAAACGTTACTGATCCTCAAATATGATATCAGTTAGAAGTTTGCCAGGTTTAGTCTAAGAATGTTCTCTAGATTTGGAACTGAGTTTTTGCCACAAACTCAAATATTCTAATCCTAAATCTTTGCATTGAATGGTGTAAACCTTTGATATTTCAAATTTAGAATATTTTACCAAAAAAATTCCATGTTTAAATACAGTTCGGAACTTTTTTACATTAAATGTTTACAATAGCCTTTAGCCTTGAGAATTCAGAAAGATAAAAATATATTTTTTTAAACTAACCCCAGAAGAATACAATTTCTACAATAACTCTTTTAGTTTTATTATTCCTGACTCCTGTGATAATGATATTCGCCAATCTTTCTTTTCATTCTGCAGGGGAGAGGGCGATCCCCCCTCAGGTGCTGGGGAGGTCGCGCAACCCCCCCCCCCCTAGTTGCGCCTTTGTTTTCTACTAATTATTACAAAATTATAATTTGCCTGCCACTTTCCAAGCACAAATCCCTGGTGTACCGGGTCGTCCTGCTAAACCATCATCTCCAGCCCGTCCTCGTGGTCCAGGTAGACCACGCTCCCCAACTGGTCCGACCGGACCCCGTGGACCTGTAGATCCTTTCAAACCGTCCCGACCGTTAGTTCCAGGAACACCAGCCATACCTGGGGTTCCAGGGATACCGTCTACCCCCGGGATACCATCCAAACCATTCCTTCCTAAATATGAAACAAAATCAAAATATTTCTCAGTTCTTAAAGGGATTGTAAAGGAAAAATGAAAGGGGTATATGGATGATACCTGAGAATCTCAGATTTGCTCCTATTATAATTTTTTACTTTTTATTCAGGATTTATAATAGATATAATTATATATATTGATAATATTATGACATATAGTGCGTATAGTCCGTATAGTCCGTATAATTAATATTTTCGTCGTTTTTGGTTTCTTTGTATATCCGATCATAAATCAGAATTCTATTTACAGATTTGCCTCAAATATTAATTAGGAACTCGGTATATCTATAAACTCTGGATTGTTTATCAGACTGACCCATCCGTTGACCATTTTTAGAAGAAATTCTTCTTTTTAATAGACTCTTATTATCTTAATTACCTAGAATGGTAAAGTTCGAGACAAAGTCGGGTTTCCAAGAACAAAATAAAGATAAAATTTGGTGAATTAAAGAGTGGAAAAGATTTTAAGAGATATTTAACCTGGAACTCCGTCTAGTCCTAGTTCTCCGGGCAATCCATCCCTTCCATCCAGTCCCGGTAGACCAGCCCTACCATCTTCTCCTTTAGGTCCACGAGGACCAACTGGACCTATTGAACCACGATGTCCCCGGCTCCCCTTGAGTCCTGTGTTACCATTAAGACCATGATCACCCTTCTGTCCCTTGAAACCAGGAAGACCAGGAGCACCCTGAGCTCCTTCTCGTCCCGGGGGACAATAATCTCTTGTAGCAGAACAGAACTCTTGAATAGCCTCAACCTTAAATAAAACTTACTTCTTATGTTTAAATTATTGTATATATTAATTCTATAACCTAATTTTTTTTAGTTACAGGGTCATATTAAGGATGTGAGACTTCAGAGACGACCGTTCAGAATCAATACAGATATATTTCTTACATTAATGATTCCCTGAAGCTTCATTCTTTTGTATTTCCTTTTTAGATCATTTATAGATCCGTAGAAGACTGTTTTCCAATCCAAATATCAGATTTATCCTTCAAATACTTATATCTAAGGATTTTAAGGTCGTCATTAAAGTCGTTGTAAATAAATTCAAGAAGAGATGCAGACTAATATAATTTGTCTTTGTCATTTGTAAAAAAAATGAATTATAGATAAATAATTTGAAATAAAAAATTGAGCATTGAAAAAGTTGTTTTATGTAAATTTTCGAAAAACACAATGCACCCTATTTTGAACCCTTGAATTAAGATTTCTTAGTAGATAATAGATATATTTTGCTGTGGTTAAGCCGAATACGGTTTCCCAACCAAAAGTTTTGGTCTCTGATTAGTAAACATACCGGTATCCTTGAGAATGAGGTTAACCAAACCCAGGGATTGTTTGGATCCCCTTTATCCTTCTCTATGTCCGTCTAAACACACTCAAAACATTAATCTTTAACATTGAACTCAAGATGCATTTATAAACAAAAACATATAAAATTATTTCTCTCTCAACAAGATTCCTATCTTTCCTACAGGATGGTGTAAACTTTTATTATTTCAAACTTGGACAATATCTGAACTTCAAAAGAAAATTACAAATGGCAAAAATCAGGATTAATTCAACATTTTCTTGTTTTGGTAATTTTCCTTAAGCTTTGGATGAACAAATTCCACACTCCCGATTCTTCCTTCTTTTATTTCTCTTCTTTCTCTTGTGCTTTCCTTCTCTCTTTCTCTTTCGTTTCTCTTCTCATTTTTGCCTCCGTCAACTCCAAAATCTAATTCAAAATTGTTCTGATCATCTCTAGAACCTATATTTACATTATCAGCTGTTCCTGAATCTCTTACGTCTATTTCTTTACCATCCAACCAGCCGGAGAAATAGTTCCAGGATTTATTCAAGGGTTGAGATATTTCATCCCTCCGTCCTGCAGTAGCATGAAGACTCAAACTAAACAAATTAAATGAATAATTAATGTAAAGAACTAAATTGTTAATTTAGTTCTTAGTGACCTTTCATTTAATCCTAGGAAGACTAGGGGGTCTAAATCTATGTATAGNAATGTAGTTTTCAGATCTGTAACAATATTAAAAACAAAAAAAAGTTATGGGCAATTTGCGAAACTGCGAAAATAGATTTCAATCCAAAAGTATCTAATTAATTATAATATTTTTTTGGGTCACTCTTGCTAACTTTACCTTAGGATTGAGAGCAGATATAATACTTTTAGATGAAACCTGAACCAGGTATAAACAATCCTCTATCTGTTTTTATTTATATTGTATTTATATATAAATATATATATATATATATATATATAAAATAATCTCGGTTTGTCTGGGTGTTTGTTTGGATGTTTAATATTGGCTCTAGAACCCTTGGACCGATTTGCCTCAAATAAAGATATATTGGGAACTCGATTTTAGTTTGAGTAGTTAAGTAGGTTGACTTTTTATAAGGAAATCTTCATGCAAAGCTGGGTTCCCAATTAAGTATAAATATGTATATTAAGTCATTATGTCTGTCTTCTGAAGAAAAACAATATATTTTAAAGGGAACCCTTTATCAAACCATGATCAAATGACTTAATTGTCAGAAACACTCATGAAGTAGTATACAGAAAAAAGTTAAATAATAATAATATTAAATTTGTAGTGGTTTTAACTAAAATGTATGCATTGTATCTTATTAATTGTAAACTTTTCAGTTTATATTTTTAAATAAGTAAGTTAGTTACAAATTATTATTTTTAATCAACATTTGCAAGTGAAAAGAAGTAAATATGTTTTCTACATACCCATTTTGGGGTTCAAGTAAAAGTAAAGTAAACAGCATCTCTTTCCGTGGAAAAGAAAAAATAATAATACCAATCACTTTGTCTATTATGATTCTTGTCTTAATAACATATTTTTAACAATTAATAACACCAACATTAACTCAGGGGTGTATAAACATTTTATTGCCATATTATAAATCTATAAATTTGTGGAATTTAGGTAAGAACACAATTTGTGTTGTTCAATTTCAAGAAAAAAAGGATTGAGATATAAAAGATTGATTTAAGGATTGTAAATATCCCTGTAATGGTCAGTTGTTCTCTCATCCTCTTGAACCATTCTTGGTCTCATCCTGGACAAACTGAACCTCAATCATAGATAACTATCCTTTATCTGCAATCAGGACACATTTACTATGGAAATAGGTAACTGGAAAACCAGGACACATCCACTATATAATCAGGTAACTGGAAAACCAGGACACATCCACTTTATAATCAGGTAACTGGAAAACCAGGACAGATCTACTTTATAATCAGGTAACTGGAAAACCAGGACACATCCACTTTTTAATCAGGTAACTGGAAAACCAGGACACATCCACTTTTTAATCAGGTACCTGGAAAACCAGGACACATCCACTTTATAATAAGGTAACTGGAAAACCAGGACACATCCACTTTATAATCAGGTACCTGGATAAATAGAAAAATGTGTGTGAATAAATCTTTAAATAAATAAATAAATATAAAACTGTGAAAAAAATAAGATAAAGTTATGGGTTTAATAATTCATTGTGCACTGTACAGTTGTACAGTTGTACACAGATCATTCAACTTAATAAGTCCATTTCCAAGTTACAGGTAAAACAATTTGCTTTATAGAAACCACCGAATACAAATAATATCGTTTAAATGTCGTCTTCTTATTCCACTAATATTATGTAAATAGAAATGTTCCCCGCCGCGCTTGTCTGTTTTTAAATTATTGCATTTAAACATAAACCTTTTAATAATCAGTAAATGATTTGCCAAAATACTGGGCAGGAAACACATCTACTTTTATAAAATGTAGTAATCTCTGTTTGTCTGTTTATTTGTATGTCCGATCATAACTCAGGAACCCCTTCACTAAATTGCCTCAAAATTTTTTTGAGAACTCGTTAAACCCATAACAATTTTTTTACATGGGGTTTGCTTTGATACAGAAAGTTTAGTTTCCAGATAACGCCTGTTCTCAAACCAATTTATAAATAAAAGGAGAAATTTTAACAATAAACAAGAAATAACAAATAAATGAGAAGTGTTAAATCCATAGTTCTGATACACCGTAATTCTTACTGATTTTAATGTAAGTAAGCTTAAAGTGTTCTGTAAAACAATTCCTTATATAATAATACTAAGCACAATGTTTACAATTCAGGATTATAAACTTTACTAGTTCATGTGTTTATACTTCAAGATATTTCCACCATATGTGAATATTTAAAGTTGAGCGTATTTATTTGGGTCGAGCGTAGCCAGAACATAAATAATTCCAGTGCAGTGCAATTTAAAAAAACCGCTTAAAATTACACTTCATTCAAAAAATGAAGAGATACAATGATTTTCTAGGTTAAAAAAGAATCAAACAACATTTTTTTTTATTATTCAAAAATTTTCTCAGCGAGAAAAACGAATACTATCGCTGATTTACGATTTAAGAGAAATTCAAACCTTTCCGATTTTATCTAGAATCGGACAGAAAAAAAGGCTACATTGAGCTAAAGTGATAAATTTTAATTTTTAAGTGGTAATTTAATTTTATTTGTGAATATGAAACACATCCAAAGCTAAACCAATTTTAAAGTAAGTTGTATTTTCGTGCAGGTTGTGATTTTAAAGCATATTTTACAAATTAGAATCAATAATAATTTTCAAGCTATTTAACGTTTGGTAGCAAGTTTTGTTTGGATAAGGTAAAATGTTTAATAGTGAAACTGTAGAAATCGAAATAAAAATGTAGCATCGCTTTACTATTCCAAAATGTGTCAATTATTAGGTATATAAAAGCTTAACAATGATATTAGTGTTATTTCTGAATTAAATAGTACTCCAAATCCTTGTGTTCAAATATTTGAACAATGCTCTAAATAAACCTGAACTTGAACACACCTGGAGACGAACACCATGAGGCTGGAACTGTTCATTTTACCTGAAAACATATTTGAACTAATTATCTAACAAAATTAAACTAAAACTTGTTAATTTAAAATCTTAATTCTCATGTATTAAGGATACGGGGGTCGTCTTCTTCCTGATTTCAAATTCGGCCAACCCTAAAAAAGGAATATTTAGAACTATAAGATGTAAAACTCTTTATAAGAATCAGGTCGAAAACTAAGATTAAGTAAAGACGAAAAAATATATAATTATTATTATCATTATTATTATTATTAATATTTTTATTATTATTATTAAATGACAACCCGTCGTTCAGTGAAGTTGTAAGTGTCGTTTTTCCACTATCTAAGATGTACTGTTCCGATACTAATATTTAATTTTGTCACAATTTTTAGATAAATCATTTGCAAATTTAAAAGTTCTTTTTTGTTAATTTTTAACTTAGTTCTTTGTCCTGCGGAACATTCTTAGAACACTTTGGATACTTTGATAAACCTTGGCAATGGAAAATGTTTTATATATTCCCTGTAAAACAGTTGAAAACGTGTGCATCTGACCTGTGCTAAAATCTGCATATTAGATTTTGTGCAGTGTTTGTAAACAATGTGACAATCCTTTCTCAATAAACCATTCAGTGCTGCCTAGAATTTATTCAATTGATAAACAGCAAGAAATAAAAAGTTGAACAGTTTAATTTTGAACAAAATATTTTTTAATTTTTTCAAAATTTTAAAATATTTTTTTGTTTAAAAATATTCAGGAAATTGGGATTATATCTCGCTGAAAAAAAAACCCGATTTACTTATTCCAGGAATAATGAGGCTTGAATTATACTTTGAAGTTTTTTATCGTTCACATGATAAAATTAGACATTGATATGAGCGATATTATATTCTTCTATTCTAAATCAAATTTCTAATTCCAATCTTCGTAGTAAATATTTGTCAGACTGTTGAACGATCTATTTTCCATGTAAGTCCCTAGGAGATATAATTGATTAAATTTAAAAAATTTCCGTGATAAAAAAAACTTTCTGAAAATGGCAAAAAATAATTGGTACTCTGGCCAGACGTCATATCAATCCTTCACCCATTTAACCTTACAGACACCGATTCTTTTAACATGTTTATAACGATTATAGTAATATATCTCCGAACCTGCCTGTACTCCCCTAGGTTAAGGTTTCTAGAGAAGGCTCGGATACTCATCTGAACCCAGACTGGTACATCTGTCAGCAGGTAGTGGAGATCACAAACCAATCTTCTCCTTCGCAGTTTAGTTTAAGGTTTAAAAGTGGGAAACAGGACTATTGACATATTTACGAATCTACCAGGGTACCCTTTATCAGGCGCGGATCCAGGCGGGGTCAAGGGGTCGACGACCCCCCTTTTTAAAAAGCTGGATCCACCCCTGCCCTTAAACTCCTTTATCTGAGTCTTGTTGTAAATTGGGAATGTACTTATTAGAATAGAGGGTCCGACTGTTCCTTTGAGTAAATATTTTGGAATGATTGACAACTTTTATTTATTTAATCAATTCAAATTTAACAAATCTCTTGTATTTTTAAAGCACCAAAAAGTAGACCACATTTTAAAAATTAAGAAAAATATCAAAGAAATTTTTAAATCGTCCTTTAATTGTCAATAAATTCGGTATATTTTTTGTAATAATATTTCTACTTCACTCCATTCATAAATTCATAACTTAGATGTTAATCCACTTAATTAACAAGAAATCCCCCTTAAAGTTGGACTTATATTAATACCTAATTTCTAGAACTAGAAGTCACAGAAAAAATATTTACTTTCGAATTTTTGAAAACTGCTTAATGGACGTAACATGTTTGGTATTTTCAAGGGACACAAGTACCGGATCGTCTGTGTTGAATATTGTATAGAATTGTATAGGGTACCATTGTAAATCGGGCATTGCCCTTAAAATTACAGTTACTGCAGTACCTTTAAAAAAAAACACTTACAATGAATGCCTAAAAGTGACTTTCCATTGAATTAGTTAAATGTACAATTCACAAAAGTACCCCTTAAACCTTTGCATCAGCAAAAATGATGAAGATATTCTTGTTTTAATCTGATACTTGGTATTTTTTAATTTTTAAAATTCTCTTTAGAAGCGGACTCTCGGATAGATGGAGAAATTAACAAAGTTTACATAATTGTAACTTTTATCTGTGAATCAATGTTAATCTTCACCATGGTTTCTAAAAGATCAAGGGAACTTTTGTGAAAATTAATCACGAATCTTTTTAATTGTACTGTTTACCTGCAGGCAGGTTCATTTTCTCCTAGAAAATGGGAAAATTAGTTTGATATTCTTTATTTTTATGAATCCAAATTGATACAGAAATTGGTTTTAACGGAAAACCAATAAGATTTTACCAAGATTTTACCAAGAACAACACATTGTGCTTAATCAACACGTGCAGTGGTCAGTAAATTTGAAAAGCTTTGTTTCAGCAACTGACTGGTTACAAAGTAGCCGTGCAGAAAAAGTGGCGTGAGATAATTACAAAGATGTTTTATTAGGACCCCTCATTTGAAGTTTTTTATACATTACCTAATAATGAAAACCCATCTTCTATATCTAGATAATCATGAATGGTTCCGTAGGACGGAGGAGGTCGAGATTCTTTCAGAATTGATCTCTTTCTTCTCACTGAAACAAACAAAGTTTTCAGGTCCCAAGGGTGATAAGCGCCCCCCCCCCCAGGAAGAAGTAAAAAAAGTCTCTCTAGAACAATTCCAAATGAATTTAGGATAAACAACACGGTACATTGGGAAAAATAAGTAGAAAACAAGTTTTTACATGTTGCAATAGATATGTTTAAAAAACCCCAACATTTTTAAGGTATGTAAATTGTAAATTCCAAAAATTCCAAGACCTGCCAAAAGTGCGGGAGCCGAGAAAACTCCTTCAGGGTCCAAGAAGTTTGCCACCATATTGTACGGAACCAGAACTATTAATAAATCTAATTATGTGTGTTTTAAGACTATTTTTGGTTGATAAACATTTGAGCTTTGCAACCCTTTAACAAAAAAAAATCTATACTACATCAAATTTAATCTTTGCTACCTTTTACATTATTGGCCTTGTGTAAAATTGTTCATATCATACATGTAATATACAGTATAAACAGGGTTTGCCACTACAGATATCATTGCTTCAAGCATGATTGTTAGAAACGCATTTATTAAAAAAGCAGCATCTAATTAATTTCTGCATTTTTTATGGAAAATGAGAATTTGAGGAGGGTCCTTTTAAAAACATGAACATAATTATTAAGCGACATATTTCTTTGTATTGTAATTGGCATCTATCAGAAAAGTTGCGAGCAATTATATCTACAGTGAACCCAGCAAGGGTTCCCCCATATGTATATAGTATCGTAAAAGTTCATTGCTCCCAGTTGGAGAAATGATGCCTAACAAATGCAATCCAAGAATAAAGTCAACAATCCAGATCCAGTCCAAATGGGTGAACCCCGAGTATGTTTGCAGCCTTAAATACATAATAGGCTAGGCGGACAAGAGTATTGAACCCCTTTTCTAATCTAGAGATAGAAAGAGTGGTTTAAGGGGCAGCTAGGGTAAGATCAATGCTCTAGAGAAAGGAGTGATATACAGCATTTATGTAACCGGCAAAGAAAGCAGTATCATTGGCCATCTAGGCATGAAGCATCTGATCAGAGGAAATATATTCGCCCCAGGCGAATGTCTTGTGTATTTTTATTAACTTTAGTTGGTCCAACACTAATCGTTAGTATTGTTATAATGTATAATGTACATATGTATATTATAATTTGTTATTTCACTCAATCTTGGCTTTTCGCTACTGAATTCTTTTCAAGTATATACTGCATTTGTTTACCTATACCCAGCGCAAGAAAGATAGAAACTCCAACCAAGCTTAGAGATGTCAGGGTCCTTCCTGAATTCTTAAAGGGATAGTTTATTATTTCTATTATTTAAAGGAATTGTTTGTTATTTCTGTTATTTAAAGGGATTGTTTATTATTTCTGTTATTTAAAGGGATTGTAAATTATTTCTGTTATTTAAAGGAATTGTTTGTTATTTCCGTTATTTAAAGGGATTGTTTATTATTTCTGTTATTTAAAAGGATTGTTTAAATTATGTCTGATTAACTACAGTGATAGTCTAAAATAAGCCGGTACAATGTAAATTGATTGATACTTCATTGTTTTCTTTGATCTTAGAAATAGTTTGCGGTATTCTACATTGGTAAACTGATTTTAGCAATATATTTGTATGAAACAAGTATAACAGAAAAGTCCTAGTCCTGCCATTTCCAAAATGTGGTCTCCCATTTTAGTGATTTGACAATTACCGGAGATATGAATGATTTCGTTTAGAATGAGACATTTTCGTGATTTTATTGAATTAATTAAAATTTAAACAACATTTTGGTAAAATGGCAGGATTAGGGCTATTTTGTGATAATTGTCCTAACAAATATTGCTAATGTTGAATGCGGCAAACTATTTCTAAGGTCTAAGGTTAGACTATTACTGTAATTTGTGCACTTTTTTTGTAGGTTCTCCCTTTTATATAGTTGAAAAACTTTCTGATGGGTAAGATTAGATTTTTGGGTAACATCAAATATCTCTAGGATATGTGAAAATGTTACCCACAAAAGATGAGACTGTAAAGACGACCTGAAACTCTTAATATATGTCGATGTCAAGGTTAAATTGATACGTCTGCCTTTAAAAGGCACATTTAATGATTTCGGAAAGAAAAAACAATTTATCAGCTGCAGGGAATCAAGAATTTTAGGAAACATACGTATAATTTGTCAGCTGTAGAGAATCAAGAATATTAGGAAACATACAGTATAATTTAGTCGTGTCTCTGAAGTCTCATCCTTTGTGGGTAACCGTGTATATATCAAATGGTTCTAATCGTTGAATGATCCAAACCGGTACACGAATTTACAAGTTTAACTGAACTAAATATGTATTCAATCGTCAGGCTCGAAACTAGGGGGGGGGGGGGGTAGGCCAGGCCCACACCTAGCCTGAATAAGGGAGGATAGTATTAGCTCAAAATCTTTTTATTTTAGCCCCTTTCTTAAAAAAATGACCCAAAATTGGATTTTTTAAATTTATACTCACACATTCTTATTCATATTGCTCCACCAGACTTAAATTTGCCCCTTTTTTAGAAGGGCACCAAATATTTATAATTTGCACCTAAATTTAATCTATTTTTATCTCCAAATGTTTTATTAATACACCCCACTTTCAGGTAATTACTCCTAAATTAAGAGGTTTGCGCCCAACCCTTTGATTAAAAAAAGTTCCATCGTATGCTTTGAAAATGCCCTTAAATGAAAAAATTTGCTCACAAACTGAAAATTACCCCCAAAAAACAAAATTTCTCCTGAAATATAAATTTAAACTTGCCCCAAACTGAAAAGAATGGCCCCAAATATAAAGCTTTCACCCCAAAATATCCTGAATTGGTAAGGTGGTTACCCCCCTAAAATGTTCAGGGGGCAAAAAAAAAAAAATTTGCGCTACGCGCTAACTATTTTCCCTTTGCCTCCCCCCTTGCTTAATGACTAGTTGCGCACTTGTCAATCGTACCGACTAGTCTAGACTACATATCTGTTTGATACTGACCTAGCGGGTTAGAAAGTGTATTTGCAATATCAAAAGGCATTCCAAACTCCAGACCAATCATCATCAATTGTTTAGTTGGAGTCCTCTGGAAGTTAGAATGTATCTTTGCGACTAATACAAGAATAAGTTAATTTTCTTTTTCTTAATTAAAGATAATTTTTTGATAATATCAAAATTTAGTGATGTATATGCATGGCAATTATATTATGCTAGTTGAAGTGCCAGGCGTTGCCCGAGAAATTTCGAATTCAAAAAAATAAAACTTTTTTTAGCCGATGTCACCCCCAGGATACCATTCCGCCAATTATTATTTGGCTCAGCCGTTAGACCGGCTATAGCACATTCATAAAGACTGCGCTAGAGTTTATAAGGGAACTAACAGATATCAAGATCCCAAAAAATAGAATGTTTAGATAAGCTATATTTGAACTTTTTAACGGCTTATTTTTTCCAAATTTTTCACCGTTTCAAAACCCAACCCAAGAAACTGCCCTTAGAACTGAAGGTTGGACCTGCAATGCAGGTTTGTTTATGTTTACATTTAGCTCTGTAAATATGGGGGGCAAGAAGGAGGGGGGTAATTTATAAGTAAAAAAGCGAATAAAAGTCAAATTCTTGTATTGCCTGTTGTTAGGCTCCTGAGCAGAATTGTATATGCTTACGTTAAACCCTAATACGGGGGTGGGGAGGGAATTTAGAAGCAAATAAGCCAATAAAAGTCAAATTCTTGTATTGCCTGTTGTTTAACTTCTGAGTAAAATTGTACATGCTTACGTTTAACCCTAATACTGGGGGGGNTTGTATATGCTAACGTTAAACCCTAATACGGGGGGGGGGAGGGAATTTAGAAGAAATAAGCGAATAAAAGTCAAATTCTTGTATTGCCTGTTCTTTGGCTCACGAGCAGAATAAAATTGAAGAAAAGGATCAAACAGCTGGATTTTAACAGCCACATTTTCTCTCACATTACATATTTTTTATTCTTCTCATCCTAAAAAGTGAAAATATATTTTTTAATTGACTTTACACCTAAATTAAAGTGAGCATCCATTTATTTAGAGCAGCATGTCCGATTTACAACGGCACCATTAATATCTTAGTTTGATGAACTACGAGTGATTTATGCTGGTTTTTCTGACTGGAAATTGATAGTTTTCATGTTGAGGTTTCTCTTTAAAAACGACGAATTTATGCTGGTGAGACAATGAAAGAAATTATCAAAATTGAACAAGTGTTCCTCATACAGAGGACAGAGGATTCGGACATGCCACTCTGATCCTGGAGGCTCACTTAAAGGGAGTGACCGGCAATGTATTGTGGTTAAACTGAGTATGCAGTATTGTAGAAAATCTTTTTAGAATTGATTTGAGACATATTAAACGTTTCCACAATTATAATTACTGAGTTTAAGTGCAAAGTCGACGTTCAAAATCATGAATTTGTGTGGCCACGTTTATAGAATCGTTTTTTTATTAATTATTAAATAACGACGACGAAAAATAAAGTAAAATTTATACAGTAAACTAATTAGTAGTTAGATGTCAATAAATAAAAGTTATATTCAATTATTTATTATTATTTCTTATTTTCTATGAATTTGTTCGCAGATTTCTACAAATTCTTCAAATGTCGTCTTTTCAATAAAATTTTCAGAAAATCTTTGTGAATAATGAGAGATTATAGAAACTAACAATTATAAAAGATTACTTATTTTCGATGAAAAGAGATAATTTTTATTTTCTCCAACTTAGCAACTAATTAGTTTACTGTAGAATGTTTTTAACATTTTTTGTCGTCGTTATTTCATAATTTAAAAAAATGATTTAAAAAAGTAACCACCCAAATTCACGGCTTTGAAGGTCGAATTTGCACTCAAACTCGGTAAATATACGCCGTAGTAACGTTTTTTATATCTCAAATGAATCCTAAAAATTTGTCCTACATACTAAAAATTCAGTTCAACCACTATACATTTGCGTCTTAACCTTTTTTAATCGGTTATCCCAAACATAATGTTTATCTTTATAGATTCAAGGGCGCAGACAGAAATAAATCTAAGGGGGACGAAATATGCGGAAAGCGCAAATTTTTGTTTGCCTCCCCTTCCCTCTAGGAGCTCCTAGAGGGGGGGGGGCAAAATTTGAAGTGTAAATTCAAAACATTTGGCTCCTTGGATACTTTAAAGGTACACAATACACATACAGTCCAATTACCTTCCATTTACTATACTTTATCTCTCCTTCAAATAAAACTAGCAGAAAAAACAGCAAACTAATATTTTTATGTCATTCACTTTTGAGTTTCAGATTTTAAAAGTGTGATAGCTCTTGAGTTCTAACTTCTAGGGGGAGCTACGCCCCCCCCCCCTGATACGCCCTTGCTTATTATACCTGAAGTAAAATAATATCTTATTAAGTAAACCATTTCAATGAATTTAAATAAATCACTAAGCTAATCAATTTAGAGCTTACATTGGGTCTAATCACTTCTTAGGTTATTCACATTTACAACTATATTTGAGATATGAATTATGGATATAAACTAACTTATTATTGTTTAAAAATCAAATGTACATAACATAGTACATATGTACTTTGTTTTATGTACATTGTACAGTACACTTACTGAGACTGAAACTTTATACTCAGGATTTTGTACAGGGTTGATTAAACGTTTTTGGGACCCAAGAACACATGTAAATGCATCGGCCCCCATCCCCTCCGACCCCCCAAATTGTTTTAAGGAATGATAATAAATTAAGTTCATACCAAGTTCTGTTGGAGGTTTCACTCTTTAGTATTGATAGACGATTGCAAAGCTAAAACTTATAAAATAGAAAAGCCAACAGACGAGTAATTTTAGTTAGATTTTTGTGTTGCAATCTGATTATATTTTACCTAGCATCATTGGAGCATTTAACAGATGAATTAGAAATGTAAGTTTTTGTGTTGCAATCTGATTATATTTTACCTAGCATCATTGGAGCATTTAGCAGATGAATTAGGAATGTAAGTTTTTGTGTTGCAATCTGATTATATTTTACCTAGCATCATTGGAGCATTTAACAGATGAATTAGGAATGTAAGTTTTTGTGTTGCAATCTGATTATATTTTACCTAGCATCATTGGAGCATTTAGCAGATGAATTAGGAATGTAAGTTTTTGTGTTGCAATCTGATTATATTTTACCTAGCATCATTGGAGCATTTAGCAGATGAATTAGGAATGTAAGTTTTTTTGTCCTCAATCTTATGAGTTTTCGGATGGCAGGGATAATGTTTTATATCTATTTATATATCTTTACAACTAGAAACATAGGATTGATTCAATCAAGCATGTTATTGATCATGTGATCAACCGATACCCCTTTTCATTATTCGTGAACACTCCCATTAAGTTATCTTTTTTTTGGTATTTTTATTTTTTTTAAGTATTCAATCGCTATGCAGACGGTTGGACACCAAGACAATTAAACTTTTTTTTTGTTAAACTTATTCCATATATTCATTATGACAGGTTTCTACAGCAGACGGAAAATTAGATATATATAGTATTATCTGTGAGATAATTGCACCCCGCAGCCATATTATATATTATACATCCTATTATATTCACTTTTAACACATTAGTTTAAAGCACTACAACGTTAGGTCTGACCAAGAAAACTAGGTATATCGGGAAAACGATAAAAAATAAAAACAACTCTATGTTGGGTTGTTAACGTAACAAACATTTTCTCATGACATTTCAATTATGTCGCTAATCCTTGGTTTTTTATTTGTTACATAAGACCTTTCACTGTAAATATACCTGCAGAATATCTTTGTGTGTGAATAAATCTTTATAATATAATAATTATGTGGAATTGCTGGTAAAACTTTGTGACCTCGTAGCTTCTCTGGTTTAGGCTTTAGGCACAAGAACGAGAGAAACAGCATGTAGTTCCAGGGCAAATTGTGCATTGTGCAAATTTCTACTGGTTCCTTCATGCATGGTTTTTTTTGTTGTTTAATTTTGGTAGGTTTGAGTTTATATGAAATTGATCAAATAAGAAAAAATATTTTTTATAAACCTCTAAGGCGAGTCTCTATATCACTTCTAACGCATTCAAAAAATGTAGAGAAAAAATCATGATTTTAGTTTTAAGTAAAAAATAATGTTTTTAATTCCTTTGTTCAAAATTTTCTTGGTTGAAGCGAAACCACGGAAACAGGAAATATGTGAGGTTATGCTCTAGGTGTATTTTATGTATGTAGAACAATACGAGGTAAAATTGAAATCTGAATATAGATTGACCTTCAATTGCTCAGCTTAAAAAAGTATGCTTAAACTTTAAATTGTTAAGAACCAATGGAATTGAGCCTTTGCTAAAAATTTCAGTACAACCTGATGGTGTTAACCTTAGATATTTCAAACTTTGATTATTTGCTCTAACAGAATCCACGATTTGAAATATCTAATGTCTACGATATTAGGTTGCAAAGATATAGGATTAGAATTGTAAAAGGTTTTTTTGCGAATACATCAATATATGCAGATTTTATATTTTAATAAAGCGAATTTGCGAATACATCAATATATGCAGATTTTATATTTTAATAAAGCGAATTTGCGAATACATACTACATATATATATGCAGATTTTATATTTTGATAAAGCGAATTTGCGAATACATTAATATATGTAAAACCAAAAATATTGGTTTCTTTTTAGATTTGAGTTTGTGGGCGCAAAAAAGGGACTTTTTTCACTTCCCACATGGTATTCTATAAACAAAACATGTCCAACGCATCCTATTCTCAAAAAACCCTTAGTTTTTGAAAAATCAAGTATATTACACACTCCTGTATGTAGAGTCCATAAGCGCCTGATCCAATCAGGGTTTAGCCATGTGTTTGATGTCTATTCTGAACCAATAGAAATAGTTTGGCGGTAACATATATCTTTCTATCTATCTCATTATCTAATTAGAGTTATAAATCCTTCAATCGGCGCTACCAGCAAATGGAAATATTTACTTCTACTGAAACTCTGGTGTACATTTAGCGTAATTTCAAGTGATCCTCCTTGAAAAGATGACAATGGCAGAATTACAATGATACTCTTTAAAGCTTTGTCTGATCCAGCATGAATTATTTTTCCATAATTTTAAATTAAACATAAATTTCATAATTTTGAAAACTAATTATTTTCAATTGTGATTGTTAAGGGTAACCTTGTGTTACGTGTATCGGGCAAGTTCCTTTTCGTGAATTATTTATTTCGTATGTTTTTTCTCTGTGCTATTTCTCCATCATTCTCTGGCCAATGTTAGAAACAAGGTCAACCTATGCGCGCGGTAACGCACGTTTAACCAAAACATTTCATAAATATCAGTGTAAGACATACTGTTGTTTTATCAGTCATAATGTTTGTGTTATTGTGTGTATATCTGCTCTCTATAACTGATGTCAGAACACAGACTCTGACCTGTCCTACAACCATTAATAAACCAGATAACTTTCTAGGGAAGCAGGACATTTTAGTGATACGGTGGGATCAAGAAAACTGTGGAATAAGAGGAAAACTGTGCAAAATACACATACCCTTCTTACTTCATAAATTGTTTTTTTAGCTGATGATTAAACTTTTTACTTTTTAACTTTGTTTATAAATAAGACACTTCGAAAAAAGCTTCAGCACAGAACTTAATCTGGTAATTTGGGCGGCTTAAGTCTTCGATCCTCCCCCCGTACATCCTTGAAATCATCTCTGGATTGATCAGAAGATTGACCCATCGACATCTCAGAACCAAACCCTTCAGCTTATAACTTAAAATTTCCCTTTTCATGTATAACATTATAACTTTGTTTTACAGGATCTTATATTTTGATTTTGGTTTCAACAGTAACTCTGACATTAATACCTGAAATGGCCATCCTAGAGTTTCTCGCGAAAAAATAACGGACAAAATTAACAATTTGATTCTGTTCAACATTGGCTTTCCTTGTTCATGTTGTTTTTCACACAAATTCAAACTAGTAAAAATTATAAATAATTTTAAATAACTAAAAAAATATGAGAAACTTTATAAAAGTTGAATAATACGAAAAATTGTAATCTTTTGTAAAAATTTAAGAGGGTGGACTGGCCTCCTTTAAGAGTAAAGTGTAAACATAAAATACACATCAGATGACTTAACTGTCGTCTTCCTGTTCCACAGTTTTATGGGTTCAACTGTTTGTACAATCATAAAAGTCGCCGTTGTTTAATTATACAATTTAAAAATATTTAAGTACATTTTGTTTCAATTCAACCCCAGCCCTGTTCAGGAAATGCTCTTGATAAAAACGTGTATTTTAAACACTGTACTGTTTTGACGTCACAAGTATCCGATCACCATCATAATGTTATTTATGATAACTATTAATGAAATAGAATAAAAAACCAAAGTTATATATACTCTGTATTGCTGGAGATTAACAGCAACCCCCTCCTATGGATCTCTTGCATTGCATTTTCTTTTAGAGTTTAACTAACAGTGCGCGTGTTTTATAAATAGCAAGGACATTTGTGACTTCAAATTTGCGCTATTTGTCAACTTATAATATATCAATTATCATACAGAAAGGAATATATACTTATATACATAGAATTTCCTTGGGGTGCCAAATTCTTTCAACTCTTTTATTTCTGGGGACTTTTTTTTCAAATATAAAACTATATTATGTTGACAGTGATTGGAGGGTCGGGTGGAGACTCCACTGCTGCTTGTGAGAACACAGCAGCTGCTACATCAGCTGGTCTAGCTGCCGGGATGAATTCTGTAGAACTTGATATTAGTCTGAGCAAGGACCAGGTCGTCTTCCTCTGGAATGATCCGAACCCACTTGACCCGGAAGCTATCGGTCGATCACAGGAAATTTGTGTTATTGATTTCTTTACAGAGACAGTTTTTAGAAGCTCCATATATACGTACATGTTAAGATTATGCAAACGCATAAGTTGGCGACATTTTTTCTGGTCTTCAAACTTTAAAACATATTAAAGTTTTTTTAACTGAGATGCTTTACAGTTTGCGAAATTGTTTATTATAATATATTTCTTACACCAGATTTAAGTTTCTTAATTGACTAAATGCCTCACAACTAAATTTGAGAAACCCAGGACCGAATTTATGATTATAAGCTGGGTCGCTGAACTACCAAATCGTGATTCACCGATTCAAAGTTGTGCTTAAGTTGGTGATTCAGGATTTGAATCGTTATGTGGTAGTTCAGCGATCTCTTCAATTTAATAAATTTTGTCCCCGTATCCCATTCTTCCGTTCTCATGGTCATAAAAGAAAAGTATTGTCAAAATAAATTAAAATAATAAAAAATTAATTAATAACACTGTTCCTTACCCCTAGGGTTTGTTCTTGAACGGTCTGTGTCGGCCCCTGTTTAAAAGTATTCTACCAGCTAGGGATATGGTCTACAGCTTGATTAAGAAGAACTATATCTACGTGAACAGTAGTGGGATAGAGCAGGCTACTGTTATACCAACCCTTGCAGAGTGGATGGATCAGTTTGCTGCTAACTCACAACTAGGAATATTTGGAATTTAATTGCGGTGAATAAAATATCAGAATTGAGTCTTTGATCCAATCTCAAATTTTTTAATTCCTATATTTTTGCAACCTTATAGTGTAAACCTTTGACATTTCAATTTTCGATTATTTGATTTGATTAAATTCATATCTAGTTTGAAGTATTCAAGGTCTATGACATTGTGTTGCAAAGATATAGGGATTAGAAAATCTGAGTTTGTGGTAGAGATTCAACTTCTAAGTCGGAATTCTGTAATTTGAGGGTTTTATAGTTGTTTGTAAGAAAACATGTACTTTTGTTGACAATTATTCTCTTTTACTCTTAGGGGGTAATTTAGACGTTAGATATTAAAAACTCTACTCATACTCTAATTAATCTTTCTAATTTTTGCAACTTAATACCGTTAATATTTGATGATTCAATCTCAAAATTCTTCCACATGAAAAAGTCAACGTTTAGAATACATCATTAGACTGCAAAGATAGGGATTAGAAAATTAGAGTTTGCAGCAAGTTCTAAGTTTTATTTAATTGGAATGCACAGGAGAGCAACTTAACTGAATTAGCTTGCTTGAAAGGGTACTTGGAAAACTGGTATAAAAAGTATTTTAATTAATATTAAATGTTTGATTTTTTTATTTTAATTGAATTATCATCACATCTGCAGAATATTTGTCATGCAACTTTTTTTATTTTTTACGTGTTAAAGGGAGTTTTAGCGAAAAATTAAAGAGGGTATAACGTCGAAAAATATTCGATGGTGATTGCTACTAATCTGACTTCTATCTGTTGCGTCTATGATGAGAAAATTGTTAAAAACGACACATAAAGAAAAACAGGGGTGTCCATACAAATTTAGAAAATTGCAATATTCATTTCTAGGATTGTAAAAAATCAAATTAATACCAAACAAATCATTTCTATATTACAACCTATAATGATCGATTTTTTTTGGCACATTCGTGAATATTTGATGTTTCAAAATGATTTTTATTTTATTTTATTTTTAAGTCAATATTTCGCTTACAACTTGTTTTCACGGCTGGCGCTGGATTTTCGAACATTCCTGGAAGATATGAAAATGTCGTCTTCATTATCAAAAATACACGAAACATGAATGAATGTTTTCAAAAGTAACTTTCTGATTATTAAAAAATAAACAATTAGATGAAATCTCAACTATATATACGAATGCGTCGAACAAAAATCAATGATTATAGGTTATAATATCTGAATGATTTCTTTGGAATTAAATTTACTTTTTTACGATCTGAATCGAATGTGGCAACTTTATGAATTTGTATGGACGCTACGTTCTTCGGTACGAGTCGTTTTAAATAATTTTCTCCTTACAGCTACGCAACAGATAGAAGTAAGATTCTTAGCGATCACCATCAATAATTTTTCGCCGTAAGCCTATACCCCTATTTTTCGTGAACACTCCCTTTAATCTCAATTACATCCAACCATAATTAAACCAAACTTTAGAGAGAATATACATTGATGTGAAGTTGGTCGACATCAGTTTAGCAGATTTTCTCGTCAACCATATCTTTGACAAGAGTTCAGCCCTAGGAGTTAGTTCTAAGATCAGATTGTTCAGTTCAGATTATTCTATGACCGCTGCTTTACAGACAGCACTTGGGAGGAAGGGTTTAAGTATCAGCTTGGCATCCCTGTAAGTTTAAGTACAGTGCTAATCAAGACAATTAATCAGGCGACTTTACGATCTAATTTTACAAATATGATTGATAAAACGATAATCACAAAATAGCCCTATATAGTCCTACCAATTCCAAATGTGGTCTGCCTTTTTTGAGCATTTAAAATTTCCAATGTCCGAATTTAATGAATTTAAGCTGCGTCTCAAATCATCCAAAAACCGGTTTTCAGTGCGCGCTCGCTGAAATTTTGAGAAACTGAATAGAATGTTAAGCATGGAACCAACCATATTAAAGCCGCGGTTTAAATTTAAGCCATGGCTGAAATTCTTTGAATTCGGCCTCAGAGTTAATCTACTCTAAAAAAGGAAGACGACTTTTAGAATCAAGTTATAACTTTAAAAAGTCCAATGAGCATGAGACAGGGCAATTCTGCAGTGTAAACAGACCCATTTCACTAGCTAAATTAGTGATTCAAAAAGTAACGCTATTTGCTTTGTAACAACATCAAATACACTCAAGTAATGTTTTCTGGTTATCACTGTAAGTCCACAATGTAAAACAGAAATTTGTATTTAGATATTTCGGTAGTTCAGCTGCAAGCTTCCATATTGGTTCAGTTCCTCTCAACCCAGTTTCAGAAGCTGTAACAGATTGCTACGATACAGCAGCTGTCAGTCGAACAGCCAGCCAGGCAGGCTGGAGAGGATACCAGGATATTATCACCAGGTACAGTTAGACTGCAGATATGATTGCTAGAAATAGAATCATTAGAAAATTTAGATTACATTTTTTCTGGCTAGTGTCACCCAAACATTTCTCCATGCATTTTATGATCCCCCATCTCTCATGTCTCTTGGATCGTTTAAAAAATATTTCCTACTGAAGATTGTTGAAAGGCTTAAAACATCATGTTAAGTATATTTCTTAATATGAAGTGAAACGTATACTTGTCTTTGTAATGATTAAAAGATATTGTTTTAATTTCTAATGATTGTATGATTAATTTAACGGATGTTTTTTACTCTCCTTAATTCAATGACAGTGTCTCTGTCATATTTCTAAAGGAACTTTTAAAATATTTTGTAGAGATTAAAGTACATCTACTCACACTCTAAATAGATCCTGATCATACACATGTATACACTCTAAATTTCGATTCCAAATTTTGGCATAAAAGTTGGATGTCTCCCAAAAAAAGGGACAAAAAACGCGTTAATTCAACAAAACTTTTGCTGCAAAATTTGCTTTTTTTGTTTTGAAATTTACAGTGCATTTTTATGATCAGAATTTAAAATAAGATCCTTTTCTTGCTGATTATAATGAAAACTTTATGATTTCTAATTAGGATGACATGAATGATTACGAAAAATAAGATGCACTTTATAATTATAAAGTTTTAGGCTGAATGAATGTTTGAAAGTAATTGATGATGATTACACTAATGATAATAATACTTTTAGGTCTGTTGTTACCCGTAACTCTACTGAAGGAAGATACCACAGTATTATCAGCTGGAAAGTAAACTCTGTAGAAAAAATGGCTTGGCTTATCTGTGCCGGGGTAGACGGGATTATTACAGATGAGGTAAACCAATGTGTGTGTTCTGTTATTATAAAATGAGAAGTGGTACTCCTGGCAGAACCCTAAACATTTAAGAAGTTGATCTCGACCAATATTAGTTCTATCTGATGTCCCTGTCTCGAAAAAATTGATATAAAACTGTGTCAAAGTTATAATAATACTCATATTTACGATAAACAATCAACTTCACCCCCTACCCCAGTTCATTTTACCTAAACAGTCCCTTTAAACAGGAAAAGTTTCGACTATATATTGTAATCGATTGTTCACAATAAAATTAAATTTTTATTTCTAGATTTCTATACTGAACTCCTTCTCGATGAAGAAGAAGCTGGGGCTACTAACCTGCTGCACGGAGCTCACCACATCCCACTGTATGTCCAGGATAGATCCTGTAGTTGTTGGAGCAGGATGCTCTAGCCAAGGGTTAACCTGGGCAGACCTCGAGGTCAATCAGTGTCCTCTCTTTAACCTTGATATCCTCTACTCAGGAATTAGGTTGACGTGCAAGCGACAACACTTTTGTGCAATCTCATGATGATTCACTCTGTTATCAACTTATCATAGTTCTTAAATTCTGCTTTTAAAACTGTGTCAAGTTGAGTCGTAAGTCATAACACACTTAAAAACCGGTTTATTGGTGCGACTTTGTGACCATGTAGCTTGCCAAACAAGTAAGAGAAAAGCAATTTTTCGGCTACATGTTGGAAATTCAGTTTTGTTCTTATCAACAGCTATTTAATTAAAAGTAATAACGACAATTTACTTTAGTATGATGTCAACTGTTACAAATTGAAAATAAAGATTAAACAAAGACGACTTTTATCCGGCTTTACTCTGGTTATGACAATATATGCAATACTTTAACTTGTTTTTACACCAGGAAGTCTTTTTAAGTGAAATAAGTATTAAAACAGTTATTTTATCTTGCTTTATTCTGGTTTTTACCAAAATTAGATTAGTTAAAACAATAATAATTTCTGAATCTCAAGACTTTGTCATTTAACACTTTCCCACCGTCCATCAATGATTAATATATGATTCTTTGTAAAAAGTTTAACTGTTAAAATCATAAAGAAACTGTTTTGCATATTGCCTAGATCTTATATATATGTGTGCACGCTGTAATATTTACAGAAAACAGTTTAAAGATATATGATTACTAAATCGCTGGGAATAAGTATAACTGTATTTTCTTATGACTGAAATAAATGTTATTAATTGTTTATAAACCTATTTGTATATAAAAGAAAATCTATTTTTCAATGTCCAATTCGAAGACTGGATCGACTTTAAAGTGTCATTTTTTTTTGTGTTCCAAAAAATGTACATTTTAATACTGTAAAGGACTCGTTTCTTTAATAGGCAAAATTCTCATAGATTTTAACGCGAGAGCGTGCCCTTTTTTGGATCACAATAACACCAGCTACTTAAAATTAAAATCCGAATATCAACGTTCATTTAACATTTCCAAAAACATTTAGCATTATTTGACATAGCTCATGGGAACCCAGCGTTGCCCAGGGGAGTCATAGTTAGTCCAACTTATTACCTGTGCTTTGACATAAACTACTATTTTACTAGAGTCTCAAAACAAAGCAAAGAACATTCCCGTGACTCTCTCGAGTTCCCCAATCAAAATTTTAGGCAAATCGGTTCAGGGGTTCTTGAGCTAGGATCGGACAAACAAACAAACACACCGATAAACAGAGATTGCAACTTTATATATATAGATTTCTTGATGCCATTATCATTAATAAATAAATCCTAAAGAAATTGGATTAATATCCCCGATGCGACGGCTTAAAATAATAATAAAAATAATACTTTATTCAATAGAGTTAAGATTAAATACGTGATGTCGGAACTTTATTGTGGAGTATCGGTAATTTTGAATACCTGATCTAATATCATATTGTGGAGTATCGGTAATTTTGAATACCTGATCAAAATATCATATTGTGGAGTATCGGTAATTTTGAATACCTGATCTAAATATCATATTGTGGAATATCGGTAATTTTGAATACCCCCAAGTAACAATTTTGCGGAAAATCCGCGGAAATTCCCAGGAATCTTTCCTGGGAATCCGCGGAAATTCCCAGGAATCTTTCACAGGAAAATCCGGTGAAAATGTCATCAGCTTTTCCCAGGAATTTCTCGTAACCCATTCCGAGGAACCAGGTCCGAGGAATTTCTTGTAACCCATTCCCAGGAATTTCTTGTAACCCATTCCGAGGAAATTCTCGTAACTCTATCCAAGGAATTTCTTGTAACCAATTCTAGGGAATTTCTTGTTACCAATTCTTCAGAAAAACCAGAGAAAATTTGTAGCGAAAAGGTCTTCAGAACCAATTCCTGGGAATTTCCCTGGAACTATTCCCAAGATTTTCTCAAGAGTTCCTCAGGAATATCTTGAAATATTTACTCACAAAAATAGTGAATAACTTAACAACTATATTGCCCCTCCAACTTTTTAGAAGTATAACCATCTTCTTAAGTCAGAATGTTATAGTCGTTTTTGATCTTAATTATTAATTATCATTTTTTATCAATAAGGATGCAATGAAAAAAAGATTTAGTTTGAGCAGTGCATAAAAGAAGAGAACCTCAGAGACACCTATTGGTGAAAAACGGAACTTGAAAATTCTGTGAGGAAGTCCTGAGAATTTCTCGGGAATTTCCCATGACACGACAGCATTTACATTTTTTTTTAAATAGGAAATTTCCCAAAAACCTAGGCATTTGGGAAATTTCCCAGATACCCAGGCATTTGGGAAATTCCCCAAATTCCTGTAGGTATTTGAGGGTGGTATATTTTTAAGATTTTGGAAATTTCTCAAATGACTGGATATTTGGGAAATTTCTCAGGAATTTCTTGGTGTGAAATTCCGGAGAAATTCCCAGGAATTTCTGGAAACTAATTCTTTTATTAAATGCCCCTTAAAATCCCTAAATATGGTAACCAAGTCCTAAGAATTTCTCAGGAATTTCCGGAGAAGTAGTCAGGAGAATTTTTCAGGAATTTCTTGGGGTGAAATTCCGGAGAAATTCCCAGGAATTTCTTGAAACTAATTCTCTTAATAAATTCCCCTAAAAATCCGTAAGACAAAGTCCAAAGAATTTCTCAGGAATTTCCGGAGAATATTTCTGGAGAAATTCTGAGGAATTTCGTGGGGAAAAATTCCGGAGAATTTCTCAGGAATTTCTCAAAACTGAGTCTCAAAACTGTGATCCCACAAAAATCTCTCATCTTGGGGACCAATTCTAGGGAATTTCTCGAGAATTTCCGAGGAATCAGTTAGAGGAAATGATTCTCGAGAAATTCCTCGGAAATTCCTTAAAGAAAGTCACCACGGTTGGAGAATCTGGGGAAATTCCTCACTTTTGTTACTTGGGCTTGATCTAAATATCATATTGTGGAAAATTTAAAATTAGAGGATACGTGCATGATACTTCAATCACGGTGAATTACGGGCCCAGCTTAAATGTCAGTGAGACTTAACTTTAGAACCCATTTTTCAAATAAAGATTTTTGAATTAGCTTATTTATGACTTTGTGTTAGTCCATACATTTCAAATGTTGAAGTTTATAAATTCTTTAGACTACTTTCGACGAATACGTACTTCGCTGCAGTATGCTAGTTTGACGTGAAATACAATTTATCCCTGCAGAGTATGAACACCATGAAATAATAAAAAGGAATTGAATTAATCCATTGCTCTGATGGAGATGAATGCTTAATACCGAGATTTCAACATAATGTTCTGACTGCTGGATATTCTATTGTTTATTGTTTCAGTGTATAGCAGGGTTCAGTACAGTTCTTAATGTTTACAAGTATGTCAGCATTTTTCATATTATCCAATAACAGGTCTGTAAACAACAGCATATTTGCTCTTGGGGTTTAATCAACCGCTTTTATATGTAGATAACTCTGTTCATAGGGTTTAAGTTTAATTATCCATTTTTAATCTACAACCACCTTGCTCAAGATCAAACTAGCAAAGGCATTTTTTAATCATCAATAAAAAAATTTACCGAAAACGAATATATTTTAGAATAATTTTTGACGTAATTTTGGTGATCTTGCAACTCCGAGGTAATAATTTGATAACATATATATATTTAGTATATTTTTCCATTATTTCCATTATTTGAGGTTCTTTACAACGTTAAATGCTATATTCCTGAGATAAAAATATAAAAAAGATTTTAAGATAAAATTTTACTACATGCACAAATATCCCAAAATAAAAATGAAAAACTGACAATTATTTTGCGGATTTTAAAAAAAGAAGGGATATATTTCCCAAAATTGTTGACTTGAATGTCTGCAGCATCTCCTGTTACAGCTCCTTGAACTGTGAAGAAGACGACATTAGAGAAGAATTAAAGTCGTTAGTTGAAAAACTTCTGTATAAATTGAATTATAGTTCTAATCTAATATCTGAACCAATATATAGAAAATAAATTATAATAATATTTTGTGAAGGATCTAAAAGTGAAGAAATCATAAAGGTTGAAAATACTGAGAAGGAGGAAGGTAAAAATCTACCTTACTTTCTATCTGTCTATCTGTCTATCTATCTATCTATCTATCTATCTATCTATCTGTCTATCTATCTATCTATCCATCTATCTATCTATCTATCTATCTATCTATCTATCTATCTATCTATCGATCTATCTATCTATCTATCTATATATCTATCTATGTATCTATCTATCTAGTTCTCCTACTGGCTGGTGGTATAGAAGAGACCCAGGAGAATGGAGCAGTAGTAAATACTCAACACTCTGCAGTTATTATCTATCCTTCAGGAAACCAACTCATTAATTTCATCCTGACAAGAAAATTTATAGATTCTTCACGTAGAAAATTTTTTAGAAAATGTTTGAGCCGACCCTGTTCACAAAGATAATGAAAAATTTAGCAAGCCCTGAAGGGAAACGTTTACATGGCCAGATATAGGGTGTCCCATATCATATTAGATCGTTAATCAGTCTAAATTATGTTTTTTTGGGACTAATAAGAAATATTAAGAAGAATATATCATTTCGTAAAATTGAATAAGGCTTATATAAATGTTTCTTGCAGAAAATGTTAGGTTTTTCGAGTATTATGGGTTAAATTTAGCACTGAAGCTTGGAGATACAGGGTGTCCCAAAAAAACATGGGAATTCAGTGACGAATTCGATATCGTCTTTTTAAATAATTCTTTAATTTAGTATAGTGATACCAACTGAGAAAGCTGTAATCTTTATGAGTTTCGTCTTTTATGTTCACATTTAGTTTGTTTATGTTTTGACTGCATACGGTTGTACTTTGTAAACCAAGAAAATTGCAGTATACAAACAGAGCAAACTTGTCCGTCTTCATTGTTTATCTTGCGGAGACATTATAGACACATCTTTACAGTCTTTTACCCTTTTCATAAAATAAACTCTAGCTGACATAATAATTTTATGGCTTTTGAAATTAGGTATTACAATGCTAATTCATAGCAAAGACGATATAAAATTCGTCACTGAATTCCAATGTTTTTTGGGACTCCCTGTATGTTCTTATATTTTTTTGTATTTTTATACATTTTGAATTTTCAAATTTTTGTGTTTTCTTCCTTTTGCGAATATTTCAAACTGCTAAAAGTTTTTTTTTATGAATAATTTTTGTAGAAAGCTTTTTTTCTCTTCTTGTATGAAAAGGATAAATAAATCTTAAATGAATTTCTAATAAAGTTTTCTTATACCATTTTATCTGCTCCTTTGTAACAATTCTTGATTACGGTGATGTTCTCTTACTAGCTCTTAGATTAAGAATAGAATTGGTTTGATCCAGGGAAATCTTGTGAGTTAGAGGACTTTGTATTAAGGTATGAACTAAGTTTAGTTTTTAAACCAATTCTAATGAATTTGAATAATTTAAGCTAGGTCGGTGAGCTACTTACCGCCGGGTCAAATATTGAATCACCTATTCAAAATTTAATTCATAAATATTTGAAATATTGAATGACCTATTCAAAATTTAGTTCATAAATATTTGAACCGCCACCGGTAGGTAGTTTAATGACCTCTATAATTCATTAAATCTGGCCCGAGAAATAAAATATTCATTATTGTCTTCAAGTTTTAATGCTGGAGCCGGGTTTGCTCTAACTGATGGACGGAGTAGAGTTGCAGTTTGTCTTGGATACAAGGATACCAGACCCAGTCAGGTAGTACAGGGATACAGGGATACAGGGATACCATACCTTCTTAGGTAGTACAGGGATTTAGGGATACAGGGATACCATACCTTCTCAGGTAGTACAGGGATACAGGGATACAGGGATACCAGAACTTCTCAGGTAGTACAGGGATGCAGGGATTCAGGGACACCATACCTTCGTAGGTAGTAAAGAGATACAGGGATACAGGGATTCAGGGATCCCAGACCTTCTCTTAAAATATATTTAAATCTAAACTAATTTTAGGGATTATTTAATTATAGCGATTATCTAATTATAGGAATTATTTATTTATAGGGATTTTTTAATTGTAGGGATTATCTAATTATAGGGATTATCTAATTATAGGGATTATTTAATTAAAGGAATTTTTATTTATAGGGATTTTTTAATTGTAGGGATTATCTAATTATAGGGATTATCTAATTATAGGGATTATTTAATTAAAGGGATTTTTATTTATAGGGATTATTTACTATAGGGATTATCTTATTATAGGGATTATTTAATTATAGGGATTTTTTAACTATTTGGATGATTTAACTTATAGGAATTATTTATATACAGGGAATATTTAATAATAGGGATTATTCATTTATAGGGTTTATCTAATTATAGAGATTATTTAATTTTAGGGCTTATTTAAATACAGGGATTATCTAATTATAGGGTTGTCAGATTTGGAGGAAGGGAAAAAAGGGAACAGTTAATGCAACAATAACAGGTTGATGCAATTTCGTGAAAACTTAAATAAACCTTTCTTTGAAATGAGATTAGTTACACCTTGTGTCAAAATTCAAATTCAAAATTCTAAATTTTGAAATCTAAACATTTAATTTTTTTGCCACAAACTTAATTTTCTTTTCCCTATATCTTTGCAACCTGTTGGTGTGAACCTTTGATATTTCAAACTTAGACGATTTTAACTAACAGAATTCAAAGTTTGAAATATCAAAGGTCAACAACATTGGATTGCAAAGATATAGAGATTAGAAAATCAGAGTTTTTGGCTAAGACTTAATTTCTTTCTGAATTTTCGCTTCTTTTCCTCCTTTAAATGATTTGAATTAAGGTGATGGAAAGGAGATATTGGAGTCTAGATGGAATGAGGATGAAAATGCAATGCTGTATCCAGTCTACACGCCATGTCAGGCAGATTTTTGAATTGTCCACGGTTGTTTCTTGCATTTACTTTCACAGAAAACTCCGGTTCATTTGAAGTTTTGACAAAACATTTAATCAGATAAAGCAAGTTTTGCACTGTTTACAAACAGACAACGGATGTCAAAACAGTACACCAAAACAATTATATGAAAATTTAATGGAAAGTAATACTTGATTGGGGACAATTTTGCCTGTCGATCTGTAGTAAATGCCCTACTCCACAAGGGTTTCTCAAACTCGTATCTATCCAGGTACAACTCACTTTCACTTTACTATCAATTTCAAACCAATGGGCACGATCTCGTCAGCTATTAATGTCATAACGGACACTAGCTTGAAAACTATCAGTGCCAAACTAATGGTCACGATCTCGTCAGCTATCGATGTCAACACAGACACTAGCTTGAAAACTATCACTAGCAAACCAAATGGGCACGATCTCGTCAGCTATTAATGTCATAACGGACACTAGCTTGAAAACTATCAGTGCCAAACTAATGGTCACGATCTCGTCAGCTATCGATGTCAACACGGACACTAGCTTGTAAACTGTCAATGCCAAACCAATTGGCACGATCTTGTCAGCTATCGATGTCAACACGGACACTAGCTTGTAAACTGTCAATGCCAAACCAATGGGCACGATCTCGTCAGCTATCGATGTCAACACAGAAAGGCTGGGTGATCTGAATCTATGTATAGCCGGGGGTGGCAAAACCCCTCTAGAAAAAGGCCTTAGATAATAGGTATAGGGTTGAAATGTATGTTCATAGCCCAATTTTTTAAGGCCAGCTCATAGAAAAAAAGTTGGACCGATAACTTTAGTAGTTTGGGCGCTAGGGAGGGTTAAAAAATAAACCTAAAAAAGGGTCATAAAATGAAAAAAAAAAAAAATTTTAACAAATCTTATAGTGTGACACATATGTATCTACATGCATTTTTCAAGGGCTTTTCAAAAAATGTAGTTTTTAGATCTGTAGCTTTATTCACACAAAAATTATGGGCAATTTTAGATTTTTTTCACAGACCGGACTTTTTTTCCACCCTGTAACCTACCCTATAAATTAAAAAAAAAATTACAAAAAATCCTTTAAATTACTTTTCATTAAAAGTCACAAAATTTCACTGTGATATAGTCGAAAATGAGAGTGCTAGGACGATAAAACTACAGGGGGGGATCGCCAATGGCCCCCCCCCCCCCCCGTTTAAGGTTAATGATAAGCGCATTTAGATTTACAGACAATGCACAACGTAATATATCCATAGGTATCTTCAGGATAACAAATATGTGAATTGCTGTATTTATTACAGATCAAGGCCGTCCTCAATTTGATCTCTTACACATAAATTTTCACTTGTTCTCTTTTTTTATACTTTGTTAAACCATAGTGAACACTTGTTTTACGCGGGCTGATCATGCGTACTATTTTTCTTGAATCTTAACTGTTGAGTTCAGATAGACATTAAATAATTTTTGTCAGACACAGAAAATGGAACACCCAGACCCATTTAAATTGTGCAAAACAAGTTTAGAAATAACAATCAAATTTTAAAAATCTGATAACTGAAGATGACACCAGAGAATTGTGTTGTATTTGGGTTCGTATTATATAATTAAATAACAAACATTGATACTTTTCTAAAAAGAGAAATAAAAGCTATATTTGAATAAGGCATTGCTGGTCTAACCGATAATCTTGTTCAATAATATCATAATCTGAAACAAAACTTGTCAAATAATCTAGTTCAATAATATCATAATCTGAAACAAAACTTGTCAAATAATCTAGTTCAATAATATCATAATCTGAAACAAAACTTGTCAAATAATCTAGTTCAATAATACCATAATCTGAAACAAAACTTGTCAAATAATCTTGTTCAATAATATCATAATCTGAAACAAGACTTGTCAAATTCCTACTGGTTCTATGGGAAATTTTGCTATCACTTTTAGCTTAATCACAGCAAATGAACATGCTGTAAGATTAAACCAATAAGGTTGCAAAGATATAAAGAGCACTTTGCTTTTAAGGCGCTTTTCGCCCCCTTTCCCGTTAATAATTTTTGCTTTATACTGTATAATCTGAAAAATCGCAATTTTTAATCATTCTAAAATTTTGGCGGATTTTTAATGTAAATTGGCACATTTTCAAGCTTATTCATTTTCAATGTCAACACTTTTTGAGGACACAACTTTTAAACTTTTGACTGTCTATAAACCTGCCCTGACGTCATGTGACTGTGAGTGGTCCCAAAAAGTTTTCGGCCCGATCAGTTTAGCCAGTTTGACGTTTATTGGATACAAAGTTTATATATAGATGAGGAGATGAATAAAATCCTGTTTCTAGATTAAATTATGCCAATGATGAATCTGGATCTGAAGTTATGACTGCTCGGCTTGTGCCGGACAAAGATGAAGTTCAAATCAACGTTGTTTCAATTCTTCCCGGAAAATTTCCTTTTAGGGAGAGTTTTATTCCAAAAACTAAACTTTTGAAAATATAAGATTAAAATTTGTTTTTCTTTTAAATCAAAATTAAGTATTTATTGATTGTAAACTTAATGGAACCTGTTTGATCAGTTCGTGTCTTGTGTTTTTACAGGAGCCAGCGAATCGACTTTTTTTTCTCGGAGGTCAGTTTTATAAACTTTTTTCAGAAATGAAAAATTTATATTTAATTGTGTATCGACAATTTGTCACAGAAGAGGGGATTACGGTTAGGGTATTTTCAATTCAATTTTTTTATGATGAGTATTTGAAAAAAAATTGCAATGAAACTCCACTTTTTTTCTCGTGAATAATCCTTGTACTACTCATTCGGGCAGCAACGGCATTGAAGTTTGTGAGTCCGTTGTGTGCATTGCTAAATTAAAATTCTCTGAAGAGAAAATTGGACTCTTTAGTACTATCTATACTATACTATCTCCATAGTACAAATAATACTACATAGTACAAATAATACTACATAGTACAAATAATACTGCATAGTACAAATAATACTACATAGTAAAAATTATACTACATAGTACGAATAATACTACATAGTACAAATAATACTACATAATACAAATAATACTACATAGTACAAATAATACTACATAGTACAAATAAAACTACATAGTACAAATAATACTGCATAGAACAAATAATACTACATAGTACAAATAATACTACATAGTACAAATAATACTGTATAGTACAAATAATACTGCATAGTACAAATAATACTACATAGTACAGATAAAACTCCATAGTACAAATAATACTACATAGTACAAATAAAACTCCATAGTACAAATAATACTACATAGTACAAATAACACTACATAGAACAAATAATAATACATAGTACGAATAATACTACATAGTACAAATAACACTACATAGTACAAATAATACTCTAAAGTACAAATAACACTACATAGTACAAATAATACTACATAGTACAAATAATAATACATAGTACGAATAATACTACATAGTATAAATAATACTACATAGTACAAATAATACTACATAGTACAAATAACATTACATAGTACAAATGATACTACAAAGTACAAATAATACTCCGTAGTACAAATAATACTACATAGTACAAATAACACTACACAGTACAAATAATACTACTTAGTACAAATAATACTACATAGTACAAATAATATTCTAAAGTACAAATAATAATACATAGTACAAATAATACTACATGGTACAAATAATACTACATAGTACAAATAAAAATACATAATACAAATAATACTACATAGTACAAATAATACTACATAGTACAAATAAAACTACATAGTACAAATAATACTGCATAGTACAATTAATACTACATAGTACAAATAATACTACATAGTACAAATAATACTGCATAGTACAAATAATACTACATAGTACAAATAATACTACATAGTACAAATAATACTGCATAGTACAAATAATACTACATAGTACAAATAATACTCCGTAGTACAAATGATACTACATAGTACAAATAATACTACATAGTACAAATAATACTCCGTAGTACAAATGATACTACATTTATATATAAACTTTGCTTGTCTGTCTGGGTGTCTATCTGGGTATCCAATAAAGGACCAAATATATGAACCGATCGGACCCAAATTCTGTGTGGGACCTCACGTGACCCCAAAGATCGTTTATGAATGATCAAAATTTCAAAAATTAGCCTCTATCACAAAATTTCGATTTCCATTAAATTTTGAAAATCAGCAAATGCAGTATTATTTGTACTATGTAGTATTAGTTGTACTATGTAGTATTATTTGTTCTATGCAGTATTATTTGTACTATGTAGTTTTATTTGTACTATGTAGTATTATTTGTACTATGTAGTATTATTTGTATTATGTAGTTTTATTTGTACTATGTAGTATTATTTGTACTATGTAGTATAATTTTTACTATGTAGTATTATTTGTACTATGCAGTATTATTTGTATTATGTAGTATTATTTGTACTATGTAGTATTATTTGTACTATATAGTATTATTTGTACTATGTAGTATTATTCGTACTATGTAGTATAATTTTTACTATGTAGTATTATTTGTACTATGCAGTATTATTTGTATTATGTAGTTTTATTTGTACTATGTAGTATTATTTGTACCATGTAGTATTATTTAAACTATGTATTATTATTTGTACTTTAGAGTATTATTTGTACTATGTAGTATTATTTGTACTATGTAGTTTTATTTGTACTATGTAGTATTATTTGTACTATGTAGTTTTATTTGTATTATGTAGTTTTATTTTTAATATGTAGTATTATTTGTACTATTGTTGTAAATCTAAAACGGATTGATAATACTCGCCGCTCACGAAACAAATCAGAACAAGAGAGGGCAGTGCACAAAGAACCTTAATAGTAGAAAGACTTATACATAGATATAATCTTCTACCTTAGGTAAGTGCAGCTCCCAAGTTACATTGATTCATATAACTCAG